TAGAGTACCCTAATGTAAGCAGATCCTGTCTAATCATAACGTCGTTGAAAATACATGAATTCACAACATGGAAAACTCACTTTACTGAATCACTCTTAAATTGTTTAAAGAATTTAGATATAACATTTAATGCGAGCGTTACTTACACTTTCTAATGCAATTGTATTATTATATTGCGCTTTACTTAGAAATCTATCTTTCAAGAATTTTTTTTTTTAATTTCATTAAAGAACATTCGGTACCCGAGTCGAAGCAACATGAAAACCTCTCACCGGTTTCACTCCAGAGCTGAACCATATCTGGACGGAACAGATATTCACGCATCGTTCGGTCCATGCTTAATTGGCTTTGAATTCAACACTGCGGCAGCGCAGCGCGAAGTAGCCTCGTTAACCATACTTGAAGCAACTAGGAGTAATCATTTCCTTCGGCGCGCCAGGTTCTTTTAATTGTTGAGAGGAGCTGGTATCTGAAAACTCAGGATGTGTATTAGTATTTGGTCAAGCCCGCTATGGCCTCAACCTTCAGTTAGAACGTGCCCGTCTTGCCTCAGTTATAGCGCCACATCGTCGCATAATATCTCCGCTTAATATCCATACTACGTGGCTTCTTACGTAAATGTTGTAACCAATCGTATTCACATATTTGAGCTCACTCCTTTTAAAGATTTCATTTTCATTTGAGAATCATGGTTCCTGATTTACTACGTATTTATAGCCATATAGATGTGTTGACACCATTCCCGAAGACACACACTACCACCGGGGTCAAACGATGATAAAAATGATCTTCTTAGTAATTTTAATATTATCCCTTGATTTATTTGTAGTAAACGTTTGCACACGCTCTGCATTATTGACATCAATGAATGGCATGAAAAAAATTTTCTTTTAGCGTTCTTCAGTACGCAAGTTCTCCACATGGTTATTTTCTTCAGCTGGATAGGATTTATAAGACCGGCATGATCACGAGAGCGATCCCACTTCTGATATCGGATTTATTATAAATTGGTTGTTTTAAAAGAGAGGGACGCCAGCCTCGCTGTCGTTACAAATGTCACTTCTTCTAGAGCATTCGATGATATTTTAAAATGAAACTGCAATTGATCTTAATGCTCTTGTATTTCTCAAAGATTCTTCATAATAAAATGCTTCTATGATACACGCTCACTGAACTCTGAATTATCAATAATGAATTCTCAATACTGGAGTCCGCCGTCGTGAGTCCAGACGTCATATTTTTTGATTCCAAACATAATTCTATTCTCTTTTGATTTCGTTTTACTTTTAACAATAATCATAAATACTAATGAGGTTTAATAAGAATTGATGGCAGCCTCTAATTATTTTCAAGTCGCATCCGTTATTAAAGCTGGTAGCGCCGATATATATATATATACAGGGTGACTGGTGAATTACTATCGATATTTGAGGACGTGATATTTGACGATCATATATGACAAAATAAAAATTAATATAACATAAATATTAATAAACTTCTAAGTAAAGTTAACCAAAAGTTATGTAATTAATTACGCATCGTATGAACACCCTACAGATTAGGTATACACACACACACACACACTCGCGCGCGGCGGCGTAGTGTTGTATCAGCACGCCGCCGCACGCGTCCACACTTGGAACACTTGGAACGTGTACACACTTTATTTATTTATACGGAAATTTGGTCAAAAATTAAGTACCTATTTTTTTTTACATATGCTCCTTAAATATTGATAGTAATTCACCAGTCACCCTGTATATATATATTTATACAATTATTTTAAAATGATTATAAAATTTATTATTTTTGTGTTTAATATGAGGAAACCATGTTTCCATTTGTATGAACTACTTCCATACAAAACGTGGTTGTCTTTTGATTACCTAAGGATTTATCTTATTTTAAACTATTTCCTAATGAAGAGAAGTAATAGTTGAAATACTAATGTTTGTAAAAATTTCAATCTATCAAGATAAACTTAAACGTAACTGGGTTACTTTTCTTTCATATTTATCGTTGTTTTTAAATTTTACATGTCATTGCACTTTGTTATCAATATTTTTAGTATGTATGTAGGTATTGTACAAATACTCTACATTTAATTTAATTATAATACACAATAAAACAAGTATGTCAAGATAAGATTAATAATAATTTGTCCGTAATGTTATTCTTAATGAATACGAATATTTTATAATTCGATAACAGTATGTAGGTGTCATATCGTTTGTAACAGTTGCTAAGTTTATTAAGAAGACAATATTGATTGGATTCACCTAAAACGTCTTGAAATATATTTTCGATCTCCATTACTTACCAGAGATTCATTTTATAATAATCTGGTTGACATGCTTCGTTTATGAAGGCCATAAATAATGGTGATCCTCTATTATAGTCCATTTGCCACGAATTGGATCGCGTAGCAATTATCGGCTTTCATTCACAATCATCATTTACATTTATTTAAATTTTGGTTTATTTTGACGCTGCCGACTCGCTATTCATAACGCCTGACTATCAAATAATATCAAAATGTTTACGACCTGCCTTCTCCTACACAATATAAATTAACTGCTCTGATTCTTTTTATTTTTGAGTATCAATACATATTATTCGAAATATAATATCTATTTTTAGGCTTTATATTCAAAACTCTTTGAACTAGCATTTTGCATCTTGAATGTATCAATATAGTATGTATGTATACTGCAATATTTTATGTTATTAAAACAATTTTGAATTCTTAAAACAGCGATCATTTAATAGTAAAAAACTTCAAAGCAAATTGCCTTTTCGCTAACAACTAAAATAAAGCAAGTCATGAACCGTTTGCTTTTTACTCCAGTCTTCGCTAAATTGCTCAAAGCCTTTAAAAACAAGTTACACAGCAAGCTTCTATAACTTGGCACTGGTCGTATACCTACGAGCTATCTTTAGCACGCTACTCAATTGAATACAAAAAATATTCCTATAATAACAGGAACATGAGTAAATTTATTGCTTTGAATAAAACGTTACATTAGTCCTTTTCACAACATCTAAATTTGATTTATTTACCTATAATGTGAATCTAAGTGTTTTTTTATATCATAAGATCAAACTATAGGTCGAACTGCTGACTTAATTAACAGAGTTTAAAAGTCGATATTAGTGAAGCAAAATTTTTTATAATCTTCTTGCAAGAGGTGCAATAAGTCACTGCGTCTTTCATTACCTGTAGCAATAACCACACAACATTTCATTACGTTAAATTTTTGTTATATATGACTATCAGTAATATGAATTCCAATAACAAATGTGGTATTTGTAGACGTTTGTACATAAAACACTTAATATACGGTCACCGGAGTTACAACAAAATTAGAGCTCCACTTATTATAAGGGTACTATTACATATATACTTTTTATAGGAGTATTGCATATTTCAATGAAATCTCGTCCTTAACTGTTTGATTGTAAGAGACCTTTTATTTCATTCAATTTTATATTATTTAATTATATTTCAATACATCTAATTCTAAGGAGTGGTCATCCACTTTACTGATATAACATACTTATATTTCTTTTTCTACCTTTTCAATCGCTAATGCTGTCTTTCAAATATTATACTTTTCATACGTAAGGTGACGGAAAAACAACTGAAATCATCCAGATTTATTTTTAATTTTATAAACAATTATTACATTTATTCATAAGCAAGTCTCAGGACCAGATTAATTAATTTTGACATAAATCTCTCCAACAAGTTATTCATTAATACAAACATATTTAAATAACAGTATTGGTTTCGTTAATGATTTTAAATTCATATTTCAATTTTATTATACATATTATTTACAGATGCTAGGTTTGTCATACATTAAATAGGTCAGATATTTTATTTTAAATGTATATATCGGATTTATTACAAATTCGTTGTTTTTAAAGAGAGAGACGCCAGCCTCGCTGACGTCACTTATATCACTTTATCTAGTACGTTCCATGATATTTTAAAATTAAACTTCAATTATTCTAAATTTCCTTGTATTTCTAGAAGGTTCTTCATAATCACATTCTTATAAGGTCCGGACACACTGAACTCTCAACTCTGCTGTCGTGCGTCCAGACGTCATATTTATTCCAAAATTCAAACATAGTTCTATTCTCCTTTTAAACAATCTTTGATTTCGTTTTACTTTTTAACAATAATCATAAATACTAGTGAGTTTTAATAATAATTGATGACGGCCTCAAGCCTCAATTTTCATGTCGCATCCCTTATTAAAGCTGATAGCGCCGATATATATATTAATTATAAATTTTAACTGAAAAGACTGCATACCTTCAAATCAATTTGATATTTCAACTGTCGAGTTATAAATATTACTGAGATAAAATTTCACCAATCTCTTTAAAAACAAGAAGACTTCCTTATATCAAAATCGAAATCAAAAAATTCTCAAATGACACTTCACAATCATTGCATAAAGGAAGATAAAATAAAATTAAAATCAGTTTTTTTTCTTAATATCATGTGAATAATTTTAATCACTTGAAGATGTTTGTTATTTGAAATATCCGACTTCTAGATATGTATGTATTAATGAGTTCATATACCTGGATGTACACCCAAATATAAGGTTGAGCTCTGGAGTTATGAACTATGGAGATGAAGTCAGTAAGCAGAACACTAATTAAATAAAACTTTCCAATTAAAAATATCTCAAACAAACTTATGCAGATCCTCACCGCCGCCCTGATAGCTAAGTTTTATTTCAAAACTAAAAATTACCAAACTTGATATTAATATCACCGTAAAAACCGGACAAAACCCGGGTATACCCGGGTTTTAACATAATATATCGTATGGGTTGAATCAAAACGATGCTACAGAATAATACCTCGTCGTTACTTATAGAAACTTTATAATACAGTAAATTAATAGACTGTATGACGACAGATGACACTATTGACATTGATACTTATATTTATAACGTTTATAATTGAAACATAATAAAATGTTTGTATTTTTAGAGCAGCGCTTCCGACAGATGTTGGCCTTTACAATATTATTTGGAATATTATTTACATACGTCATGATAAGATCAAAGATCGAGAAAGAGAAATATGAGTTTCCTAAACACCTTCACAAATATAGAGCCCGGCATAAACTCAAGAAAGAAACTGTTCCTATCGATATTGAAAAACTTAAATTTAAATTGGAACAGTCAAATTTAAGACCAAATATTAGTAACTTGAATAAATTCAAAACAACAGTGTCAAACTCTCCAATCTTCCTCATCCAGGTACACAAAGATATCCACAAGCTCCAATATCTTATTATGTCACTCTCGCAGGTAAATGGAATAGCGTCCAGCATGCTCATATTCTCTCACAGCTTTTACAGTGAATCAATCAACCAACTTGTTCTAAGTATCGATTTCTGTCAAGTTGTACAAATATTTTATCCTCATTCCCTTCAACTCAATCCTTCTAAATTCCCTGGCGTGGACCCCGACGACTGCTCCGAGAAAGAAAAGAAACGAAACCCAAACTGCCAGGTACGAAATGCAAAATTGACTGAACACAAGCAGCACTGGTGGTGGAAAGCTAACTACGTGTTCGAACGTATGGCTTGGCTACATTTATATAAATCACCCATAATTTTCCTGGAAGAGCACAGTTACGTTGCTCCAAGTTTGCTTCTGATATATCAATATGCAGTGAAGGCGTTCAGCTATTACCCTCACACTGAAATCCTTTCTTTCGGAAGACCGTTGATGAGAAATGTTGATATGGATCTGTTGACTATAGAGCCTTGGCGACCGCCGTTCGATGTAGGCTTGGCTTTTAATAAGACGACGTGGAGAAGAATGGTCTCGTACTCAGCTCAGTACTGTATGTATGATGACAGCAGCTGGAGTTATTCTTTGTTGAACTTGTTCCGAATGTTCCCCAAGAGTCACGTGAGCATGGTGGGGTGTGTGACGCCTAGAGTGTTAAGTACTCGACACTTTAAAAACATTGAAGAAAGTTTTAAAAGATACACCAAAATGTTTGATACTTTAGACGTCTACCCTAAGAAAGTCAAAACTGTGTTTCTCTTCGGTACTGACGGGATTGTTGAAAATGTATACAAGGAACCTCCTTCTGGTAACGGCGGCTGGAGTGATTTGAGAGATCAAGTATTATGTCTGGACCCGCTCGTGAGCACGACCACTGTGGAACCACGATACTATGACAAGTAAAAGATTACAAGATACGACGAAAATGTAAAAATCTTTGTACTATTAAAAAATCCCTCCTACTTATTCTTTTAATATTTTTTTTGAGTAATCATTACATGTAGATGAAAAATAGTACCGCACGTTTCCTTCAGAATAACCTTATTATGTTATAATAAAGAAAATATCGTCAACAAAACATTCTATAAATTTAGCACAAAGCAACACACACACAGACTTATATATTCGTATAATATATATGTTCATACATATGTGTTTAATTGGGTATACATATATACTTTTGCATATATATGAAATATTTAAATTCAGAAAATATTAACTGCACTAGCTTAGTATAATAATTATGGTTTGACATAGAATGATGTATGAAACACACATTTTTTATAATGAGTAATACAGTCATGACGAAAAATCTAGGAAAATCATTAATACAAATTATATAAAACCGCCAACAACAATTACATATGTATTATATAATTGAGCAAAAACCCAGAACCGACAGATGTTACTTATTTTCTGAATGACAAGAATGTGCAAGCCTTACAGAATCCTGGGATGGCTCAACTAGAATATTGATTTTACAGAAAATTAAAAATAATGGTGAACGGATAAAATAATTATACAAACGAAATAACGGGTGTGCATAGGTATTTAAGATACAACAATCAGATCTGTAAAAGTCAAAAAGGGGCGAAAAGTTATATGAGATCATCAATTATTACAGATTTAAAAATATTATTTCTCTATTTTCACTTAACATTTACAAACTACATATTTGATCGGGCTAAGCTCAGAATGTCAAGGACAAAACGCTGCGACCGGCATGAAGAATGGCATTTATGAAGACAGTTTGGTTAAGATTGGCATAAAGATTATGTTAACCAACATCTTGCAATAAAAAATATCCATTTTCCGAAACACAAGCTTAATTAAAAGGAGAGCAAGTTTAGTTTGGTCTAGACAAAATGCGGTCGTGTTTTCAGACATAAGAGTAAAACTACACAACTAAAGAAGAGCACTTCAATAAAGCTTTAAAAAAAGTGTTTCTCCTGAGTCTAACAGAACATTTTTGAAATTTCAATGTTTCCTTATGTATTAACACAGACGCTTAATGAAATAGGCATTATAAATTGACATATTAAAATAATGCATCTATTTCTTATTTTTATAAACCACAAACAATTCTACCAAGTACCATAATTAATACTACGCATCGCATACATACTTTTATTCTTATTTCCAAAAACATATTCTTATTTCTAAAAACGTATTTGAATACTTCTCATTTTGTTTATGTAATTAATTCTAACATGATGAGTTTAAAGTAATATTTTTCTTGGTATTTATTTTTGTATTTTGACAAAGTTATATATTATATCCCTTATTTGTTAAGTAAATGTATGTGTTATTTCGTTACACCTTCGATAAGGCACCTCTGAATATTCTTTGCCAATTGCAGCTTTACCTTAACGCTATTCCTTTTTAATTATATTCCTTTCTGTTATAAATTTTGTATTGTTGCATTTTGTATTCTCCAAATTCTTTTAAATGCATATAATCGATGTATTTCACTGTCCTTTTATTTACTCATAACCATAAATAGATTCTCGAGAGGCTTTCTCGTTGCAAAAAAGGGGAATAGCAAAACGGTCCAGTATATTGGAGCTTATTAATCTAATTTCCTATTTTTAGCCACAGCTAAAAGGATAGGTATAGTAAGCATGATGAGGAAGGTAGTTTAGGTCGAGAGTATGTTCAACTATTATGGGCCTTTTAAAGAGAGTATATCTCCCCAGACAGTCATCGGTGCAAAATTTTCAAAGCAGTTCTACTTCTACCGTATTTGGAGTTCCAATCGTAAGATTTTCTTCCTGCACTTATGTTTATGTTTCAGATCGAGATCACCTCTACTTTGGGTAACACGATAGACTGAGAAAGACATAAAAAGACTGAGTAAAACATAGAAGACCAAACTCTAAGTTATATGAGAATTCTCTGTTACGCGATTACCTTAATAGAAACAATGCTATTAGTGAAAATTATTAATTCTAAATTTTATTATATCAACACTCGTACAAAAAGGTAATAAGATCAGAAACAAAATAACAAAAAATAAATGTTCTTAAAGTAAAATACTAAAAGTGAAAATAAAAAAAAGATATTCATTAATTAAATAGTATTTAACCAGACAATAAGTTTTATATTTCAACTTAACCTTATATGATTTGTAAGGTTTAAACTTAAAACGTATTAATATTAAATTGAGATTTATATTAAATGCAACGTATATGAAAATATTATTTATGGTTTATTTTGAAAATTGTCTTATATTTTCTTATATAAAATAATAAAACTAGCTATTATATTAATTGAGTCTTTGTTTATCGGCCGGCAGTAATAATAATCAATGGCAACACCAATGTCGTTCAGAAAACAGTTTCCTATAATTTGTTGATATAATTTTTATTTTTAGTTTTTAAGTTTTATATATCTTATTTATCTTCAGATAATATGATATTTTTTAAATATATTGATTACAAAAAGATCAGTAAGAGTGTTTAAAACAGTTTATACATTATGTATTGAACTGATATCTGTCAGCTGTACGAAGGAAGGGCTATCAAACTGTCAGATGGTGAATAGCAAAGAAGAGCGGTAGTGTGAATAATTTTAACAAATATGTGTTTTTATTTCCAATTTCATACACATAGGTAATCGCCGCGCCTATATTTAGATATAAGATAGTATAGAAAAGGTCCGGGTCGTCGTAACAGCACTATGGGCTCCAGAGATAGGGACACAAAGTCCTTTCATGACAAGTTGAAAGTGTTCTTCAAGAAGGGTGCAACGGGTGCGTAGCGTTCCGTATGTAGATATAGGAGTTCGCAGGGTGCCGGTCGGATGGAGTTGGGTAATGATTTGTTGTTGTCTGTGAGTAGCGCCCGTCGCCGCACAGAACGAGCTGGTAGTGAGCGCGGAGCTGCGCCGGGAGCTGAGTCCCGAGACCCCGCTCGGCCGCCGCCTGCGGGCCATCAAGGAGGTCGGCGACCGAGTCCTACACATCAGAGTACAAGAAGTAAGTCTACCTTCATTTGTAGTCTTACCCTCATATCTCTTTATCACACTTATGCAATATATCATCTATTTTTCACCATCATAGGCTAATACAAACATCCTAGATCATCTCCCATGCAAGCTATATTCTATAAATAACTATAATTGTTCATATTTTCTTGTTCAGATAAATACAACAATATAGTTTTTGGAGCTACTAAAACAAGTAGTCTGTAGACTTAAAATTATTGTACATGTATGTACATGATAATGAGACATGTACATAGTTTTCTATTTTGTTAGTTATATTAATAAATTGTCTTATACATAGTATCAAATATTCCTCATACTAGAGCTATTCATGAATATGGAAATTGAAAGCAATTTGAATGTAATAAATTTAAATTGCAATATGGTGAAGTTTAAACTAGAAAGCCTAGAACATATTATATATTATAAAGAGATACATTTTATTATTTGAATATTAATTAATGGATTTATTTTGGTTTAACATTTCATTTTGTAACTCACTTCGTTACATTTTTATACAAAGAAGCTTGGCAAACAATTTACAATTATAACCATATAATATACAAGTGTTTACAAAAATTCCAGAAATTTAAAAGACATGATAAATAATTACTAATCTACCTATTAATATAGATTTTAAAAAAATCATACTAAAACATCTCTTTGATGCTATTTTCCAACAGCCAAATCAAACCTTGAACTTGTTCATTAACAACTGTTATGTATGTTATATTCAGAATGATCAACATTTATTTGAGATGCTGCTTTTAATGCTGCAAGTTTCTAATAATAAAATGACATTAGCTTTGAAAAATAAATTCATAACAATCTAATAATGTTATGAAATTGAAAGTATATGTAAGAACATTTGTTGCTCGGATAAAAATAACTCAAGGGATTTTGATGATCTTTTAAACTTGGATGTCCAAATAAGACATCATTCCAGTTTCCATTTGTTTATGTTAGAACAATTGTATTCTGTATGAAGATATATAAATAAGATTATACATGTTACTGTTGCTTAGCTACCATGATGTAAAGTGTTTTATTACTCTTAATACATTGCTCTCTAAAGTAAATTCTAACAAAGACTGCCTCAAATATAAGTATTTGATATAAAAGATTCTCTTATATATTGCAGGGTGGCATTGAGAAAATATGGAGTTGTACTCGTGACCTCCTCGAAGACTCCAATATGGAAGCTCGTCATACCGTTCTCGGCCTGTTGAAGAACATAGCAGAGGGACAGACAGACATGCTGGTCATGAGAACAGTGATGTTTAGGTTCCTGAGAGAGACACACGCCAGCCACTCACCTGATGATTATGTACTGCGATTTAAATTACTGTATGCACTCACCAACACTGGGAAAGATATTAAATGTTTTGAAGAAGAGGTTTGTTGAATGATGAACAAATAGTCATTGTCCTATTATTTGTTTGTATTCTGCTATAAGTATAAAATACACTAACAAGTCACAAGTCATATAATGGAAGTATTTGATTGTGATTTTTAGATTGGTCCTTTCTTATTGGAGTGGTTGCCTCAGATCCAATCTCCGTCACACATTATAGACTTTGTGAACCTCGTCATTAATGTGGTCAAGTTCAATGCCGTTTATCTGGATGAGGAAATTGTACATGGAATAGTCAAGTACGTACAGCATAGAACTTTAATGTCTCTTAAATTAATTTACTATAATGATTTCAAAGATATTTCTTATGTGTGAGTTATTTTCAGTAATGCTTGTCACCTGTGCGTGTACTCGTCGGAGGGCGGTGTTGTCCAGAGCTGCCTCACTCTGCTGCAGGCGGTCGTCTCGTACTCGCTGCTCCCTCGCGCCGCGCTGCCGACCTTCGTGGCCGCGCTCTGCCGCACCGTCAACATCGAACATTACTGTCAGAACAGCTGGAAGGTATGACGAGACGAGACTATCTCGTGGTTATACATGTACCGATGACTCGTGTATTATCCGCAGCTGATGCGGAACGTGGTGGGCGCGGACATGGGACATGCGGCGCTGCAGGAGATGGTGGAGCTGGTCCGGGGCGCGGGCGGGGGGGAGGCGTGCGGGGAGGACGCAGCCGGCCTGGCGCGGGGAGCCGTTTTCTATATCAACATGGCACTGTGGGGTCCGCGGCGCGTGCACACGCTGCACGTGTCCTTCCTGGCGGTGCTGCCCGCCTTCCTGAAGGCCCTGTCCGGCCGACACTCGGTGGTCACGTACGAGGTGGTGATGGCGCTCCAGAGCCTGGTGACCCGCGTGCACGACCAGCTGCACGCCGTCGCCTGGGACCTCGTCCTCGACATCATAAGGGCTGTACTGCAGCAGGACAGTACGTATCACTGACGCATTTATCTATAATTATCTTCTCTCTGTCACCTGTATGCCGACGATCTCCAATTATTTAAACAGTGAAAATTAATTGATTTGCCTAAAACAATTAAAACATTAAATAAAGACCTTGAATCGATTGTACTTTGGAGTAAATCACATGAACTTAAAGTTAATCCTTTAAAAACACAGGCAATTATAATCGGCAGTCAAAAACTAGTTTCCCGCATTAATTGGCCCAATTTGCCTAATATAATTGTTGATGGAACACTTGTTTCATACAGTGAAACTGTAAAAAATCTAGGTGTTGTTTTTGATAGATTTCTGACCTGGAGCCCCCAAGTAAGCGAGGTGAGCAGGAAAGTGTTTGCAACTATCGGATCTCTTCGGAGATTGCGAAATTTTCTACCGATACCACTAAAATTGTGCTCGCACAATCTCTCCTGCTACCGATTCTCGATTATGCTGATACCTGTTATCTCAATTTAAGTGAGGAACTGCTTAATAAACTTGAACGCATCCAGAATCTTTGTATACGGTTCATATTTGGACTTCGTAAATATGACCATGATTCAGAATTTCGCGAAAAACTCAAGTGGCCCTCAATCCGCCTTTGCAGGAATACTCACATTCTTTCCCTATTATACAATATCCTATTTAATCCTACCTCTCCCTCATACCTTAAAAAGCGCTTTGAATTCCTGAGTGATACTCATTGTCGCTCTCTTCGGTCTGACGATAACTTGATTTTATAAATGCCCTCCCACAATACATCCTTCTATTCTAAATCCTTTTCTATGGAAGCTGTACGGCTCTGGAATTCCTTACCACTTACCATAAGGCGTGCTCAATCCCTAGCAACATTCAAACGGCTATTAAAAGCAAACTTCTTCCCCCCATAAGTTTTGTCTACCTGTTTCCTTAATATTTATTATTTTTATTTTTCTATTTATTCTAAACTCCTACTCTGCGATGTATCTGGCTTATATTTTAAATTTATTGTTGCATGTTACTTATAGTCAGTCATATTTAAACTGTAGTATAAATGATACATATTGATTATTATATATTGAATCTATACTAATATTATAAAGCTGAAGAGTTTGTTTGTTTGTTTGTTTGAAAGCGCTAATCTCCGAAACTACTGGTTCGAATTGAATAATTCTTTTTGTGTTGGATGAGGAAGGCTGTGAGCTGTATAACATCACGCTACGACCAATAAGAGCAAAGATATAGTGGTAAATGTGTAAAAAACGGGAGAAATTATTTCATCTTTGAAGCCTTCCGTTGCGTGCGCCGTGAAAACGGTTCAAGATACACAAAAAATATGTATTAAAGAATAATAGCTCTTTTAATGATCTAAAAAACATTCTGCGACAGTATATGTCTATCTTTTAAGATTAACTCACAAAAACCGTTTTTATGGTACCTAATTTTGTCGTAATAATTTGTTTAAGTTGTATCAAAATAATAATATTAATCTTTATTCATATAAACAAATAAATATGTTGTTGGTTAAGAGTACTTCATTATTAATTAAAAAAAACATAGGTTTCATCCTGAAAATTCTACGGGAACTCGACCATTCCGAAAACCCCGCAAGAACGGGAACTATGTGGGAAGAACCAAAAATCTGTCGGAAGTAACTATTCCACGCAAACGAAGCCGCGGCAAAAGCTAGTGTAGTATATATATGTTTACTATGTATATATAATTTCGTACAAGTATGTTTTTCTCTCATATATGTATACATATACACCTAAAACGTTTAATTACTGATTACTATGTTCTTCGTAACATGGTTGCCTGGCAGAGATCGCTGCTTAGCGATAAGGCCGCCAATTGTACATTTTGATCAAGTTTTGCAATTACTGTACAATTTATTTATTCTTTGGTGTACAATAAATAATACTTACTTACTATGGACAACAGTGAAGATGTATATGACATACAAATAAATGTCGTTTCCAGAGAGCCTGGAGCCTCCCAACGAGCTGATCCACACCCGCGTCCACGCACTGATTACATCCATAGAGTCGTTGCACGAGGCGGGGCAGTTCCAGGGGGACGTGGAGGCGCTGCTGGACCTCATCGACCTGTGCGGACACGACCGACCGGTACGTGGACGGCATCACATCACACGACATGTGTGTGTGTGTGTGTGTCTGTGTGTGATGACGTGTGGTTCCAGGAGTCGTCCGTGATGCGTCTGATCTCCGAGCGCTGCCTGTACATGGGCGGGTCGGCGGCGGGCGCGGCGCTGCAGCTGGCAGAGCGCTACGTGCGGCTGGAGCCTCGCCCCGCGGTCCGCCTGCACGCGCTCGCCTCGCTAGTGGCTTACATCAAGAGACACCGGTCATTCAATAATTATTATCAATTGATTTTAAATTAACATGAACAGTATGAGAGCGTGTTGATGTGTTCTGCAGGTGTACCCACGGCGAAGAGTTGTCGGAGCGTGTGGGCGGGTCGATAGCGGCGGCCTGCGCCCTGGACGCGGACGTGTCTATTAGAGCAGCCATCGCTAAGGCCATACCGGAGCTGGCCCGGCTGTGCTCACCGGACGCCTGCATCGACCTCATCGACCAGCTGGAGAAGGTCTCGACATACCATTTATTTATTTATTAAAATCCTCCAGGAGTAAATACATCTACACAATATTAGCAACAATAACAACATATAGCTTAAAACTAAATGCATTACCTATAAAGGAGAATACATGAGGTATGAGGCAATGATAGTGGATATAAAAAAAGCTTACACGATACAAATATGTACATTTACAAATTTAAACATATTATTATGCTAATTGAAAAGATACAATAATAAATACTTAATAAAAAAAAATCGAAAAAAAGAGTTATAAAAAATAGATAACGAAACAATAACAATCAAATGGCTAATAATTCTAACATTTTCTTACGGAACTTGGATAAAGAGTCACCAAATGGACGTAGGGAGGCACTGTGCGCGTTTAATATTTTACAAAAACGTGCCACAGGTGAGTTACTTCCTAAGACGGTTTTACAAAAAGGTCTTACTAATGGCGCTATCGGTTTTCGTGGGTATACTCCAGCCAAATTCGATGTGGAATGTTTAATAACAAAGCGTTGCTTAGCAACCAACGTCAGGCAGATACTCAAAACAGTTTTAGAAATATGTACAACAATTATTTTTAATGTTAATGAAAATTAAAATTGATGATTAATAATAAAATATTTAAGACAAAGGACTAATTCTTGGTTATAATTATAATACTTATGATCATCTGGAATAATGTAGATCGCAAAAATAATACCTCCAATTTTAAAATTATATTAGAAATTACCTCGAAGTTATATACCTAATTCGCTTTATTAACTTTATCTATCGCCTCCCAAACGACAGGACTCATTTAAATTAAATTTTGTGAATATTCAAATTTCGCTACAGATACAATCCCACTCGGACCAGGTGATTCAGTATTACTCATCGTAATCTAATATAAACAATATTTGATAACAACAAACTTATAACAATAACGAATTAAAACAAAATAACGATAACAAAATGTAACAATCAATAACAGAACGGAAGAACACCAGAATCAAACACTCGTGAATTGTAAGCAAAGCTAACAACAAAACAAAAACAAACATTATGGCGGGCGTATAATGCAACAAAATTACGTAGTTACGTTTCGTTTAACTTTATTTGCGTTAAAAAAAAAAATAATTAAAATGTCACCGCAATAAAATTTATTAAATTTTATCTGATTTTATTGGAAGAAATTGTAAATATATGAGGTTGAAAAAGTGATTATAGTGCTATATTTATGCTAGCCAAAACAAGATGTCTTTTTTTTAATCTGTGTGTAATGAAACGTTGTGTGTATGTTAACATTCTTAACCTGTTGTGGTTATACTACCATTATAATACGACTTAAATATACACCACCAATTATGAAGAGCCTATATCGCTGTTATATACCTTCCTAAATCTGCTAATTGCTTAAAAATAACTCCAAATGTTACGAACCTGCGATTTCTTTACGTAAGTTTTAAAAGATAGGGTTGTTAGTCTTGTAGTAATATTATAGTGGTAATTAAAGATTTTTAATCTTTTATTTTAAGCTAATTTTCATATAAATTATGTATTGACCGGCTAAATAAATTTTTTTGGATTCTATATAAATAAAAATTTTTGTGTTTAAACAGGAAATTATGTTATAATAAATATAGTTGTAATTATAATAATTATAATTTTTTATTAAGAGTGTATCAACCCTAATTATGATAACTCATGGTTTGTTTACTAAAATTCCACATCGAAAGTGGCTGGAGTATAGCAGGAACATTTAAATTTATTCTAGAAACTAGAAGAGAATTATCATATTATATAAACCATTTAGAGCTTTGTATAAAAACGTTAAATCTTGCATGTCACTCCGTTGACTTAAGGAAATAATTTTGAAGTATTTTAGTCTTTCATTGTAGGTAGGAAGTAATTTGGCTTTACCTAAACAAAATGTAAGATAGTAAAGAAAAAGTTTTTGAATTCTCTATAGTCTTAAACAGTGAGTTGCGTATTGTGGCCTCCAAAGAACACTTGCATATTCCAAAATGCTCCTGACAAAACTCTGAACAATATGGTCTTAGTTTTTTTGATTTCGAAATATCCATCGTGAAAACACTAAAATAAATATACATATAAGGAATATTATCAAGGGCATTCAAAGCAAACCACAATTTGTTTCTCTGAAAATACAAAGATTGATTTTATTATTTTACTGGACACGCCTTTACAATATTATAACAATTATCGTTTCATTATGACAATTACACTTTACCTGAAAATACAAAGAAACGACATTAAAGCCCACTAATATCGCCTCAATTATATCCCTTAGTTTATCTCTCTACACGTTTTAATAGTTATAAAGTGCACAAAAACTTAAACATAATTCGCCATTAGTGAATAGTGACGCGTCTCTGGTGGAAAAGTTACAAACGCGCGAAGCGCGGCGAATTTGAATTTAATGAAATGTCATTTCATTACATACTGTATACGCTTTTTATTAAACAGATATTTTGTAAAAGAGTTTATGTAGTTTCTAAACTATCAAAAATATTATTCATAAGTTAATGATGCTCCAATGACTTAATATCGTTTTCAGATCTTGAACCGTCCGTTCGACATGTACGTGACGGAGGTGTCGATCCCCGGGGACGCGGACACGTCGGACCTGCAGGCGGCCGCCGCGGCGCTACTGGAGCTGCTGCACGACAAGCTGCTGCGGGCCCCGGCCGCGCCCGCCGCGCGCGCCTTCCTCGTGCTGCTCGACCACCTCGACCACCACTACCGACGGCCCGCGCTGCTGCACCACCACCCCGACATACGACTCAAGGTGAGGGAGGAATGAAAACAGAGACTTCTTCTTATACCTGGCAATTTCCCAGCTTTAACAGGGTCTGCCTTACATGTTGTGAATAGTTTTGGCTAATTGTTTTTTTACGACCGGCCGCCTGCCTGACTTCAACCCTCTTTGGGAATGCATTAATCAGTGATCTCATAATATTTTTGTCTTTTGTGTTTGTCTCTGTTTTGTTTTGTTTGTTTTCATTATTATTATTATTGTTATCATTTGCTTTTATTAACATTAGTTATAAGGTTGACATGTATTACTAATATTTAAATATGGACTATGTCTGAGATAAAAATAAATTATTATTATTATTATTATTATTATTATATTCTTAGAAAGTACATATGACTCGGAAAAATCACATTGGTACTTGCCAGGATCGAACCCGCGTCCTCGTGCATGAGAGGCGGGTCATTTAACCACTAGGCCACCACCGAGACTGCTGAATAGATATTGCCTTTATTTATAATAGATCATACATCAAATAGGTACAAATTAGCTCACGTAGTATATAATGGTTAATAAGTATGTTTAGTTAATATAATCTATTCACTACATCTCATCTCCACAGCAATAAAAAAATAAAATAAACAATACATACGTTTTATTTTATTTTAGCTTATATTACGAATGTTAATATAGTAAAATGTCATATTATAATTACTATCTTTACAAACTTTTGAATTACATATTTAGTACATAAACTTTTAACAAAATTGTTAAAAGTTTATGTACTAAATATGTGATTCAAAAGTTTTTGTTTTTGTGAATAACCATAGTTTTTATTATCCTTAATTATTTCTACATTGGGTGAACATTCCCTTATTACTTTGTATGACCCTGAATATATGTTTCGAACTTACTGCCGGTTTCATTTTTTATTAAAATCAAATCATTCTGTTTATAAGTTATAGGGTTTATATTACGATCATATTTCTTGTTTCTTTTTAATTTACTAGCTATTAAATTTTCTCTAGCCTCTTTTTGATAATTATCAAAATTGTACAAAGGATCAACTTGTGCTGATTGCAAATTAGATGGTAAAATACATTTCTTACCGAACACCAACTCATAGGGAGTGAACTTAGTCTCCGTATGTACTGCAGTGTTATAGGAAAAGCACCAAAATGGAAGCCACGTGCTCCAAGCTTCTGAGTGATTGCCTGTCTGTATTCGCAAATAGTTACCTAGATGTTTGTGAGAATTCTCCAAGGCACCGATGCTTTGATGATGATAAGCGGTAGACTGCAGCTTGTTAATATGCAAAAGTTTACAAACCTCTTTCATTGTGTCCGATAAAACCTCCGTTCCCCTGTCTGTAGCTATCTCCTTCGGGATACCATATCTGAGAATAAAATTGTTTACGAAGTTCCTGGCTACCTCACTTGACCTTTTTGATATTAATGGGTAGGCCTCAATATACTTGCTCAACTCACATTGTATAGTTAAAATGTACATACAATTATTGTAATCTCTGTCTAATGGCCCTACTATATCTAAATATACCTTCTCAAACGCTGAAGTTGCCGTTGAACTTATTGTCATAGGTTCCTTAGTATAATGTGAGGAATGTTTTTGTTTTTGACATTTGTCACACCTTTTTATAAATTCTGTAACATGAGCTTCAAAGTTCTGCCAAAATAATATTTCTTTATGTTATTTACCATTCGTCTTATGCCGGCATGGCCACTTGTGGGTACTATATAAAAATCGTTTAAAATTACACACTTATCGTCTTTATCAGTTATTCTCTTTGTTCCCCTTAAAATACATATATGTTCGTGATCCGGACCAATTACTTATGTTATTTACTTAATTTATTAACTTTTCCAGAAATTTATTATTTTTCTCAGTCTTAATGAAGTATATTTCTTTAATATTTATTTTCCCACAAAATATGTCCAGCTCTCTCAAATTCGCCTGGCGATAGTTGCGATCGAGAAGCTAAATTAATAAAAAAAAGTATTCATTGAGGGCACGTAACCCAAACATCCCTTCTCATACGTTATCTCTTTCAATTTACGATATCGATTTAATTCATAAGCGCTTATGAAACGTAATATATTTCGTGAAACGTGAAATATTTCTGTTTGCTATGTATTTCTACAAATTTTGGTTGATCAGTCCAATCGTTTTTAGAAATAATAGCATCCCGTTGTTTCTTAGCCCTCTGGCCACGCGTCATTACATTCATCACCGTTTGATTTATCATCATAAAACATCTATAGATGCATCATTTTGCCTGCAATTAAAAAACCGTTTTTGCAAGGCATTTCTAGATTTTTTGGTAAAAGTAACCTTTTCACGCCATTTAAAAGATCAGGTACAGTGTCGTATTTCGTTGCTAATTTTAGTTTGGCAGACTGCGACAATCTGCTTTTCAAAATAAAAGATATTAAATAAGTCTGTGACTCAGTATTGAGAACCGAACTATAATACTCAATACCATCGATAAGTTGTCGTAAATTAGAAAGCTCGTCATTCATCACTGGCAATAAACTCAAAACTACTTTCAGGGTGAATTTATCCATTGTTGAAAAAATACTAGAACCGTCTAAAATTCGACACAACTCAGTAATTTCATCAAACAATTTCTTAATATCCGTACGATATTTTTCAAAAATATGAAGCTCGTCCTTTTCAATGCTTTTCAGTTCAATACTTTCTATATAATTATTATATTGTGCAATAATACATTTAGCTTCGTCTAACTTAGTCAGCAATATTTCACCTTGTCGTCTAGCGGGTCCTATTTTAATTAACTGAGAGAGGAATGAAAGCCGAGACTGCTAAATAGATACTGCATTTATCTCTAAGAGATCGTACATTAAATAGGTACAAATTAGCTTGCTTATTATTAGAAGAAGAAATTAGCTTACGTAGTATATAATGGTTAATAAGTATGTTTAGTTAATATAATCTATTCACTACATCTCAGTCTGTGGAGCACGTGAGCTCTACATTCAATGATAGCACGAACTCATCAATCGTGTTCTCAGATCTTTGACATGCTGTTCGCTCTGCGCGCCAACGAGTTCAACTGCGTGGGCTTCTGCTACGACGCGGCCGGGTGCGCGGTGTCCGGGGCGGGCGCGCTCCGTCTCCGCGCGCGGTGTTCCCCGCTACTGCTGGTGGAGCCCCCCGCGCCCCGCGCAGCGCCCCCGCCCGGCCCGCGCGAGCTGCCCCCCGGCGCGGTGCTGCTGCCGGCCGGCCGGTTGGCCCGCGCCCTGCCCGCCGCGCTGGCCCGCGAGCCCGAGTGGCCGGTGTTGTCTCACGTGCTGCGCGCCCTGCCGCCGCTGCTGCACGCGCGCGCCCTCGCGCTGGGCCGGCGCGCGCAGGACCTGGACCTGCTGGCCGCGACCCTGTGCTCCATGGTGTCGGACCGCAGCCTCTCAGGCGCGGGCGGCGGGCGGCCGCTGGTGTCGGACTTCCACGCGGCGGCGCTCCCGTCGCTGGCGGCGCTGGCCTCCTACCACGCCTACCTGGAGCCGCAGACCCAGCAGCGTATCGTCAAGTGCCTGCTCAAGTACGGGATGGTGCTCCGCGCGCCGCAGCCCTACATCAACGCCCTCACCATGTTCACGCTGGAGACCCGCGACACGATGGTGAAGCTGCTCCCGGAGGTGTTGCTGGACCTGTCCAAGATCTCCGACACCAAGGCCATCGCCAGCCCCATGCTGGAGTTCCTGTCCAGTGAGTGTCTCCTCCGCCCCTCGCCTCTAACTTACTTATAAATATGTAATTTTAAAACAATACACTGGAAACCACTAAAACAAATAATGAATCCTCATAAAATATATGAACTAATAGTAAATAATATAAAAAGATGTTATAATGAATCACAAATAAAAGTTAAAATATCTAAAAACATCGAAAAAATATAAAAAAATGGATTAATAATAAAATTATAAAAGCTTTTAAATATAGAGACAAACTATTTAAAAAATGGATTCGTGACACTTCAAACATGTTATTAAAACAACGATATAATAGTGCTAGAAATTATGCGAATAAACTAATTAACACAAGTAAAAATAAAATAATTAAAGAAAAGCTACAAAATTCTAAGAATAATCCTAGGGAACTCTGGAAATTATTGAATGAAATAACGGGTACAGCTTAAGTTATTGCTGGTCGCTTAATTTTAAATGCTTTTTCTAACAATAGCAATACCATTAAAAATATAGCAAATAGTTTTGCTACAACCTTTTCTAATAGTGTCGAGAATACTATTCAAAAATGTAAAGTACAAATCTTGGATAAAAATTCCTATGCTACTTCATCCAACGTAACTTTGAGGTACCAACCAAATCGCCAAATTTAGCATAATAAAACACAAATTCCATACTCCACTATCTTAAGCTTATACAAAGGTCTCGGAGAGACAACTATACATTACGGCCTCAGTAGTTATGGAAGAACGTTTAAATCACATCTTGATCCTGTATATGATTTACATTATTAAAACGATAGTGCCTATAAAGCTTAGGTTTAAATGTGACAATACTAACGAATTATTTCATGAAACGAACATTCTACCAATTTATGACCAGGTCAAGTACATACTACTTAAAGAAAATTTGTTTAATAATGCGTATCTAAATATTGTTCAACATAAAAAACATACACGCAGCGCCTCTAAAATTAAGTATACTATACCAGGATACAATAATCTTTATGACAACAAATGCTAAAATATCAAGTACCTAAATTGACGAATGATCTACCAGATAGTTTAAAAAGAGAATTGATGGAATGTAATATAAAATACAAATTAAAAAAATATTTTTTAAATAAACTCAAATAAAAAATCTAAAATATAAATAAAAATAATTAATTGAAAGAAATATTGTAAGAATATGAACCTGAGTGTTTACATTGTTTGTCAACATTATACCTACTTATTTTTTTTAATTACATGTTAAAATTGATAAAGAAATAACGCACAAAAAACGTGCAATACTGTAATTATGTATATTGAAAAATAATAATCAGGTTACATTTACCTTGCATATGTTACTTATTTGTTAGATTGTTAGATTATGCACTTTATATTACTTTTATATCTTTAGTTAATTTTGTTACTCTCTTTTGTCATACTCGTATCATTATATGTATTACATATATGTTTGATGTCTTTTATTGCTTAATACATTAAGTACAAAATATAAATGTATTGAGATGTCAATGTAATTGTGAGTTAACGCCGATGAATTCCAGTGCACGGAAAAACCAATATTTGTTTATGAGACACTGAAAACTTAGACATAAATGTAAAAAATGCCAACATAATTTTAGTATATAAAAAATAATAATAAAATAATCTGTCTGTCTACCCTCAGCCCTGACCCGCCTGCCCCGCGTGTACGCGTCCTTCGTAGAGGACCAGTGTATGACGGTGTTCGCGATCCTGCTGCCCTACACGAACCCGTCCCGCTACAACCACTACGTGGTGTCTCTGGCGCACCACGTGATCGCCGCCTGGTTCCTCAAGTGCCGCCTCTCATACAGGCGGAACTTCGTCAGCTTCATCATTAACGTAAGGCTCGATGACGCAATCATTATTTATTTATTTATTTATTTGAGTATCCCCAACAAAAGATACACAGTATACAATTTTAGACTGATCAATACTAAATATTACAAAAATGTGTGCTCTTTCAATTACAGGAGACCACAGCTTGCTAATTAAATATGACTAATCAAAACAATATGAACTTATAGTTAAAGTTAAAAATACTTAAAAACCAAAAAGTATTAAAAACATATATATATCCAGAATTTGTTTAAAAATAATAGTAAAATAAGATATAAATCTCTTTTCCCCGCGGACCGTTCCAGGGTCTTCACAATTACATCATAGTTCCGTTCGAGGAGCAGTACGCGCACAGAGCACAGAGGAACGAAGACTCATCCAACAGACAGAGGAGCTCCAGCCTGGTGAGACACGCCATCACTAAACACTCTATGTATTACACGGGTCATGTACGACTGGACACGGTGATAAGTGACGTCTTAGAGTTTACGAAACTGTATTAACCCTTTATAAGTTAGAGGTGATATTTTCAAAACCATGATTTTATTTTTTTTAAACCGAAATTTCGTCCACCGGTCGTATATTTTATTCAAACAATTTTTTTGATTGTCAATAGACAGATTGACAATGAAAGGTTTGAAAAATATATATTTATATATACATATGTTTTTACTTCTATTATATACCTTTAACCATCATCAATTTTGTTTTTCCATTGTCCACTCTTTATGACCGTTAAAGGATTAAAGTTAAAAATGTAATACTTTATGAACCATCCCCTAGTGACATGATGCTCTGAAGTTTTTTAGAAATATATCAGGTGCACAGTACTGAGACGTACCAGAAATACATACATATAATACTTTTGATTGTCTAATACCAAGCTTACAATGTTCGACCGATGGTGATGATAGATTGTAAGGTGGACTCTATAGTAGTTAGTTATTCTCTACCCTGATACCGACTTCTTAGTTGTCGAAGTTCGTTATTTATTTATTTAGTAATCCAACAATTTTTATACATAAGTTTCTATATTAACTATTATATAACAAAATTAAAACCAAAATAGGATTACACAGGTAACTTAAATATATTAATAACTAGAAGACGGTATGTATAATGACGGTTGTAGCATAAAAGTAAAACTTATAGTATAAAAGTAATGTAAAGGTAAAACTGTTTTAACGGGTGGGAATCCAATAGGTGCGTGTTTGCATGATTGTGTGTGTGTGTGTGTGTGCGTGTGAGTGTATGTGTGTTGTTATGAATTTTTATCTTTTTTAATTATAGCTTTTTTAAAAACTAGTTTTGACATGCTGAACACATCAATTTCTGAGTATTTTGAATTATATGTGTGGACCATGCGATTAAAGACAGAGTTGTGTGCATAGTTAGTGTTTAGTTCAGGCGTGTGGAATAGTGCTGTATGTCGTGTGCGACGATTAGGAACTCTTAAATACAAAGCGCTCAATAAATCGGTGCAATCTATATCTCCGGTAATTATTCATGTAGCATATACATATCATAATGTCGTCGTCTCGTTTCTAATGTTTCAATATTATATTGTTTACATATATCAACATAATCGTTAAATTCTTTAAAGTCCTTAAAGCAAAGAAATTTTATGATTTTTTTTGTATTCTTTCCAGTTTTTCTTTGTAAGTTATAGAATTTTATACAGTTATAAACTGTAACCTCCACGTGTTGTCCAGGGTTCCCGCGCCGTGTCGCACGCGCCGCTGTCAGGTCGGGGCAGCTCCGCGCGGGACTCGGCCGCGCTGGCCGCCTTCCACGTGGAGCTGACCGAGACCTGCATCGACCTCCTCGCCAGATACACCTTCACACCCTGCAGCGTCAAGCCGCAGAGGTCTGTACAAGCTGCTCCACTGATATGTATAGCTATACTAGAAGACCCGGCGAACTTCGTATCGCCCTATAATCAAGAAATATGTGTTACGTTTTTTTATTTATATTTTTGGAGTTTACCTATTAAAGCCATAAATCTCCGCGTTTTGAAGTGCGACAGAAGGATTGACATATTAGTTAGTTGTCAAATCTTATGTCAAAAAAAAACTTTTGTATCAACAATTACTAATAAATTAAAAATTAATTTAAAAAACATTGTCCACCGGACAAAATTGTGATTCTAAACCATTCCCAGATCCCCTTGAACACACACAAAAAATTTCATCAAAATCGGTCCAGTCGTTTGAGAGAAGTTCAGTAACATACACACTCACAGAAGAATTATATATATATATAAAGCTTTAGCACACGTCACTATAACACATGTATTTGTACAGGAGCGACACGGCCGAGTTCCTGTTCAGCGGAGGCCAGTCCACCACGTGGCTGGTGGGACACAAGCTGGTCACCATCACCACCTCCGGCTGTCTGCAGAACTCCATCAAGCAGGGGCTGTGCGAGAGGTGACACACGCACACACGCACACACACACACACACACACACACACACACACACACACGCGCGCGCGCGCGCGCACACACGCCCCCACGCACACAACACTCATCCTTAACGTGCTACATACTAAGCGGTGTATGTGTTCCAGATGCGCCACCCTGTGTCGCCGACACGTGGAGAGTGCGAGCAGCGCCCTGCCCGGAGACACGCCGCAGGTCACTAGTCTGTTCTACTAATAACAATACTATATTTCTTTAGTCCACTTAAATTAAATCCATAGTAATATATATAATTCGTATACAGGAAAACTCGGAGCAGTCAGGATCCCTCCAGCCGCCGCCCTCTGAAATCAAACGGTAAATCACACATACTTTATGTCTAACATTTATCTTAAATAATAAAGTAAACTCTCTAGCTTCCTTGAATAGAAATCTAATAAAATAAAACTGTTTGAGAAATAATCTGAACGAAATGTGGCTTCCGCTTACAACGAGAAGGAACAAACTCACCGAACAGTGAGCTCTGATATATAGTAACGACCGTGGACACACTGATGACTACTGAACCAACCTGACATATATAAGGTCCGAAGGACCAACATAAAGCACAATACATATGACAAGTCCAATAACCTCGCTCGCTATATTAGATGAGTTGGTTCAGTAGGTGTGAGTGTGAGTCGTAACACGTCGTTGTCTGGTCGATACACTGCATGGTGCTTGTCCGTGTGTGTGTGTGTGTGCGCGTGTGTGTGTGCAGCTACAGCAAGTGCTCGCTGCAGCACAGCCGCTCCACGGACACGTCCGCCTCCTCGCTGTGCGTCTCCGAGCTGACGCCCTCCAGCGGACACACCACCAGGTCGGACCCTGCGCACGACACACAGCCACCTCCCTCACGCTTACTATATACTACTATATACAGACTATAAGACTTACCTCGTGACCGACGAAATGTTCCATGACACAGACCTACACGTGATCTCATGTTCACAGAATTATATAAGAAACCTCAGTCTTGCAAATATATAGAATGTTGTCACCAACGTAACCTTGGACCCTCTGACTAACTTTTACAAAATACAAGACTAAACTCTCGTACAGAACCTGACGCATCCATCCCTTACTGACTAAAACCCCTCGATGACCTCTGACAACAATCCTTAGTATATCGAAGTATCGATGTTGTTGACTTCCGTCCCATGACGAGTTTCCGTCCCCTTTTTAATTCACTCGTTACTCGATGCGGCTTTGGCTGTTTTCTGTTCTGGCTTAACAGCTTACAACACTATTCTGCACATAACCGCTGATCCGTCACAATATTATACGATTTATTTTATAAACTTTCCTCAGTTTTTCTGTTCGTATAATTTATCGCTGTGTACGGAGGTCACTACTGTACCGTGTCTCCTGCCTGATGTTTGTTCACCGGCTGCTCGTTAGTCGCTTTGTTCGTTGCGATGGTCCGTCACGAATCGTTTTTCAACTGAGTTATGAACGTTACAGACAAAACTCGTCCGAGAACAAACCCACGGATCCTCTGCTGGACGCGCTCAATCAGTTCACGCAGCGCTTCGAGAAAGTGTCCAAAGAAGTGGTGAGTGTCGTCCGTTAGTGACGTAGGATGTATGTATGTCTGTGTGTGTGTGTCATGTGATGTTTGTGTTGTAGGAGTGCGAGGAGGGCGGCTGGTCGCGGGTGGGCGAGCTGTCGGCCGGCGGCACGTGTCCGTGTTGGTGCGCGCGCTGGGCCGAGCTGCACGTGCGGTCACCCACCGGGGACGTGTCCTGGCTGCTGAGGATGCAGAACCATGTGAGGACACACGCACACATACACTCACTAGAGAAACGATTACGAACACACACATAGAAAGGAACTGTTCACACGCTTCACATATATAACTTCTGGGAATATATGGCCATAGGATAAGGTGTAGTGTGTTAGCATCGTGAAGCGACTCACTCGTCATGATAACATGGTCCAGAAAACTTTTACGGATCATTAAAAATGAATTTCCCATTGAACAGCGATCTTTTAAACATTTTTTTAAACGCATATGACGACGTGGCATTTCTTTGGTAATTATACTAAGAATTACTTTTCATAAATTAATTATGATTATCTCAGCTTTCCTAACTTCAAATTTGATCTCAGTGGTTTATACTTATTATATCAAATAACAACGCTCTTCGAAACGTACTCTCAGGACAACCAACACTGGAACCAATCTATATTTGAGGCGTCTAGAAACAAAGAAAAATCGAGTACGAAAGATACCTAGATATAGAAAACGATATTTAGACACGTAGATAACTATGTAGTATAAGTAAGCCGCGTGTGTCACACAGATCAGCTCGTCGCAGCTCCAGGAGTGGCCGCTGCAGGACGTGCTCGCGCTCCTGGCGCCGCCGGGGGCTTCGGTCGTGTGTCCGCCGGCCGGCCCCGCCCCCTGCCCCGCCCCACCGCCGGCCGGAGCCCCCTCAGCCCCCGCTGAGAACTCCACTCGTCCGTCTCGATCCTCTCTACAACGCTCTCACGCACAGGACCTGCACAAATCAAGGTAACACATCTATGGAGACTGATCTCTCTAAAGTTATGAAGTCGTGGTGGCCTGGAATATTTAGACACTACTGACAGACGGTACAGGGAAACATCGTGAGGAAACCTTGACTTATAATTTCAAATTATAAGTTTGACATCACCAACCCGTCTTGAGCAGGCGTGGTGATTAATACTCTAATCTTATCCACGTGAGAGGAGGCCTCACATCAGTGTTCTGTATAGTGTGATGCGTCGTGTTCCAGTTCTGACTCGGTGGTGGGTGACCGCCGCAGCCAGTCGGGGGGCGCGGCGGGCGGCGCTCGTCTCAGCACGCAGCCCATCAACATCCCGGGCTCGCCGCAGAGACAGAGCTCCTCCAGCACCACCGACGACGAGGAGATGCTGCTCACAAGACCGGAGGTACGCGCGCGCGCACGCACACATGACACTGTTGTCGTTGAGCTTTAATCTACTGAATACCTGGTTACCGAGCTTTGCTCGGTATTTAGGAATTTTTAGTATTTATTTTGTGATTTTTTTTATTTCGTGTAGTCATTTTTAAGTGAACACGTTAAGAAGACACAAAACAATATAAATCAACAATAATAATTAATTTCTTAGTCTAACGTCAAAACAAACACTGATTGACTTCCTTACTTGTTACTTCACAGAGACCGCTCATAAATTTATGCAATTATTTAGGGTCTATGATAAGAAAGTAAAGTTTAATTAAATAAAATAAATGGTTAAATTTAATTACTTTATTTATGCGTCACAAATTAACAAAAATGGAATGGAAATGGAATTCAATAATATCTATAATACAAGGAATATGGCACTATAAATAACTATACTACGAAAATGAGATCTTTATTCTTAAATACTAAAATGTTACAATTTTTTTTTTCTTATTTTTATTAATTTGAATAAACTTAAAATAAAATCAAATAAAAACGAAACAAAAAATAAAAAAATGAAACAAAATTGCAACGCCTCAACTTTTACAATATTTCGCAGCGGTAACAACACATTTTTACAAAATTTCCAAAAAAAATTGGTAGTTTACATACAAAACAGGTAAACGGTTTTGTGTTTCCTTTTTATATTATACGTATTGTATTTTGATTTCATTAGTCTTATTTCATTATTTGTGTGTAGTAAAATTTTGTCTAAAATCTCATCCGTAAATAAGAGAGAAACTCCAAATATCAAGTGGTCTAGTAGAATTATTAAGAATACTCTGAATATTGGATTCACACCAGGCGTTTGGTGTACAATATTATGCTGAGGTGTCCTTGAACAAATGACGTTAGGCACAGATGACCAGCGAAAACGATTACTGAAAAGTATTTTTTTTTCTTGGCCTATCTCTGGACTGCAAACGCGAAAACGGCATATTATCTTCCAACGAGTCGTGCTCTTAGGAAATCTAGATTTAGATTGTGATCTTGAAGAGGTTCACACTCTTCAGTCTACTCTTGATCAACATGATTATATCAGGTTCGACGTCGCTGTAATCCTCGCCAGATTTGTTATTTCGTCCGAGATCTCTTGCTGAATCATATTTCAAATACACACTTGTAATCGCAACCACGTACACACTTGCCGAGGGCTGGCGACACCGTGAGCGGTGTGTTCTACAAGATACATGAACGCCCCTTAAGGCACGCTACTCACACGCGGAAATATTTGAATTTGAGAAATCGTTGCGGTCTCTGAGACCGCAGGTAGGTGGTTAAGGGTGAAAAGCAATCAGCAAAAAATAGTATTACTATTCGCCAATAGATGTCAGGAAGAGTCATATTTTAGACGCCTCCTTTTTGTTATTTTTTTCATAAAACAACGTTATCTAAAAATGATTCCTAGCTAGATCGATTTATCGCCCCCGAAACCAACCGTATATACTAAATTTCATGAAAATCGTTGGAGCGGATTCCGAGATTCCAATTATATCTTTATATATACATATATACAAGAATTGCTCATTTAAATATATAAGATATATTTTAGATCTCATCAGAACAGATGTCCGAGTGACACGTATCGCGGACTCTTACTGAAGGGCATAAATAAAATCTTTTCTTATTTGTTAATCTAACAAACAAATTATCTGAACAGTTAGCAACAAAAAAAATTGGCTCTAACAAATATTCCAAAGTTCCAAACGAGCAATCTCCAAATTCCAAACGGCTTAATAATTTATTTGTTCCGCTTAAAGTTCTTTTATTTATTTATTTATTTACAACAAGCACACTTCCAACATACATATTATATATTTTCAGTTAAAATGACTATATTAAAACATCAGATATGTATGTCAATGACAAGTGTACATAACATTTACTAACTATAAACAGTGCACAATTAAAAAGTTTACATACTAATTTAAAAATAAAATAAAAATATTACGTAAAAATCACAAAATAAAATAAAAAATATTACTATAAAAACTTAGGAAAACTTTAACTTAGATAAAAAATAGTCAATATTTTTTTGTTTAAATACATTAAACGAATCACTAAATAGACTATAGATAGAATAGAATAAATAGAATAGATAATAGGTCTAGACTTGGTAATTTTTTTGGAATTGTCATTATAAAATTTTGCTATTTGCACTACGGGAGACTGGGATCCAAGATTAGTTTAGTTTCTTTTGAGTTATTGAAGCTTGAATGTAATTTTTTCTGATTGTTTAATGGTTAAAAAAATGATCATGGATATAACAATGAATTTTCTACTGTTTTTAAATTCACGCTCTTCCTAGAATAATAGGATAACAATATTAGAATAAAACAATGTTCATTAACCTCCCTCCCTCCCTTCTTCCAGGGTAAATCTCGTCACCACGTGCGTCGCTCCAACTCGTCCCCGGAGATGTCGTCTCTGAAGGGACTGTCGAGGGAACTCGACCACGACCTGAACGACCACGACGAACACATGCTGCTGCCCATGTGTGAACCAGCGTACGACACACACACGCACGCACACACAGACACAGACGACACGCGGCCCACTGCTCACCTTAACGAATTGATTGTGTGCTACAGGAACCCGGTGTCGCTGCACGCTCCGAAGAAGGCTCCCAAGAAGACGGACACTCGTGTGTCGTGTGAGGCCATACCGGAGGAGATGAGCGGCACCTCGCCGCAGCCGCACCCTCAACACCCTCAGCACCCTCAACACCCGCAGCAACACACGCACCCGCACCCTCACCTCGTCACATACAACTCGGACCCGGGTCAGTCTCACAATGGTCATATAACACTTAGAGAAACAATGACTCGGAAACAAAAGTAAAGTTGAGATGACTCAGACCCGTACAGTGGTGTATATAGTGACGCGTTACATGATACTGAACTATATACGATGGCTACCAGAGGGTTAAGATAACTACGAAAGTTACTTACATATATGTATATTAAAATAAGAACTACATAACAAAACTTATAACCTACACCTAACACTACATGATTGACCCGATGTAAGGATAGTAATACCATTCCATAGCTTGTGTGGTATCGGAGATCTTCTGGTTCACACGGCTTGGTGTTCGTTCCGCGGAGTCAACAGCGTCACCTGTTCTATATTTTATCCATACAAAAATATTGGCCAACGATGTTCATTTATTTGTTGATATGTAGCGCGTACGTAACAAGTGTAGTATCAGTATGAACAATACTCACTGTGAACAAGTTTGTCTAGTAGTGTATAACGTGAGACTGTAATGTAATGTTCCAGGAGCACCCGAGGAGCCGCGACCCTCCGCGCACCAACTACAGAAGGTGAGGACCGACACACGCGGGATAATAACATACAGACATACATACAGATCCTTATTTACTAATAACTTAAATTTTCCTTTAAATCATCTGTTGATATTTGTGTTATCAGAAATAAAACTTGTCGGATATAAAAATGCACAAAGGTATTTATCCAATTAATAGAAAATTAGTTAGCGACACCATTAAAAGAAGTGAAAAAAGTAATGCCAACAAAATAGAAAAGACAACATAAAGAAAATAATTAAGGTTGCGTTCACATCATCCATCTGTGTTGTCGAACGGAACATCTCAACAGTATTTTAAAATAATTTTCCAAGGGATCTTAATAGAAAAAGCGTGAACTTATATCTTGTTGGGATTTTTGATCAAATATTTCCGATACCTATATTTGTGCGACTATTTTCCTGATATGCCCGATATCGACAATCCGTATATATGGCATACCCCGTACTATTGTCTAAACACTAAATAATGAATGCTGTCGATAACATATTATATATTCTCTACTGTAAACCAAAACACATACTAAACGTCTCTTGGGGCACTACAACATTAAATATTTTCAACTCGTCTGTCCGTGATCACGGTCACTGCTAAAGAACCGAAACGTAGCGAGTATGCAGTTTTAAAAATATAAAAAACGCTACGTTAATCCGAAAAATTTGGTTTATTTAATTGAATACTCACGAAAATCTTGAAATATAATTACACCAACATATAGCTTAATGGATATGTAAGAGAAATAATGTGAGAGATGATAGTGATCCTTGCCTTGCCCTACCATAGACGTATCTTATTAGTTATTATATACATCCAGCTCCTCGTGTTGACAGACGAGCAGCGACAGCCGCGTCACCCTCAACTCCACGGAGGGTCGCGGGGCGGCGGCGGGGGGCGAGGGCCCGGGGGCGGAGTCCCGGGACGAGCTGCAGCCCCTGGCGCGCTCCAAGAGGTCCAACACTATCAGTGTCATGAGCCCCACCAGGAGGAACCGGTACCACACTACTTGTATATACTATACAGGGTGACTGGTGAATTACTATCGATACTTGAGGACGTGATATTTGACGATCATATATGACAAAATAAAAATTAATATAACATAAATATTCATAAACTTCTAAGTAAAATTTACCAAAAGTTATGTAATTAATTACGCATCGTGTGAACACCCTACAGATTAGGTGTATACACACACACACACATACGCGTGCGGCGGCGTCGTGTTGTATCAGCACGCCGCCGCACGCGTCCACACTTGGAACACTTGGAACGTGGCCGCACTTTATTTATTTATTCGGAAATTTGGTCAAAAATTAAGTACCCATTTTTTTTACATAATTCGAATGAGAATCATGTACCGAGTATTCTCCTTAAATATTGATAGTAATTCACCAGTCACCCTGTATAGACAGTCCCTAACAGACAGACAAACTATGTTGGCCAACGCTGAATGTTCTTGTTAGCTTAAGAGCCAGTGAACGGATACCTGTATGTATTTGACCAGACCTGGGCTTTTGTACATTCAGACCCCTTTACCTACCGTACATGAGATGGGGACTCATTAAGCCCTAAGTGGTGGACGCGGCTAGTGCGCAGGTAGGACAGGTATCGATTTTTGGCTATCTATAAATGCATTTGACCACGGCTGCCGTTTTGATATTTGAAAATACATTATTATTATTAGTGGAAAAAACAAGGCAGACCACTATCAAGCGTTTAACATTGTGGCAGACGATTTTGAAATGTAAAAAAAAATAAATTAAAATAAAATACATATAAATAATATTATTTTTTGTTCTTTGATTTTTTCGTTATGTATCTCCTTCTTTATCGTATAATTTTAAAAGTTTAGTATGTAGACTACATAGAATATATTAAATTCATTAAAATATACAGTGATTAAGTAAATTATAGGACGCATATATATTACGCACTAGCCGCGTCCACCACTTAGGGCTTAGTGAGTCCCCATCCCATGTACGGTAGGTAAAGGGGTCTCAATGTACATAAACCAGACTTGGTCAAATACATACAGGTATCCGTTCACAGGCTCATAAGCTATGTAACCCATCAACCAACCGCCCCGATGAGTATTCCAGAGCTATTCAATTTCCGAGTCTGTTCTGTGTCACGAAGTCTGCCCCCTACTCTCTATAGATCTATCTCTCTACTGTCGGTGTGTGTATCGTTCCAGTGAGTCTCCCCGGTCCGCGGTCAGTGCCCCTAGCTCGGCGGGCGTGTCCGGGGCGGGGGGAGGCGCGGGGGGTGTGTCTCCGTCGTTCGTGTTCCTGCAGCTGTACCACAACATGAGCACGTTCCCGATCTCCCCCTGCGTGCCCGGTCTGTACTCACACATATATATGTGTAACACTCAGTCAGTCAGTCAGTGGTCGTTCGTATGTGTGAAGGTGTGTGTGTGTCTGTGAGCAGGGTCCCCTCCCCCGCCGCTAGTGTGTGGCGGCGCGCTGCACGCTCGGCCGCTCAAGGTGTCGGACGCGCAGCATCAGAGGACCATCAAGAACCTCGACCTCGTGCCGCCGCTAGAGACATACAAGGTACGACGTGCGATACTGGAGTCATAAATAAAACGTACCATAGGACAGTGCAGAAGCCTTTAAAATTAATGAAAAGTGAAAATAAATTACAGTAGAATGAAACTCATTAGAAAAGGAAGGCGATATTATAAAATTAAAGGAAAAATAATTTACGGGCGATCTGAGGTCGGGAAGGGTATGGGGATGGGTATTTAATGGTAAAAAATGGGTTTTCTCGATTTCCGGCAAAACTAAAAGTCCTACGGGAAAATTTTATATGGCAAAATTGTTGGTAAATATTTCTAATCAAATAAATTACAGTGTATTTGGGACATCAAAAGGTAAGTTTTGACCAAATTTCGTGACAAAATATATATTTTTTTGTAAGAGATAAAAATAAAAAACCAAAAACTTGGTTTTTCTAATTTTTCACATAAAATTGGAGGTTATGTGAAAAAAAATTTAGTACTAAAGTTTTAAATCTTTTTATTACCTACAATTTTGTCATATAACATTTTCCCGTAGGACTTTTAGTTTTGCCGGAAATCGAGAAAACCCATTTTTTACCCTTAAATTCCCATCCCCATTCCCTTCCCGACCTCAGATCGCAAGTAAATTATTTTTCCTTTTATTTTTATAATATTCCCCTCCTTTTCTAATGAGTTTCATTTTACTATAAGTTATTTATTTTTATTTACTTATTAATTTAATTTAATTATGTTTTAAAAGCTTTCGGCACTGGTCTACTAGTCACATACAGGTTTATAAAAGTTGTAATGTGTGTCGGTGGCCGCAGGTGGGCGTGCTGTACGTGGGCCCCGGACAACACGACGATGAGGTGGCCATACTCAAGAACGAATACGGCAGCGTCAGGTGACTCACCGCCGACCTTAGGTGTTCCGAGGTGTTGATACGACGGGCTCATGTGTGTGTGTGTGGGCGGCAGGTACATGGAGTTCCTGCGGCAGCTGGGCACGCTGGTGCCGCTGGAGGGCGCCGAGGAGCCCAACCTGTTCCTGAACCTGGAGAAGGGTGGCAAGGACGGGCGCTACACGTACGTGTGGAGCGACGACATCATGCAGGTGCTGTTCCACGTGGCCACCGCCATGCCCAGCTCCGACAGGGACCCCACCTGCAACGAGAAGAGGAAGTACATCGGGAACGACTTCGTGAGCATCGTGTACAACGACTCGCAGCACAACTTCAACATACACACCATCAAGGTGAGTGTAAGGGAGCGCGCCCTCCCCCCACCACCCGGCCGGGGGTAGTCGTACAACTGTAGGTATGGTTCCAGGGTCAGTTCAACCTGTGCATCGTGGTCGTGGAGCCGCTCGCTCACGGCATGCACCGCGTCACGCTGAAGACTAAAGACGAGAGACTCCGCAGCGAGTTCCTCGCGCACGCCGAGCCCGCCTGCGTGTCCGACCACAACGTGGCGCTGCTGGCCAGGCAGCACGCGCTGCACGCCGCGGTACGGACACTAACTAGGGGCCCTCACCCCCACACACACACACACACACACACACCCCCACCTCACCGTCTGTACGTGTGGTTACAGCTGGCCTCTCAGATCTCGCAGTCCCTGAAGCCGGGCGGCGAGCCGTACGCGTCCAACTCCCTGGAGCGCCTGCGTGTCATCAAGCGGCTGCGGGCGCGCGCGCTGGCTGCCCGCCTGGCCCGGCCCGCGCCGCCCTACGCGCCGCCCGACCCCGCGCCTCTCGCCATCGACGACTTCAACCACTACACGTGAGCCCCGGCCGCGGCCGCGGGAGCCTGGTGTGATCTAATATTAAAGAAGCTAATATTTTTTATCGTATGATTGATTTAGGTAGAGTTTAAACATGAAATTTAATAAATGAAATGGTCAAGTCGTGTACCGGACGTCCGCCGGGGACGGGGACCGCCGTTGCTTTGTTCTACATGTCCGACCCCTGTGAGATGTGATCATAAAGCAGCCCTCAACACGGTCGTCGTATCGTCGGTGGTGCCCCCCTCCCCTCCCTCCCCGTGGTCCGGGAGTGTGTCCTCAATTCGTCGTATCGCGTCATGAATGTCCTCAGTGTAGTTGTCAGCGGCTCACCGTTCTGTGTTATCTGTGTTTACTGACGGTCGTGGTCCCGGATGTGCCCCGGCCGCCTCCCGTCTCGAGCCAACTCCGAGGAGGCATTTCTTGTTGGAATATTTAATGTAGCAATTTATTTCCTGACGAAAGATTTTGTAATCGAATAAATGATGGCTATTTTTCCATTTCTTTCATTTAATAGTTGAATGATGATGAATCCCCTTGAACACACACAAAAAATTTCATCAATACGGTCCTGTTGTTTGAGAGAAGTTCAGTGACACTCACAGAAGAATTTTATATATAAAGATAAAATATTTGGATCGATCAAGTATCAACCACACGTCAACCTTAATCTTACATATTTAAATCTCACTAGGAATCATTTTCAGAAAATGTAATTTTATTTAAAAAAAAATACAAAAGGGAGTCGTTTAAAATATCACTCTTCCTGACATCTATTGGCGAATAGTAATACTACTTTTTCTAATTGATTTTACCAATTGCTTTAACGACTCAACAGCAGATGGCGTTGTTAAGTACCAGGAAGGCAATGAGTGTTTGTTTTGAGGTTAGACTAAGAAATTAATTATTGATTTATGGGTGAATATACGCTATTTGAATTCCATTGGTCTATAAACAAATTGTATGTAAAACTTATTATATCACTGTGTCCCCACCCCAAACAATAAAGAATATGGCATTTTATTTGGCCCACAAAGACTATTCACGATAATTATTTAATTTATATTTTTAATAATATTTTAAAATGTATACTCCTCTGGCCTTCCTATTTATGAATTAAAATGAACTTATGAAATGTACTTTTAAACTTACACACAATTATATTTTTTATTTAATGTGGTCATACGCTTTAATAAACATCGACACATATTTTAACAAAATTAAGAGTACAAATATTTTTTTAATATAAAATAATATAACTTATTTTCGAGTCTGACTTCGAGAAAACTGAAAAAAAATTAATAATCGTTTGGCCCCTATGTCATCAGCCAATGAACACCCACTGCTGAGCAAGGCCTCTTTCTCAGATGGAGAAGGTTTGAGCATTAATCACCACGCTTGCTCAAGACGGGTTGGTGATTTCAAACTTATAATTGTGAAACTATAAGTCCAGGTTTCCTCACGATGTTTTCCTTCACGGTATGTCAGTGGTGTCTAAATACTCTCATAAAGTACATATGACTCTGAAAAATCACATCGGTACTTGCCAGGTTTGAACCCGCGCCCTCGGCAAAGAGAAGCGGACCCTTTAACCACTAGGCCACCACTGACTTGGCCCCTATGATTAGGTACTTACTAATTTACAAATAGTGTCAAATAAATAAATTATAAATATTGAATGGAACCGATAACATTTTCTTCTGGTTCACGAAAAAACCAAATAGCGTATATTCACTCTTATATTGTTTTGCGTCTACTTAACGTGTTCACTTAAAAATGCCTAAACGAAATAAAAAAAACACAAAATAAATACTAATAAATCCGTAATATCGAGCAAAGCTCGGTAACCAGATATTTATTGTGTATATTGCACATTTTGTATATTGCATTGTGTATATTGCACAAAAATATTAAAAAAAAATAAAACAATTCTACTCACTTCCAGAGAAAAAAAATGCAAATAAACTTAATATAAACCCATATAATTGAGTCGTAAGGAAGATTAACATAGCGTTCTTTATTACAACTTAGAATTCCTATTCTAAATTGTGACGTATTTCGGAGGATTTTGTTATATTTTTCAATAACTAGCTGTAAAATTACTAGACCGAGGACTTAACGTGCTTCCTACTATGGAGGAAACCGATCTCTTAGGAAGTCAAAAAGCAGCAAATTAACCGGAGTCTAATTAATGCGAAAGTTGAGTCTTCCTTTGAACATTTATTAATCACCACCAGCAATTTCAATATTTTTTATAACATTTAAGGCGACGCAGTATCTACGACTATAATATTATTAGTAACGACCGCAAACCATACAACCTTTTTCCTTATAACGCATCCCGCGCGAATAAATTTAAACAAATGACATTATTTTTGTCAAATGTTATTGGCATCGTAAGAGCAAGATGAAACTGGTTTTAAAGTTGTTATGTGTAAGTGTAATCAGCTGCGCTCCGTCCGAGGCCCTACTGGAGAGTCTCCTCGGAGCGAGGGACGAGTACCTCGTGACGACCTGCCTGGGGCACGAGGCGAGATGTGACGGAGCTCTCGTGAGGTCCGACTGGGTCGTGGTTGAATACTCGTGTCTCGCACCCCACGAGTTCACTCCCATGAAATACGTGATTTTGGGCAAACACAACTGTTCAATGGGTTTGTGAATAAATATAAAGTTACTAGCTAGTTCCGCCCGCGTGGACTCCGGTTATATCGCGTTTCCAAGAGAACCTTTTAAAAGTCTGGAATAAAAACTATTCCATGTTCTTTCTCAAGGTCAACTCCATCTCTGTACCAAATTTCATTAAAATCAGTTCAGTGGTTTAGACGTGAAAGCGTGTTTTTCATTGTTTACTCCCCGCAATACCTCATGTGGGTGGAATTTTATAAAATCCGTTCTTTAAGCTGACCTCTATTCTGCAAAAGGAATAATCCTACCAAATTTCAAGTCGCTACGCCTTATGGTTCCAGAGATATCGTGAATAAAATAAAATATAGATGGAAATCTCTTTTATATATATAGATAAAAAGCTTTTTTGTTTACACTATCTTCCAAATATAATGAGTACGCTTCGGACATGTTCATCAATATTATATGAAAATGTAACATACTAGATTTGACAATATAGAAGCGGTGACTTCGGGGTTCACCGAACAGGGAGTCTCGCTGAGTCGCACCGTGGTGAGAACGTTTCCTGGCGAGATGGAAACTTATATGAACCTCGCCCTGCTCAAGCTGGACCGACCTTACGAACTTCAATATTACAATCGGTCTCACGACTCGGAAACTCTCGATAAGTTGGTATTAAAAAATATTAGTTTAAGGGTGAGTGCTGTCGAACCTACGACTCGACAGTATTCAGCAGATCATTGCAATTCTATTAAGATGAATAGGCGCCAAAGATATTTATGAGTCAGTTTTCCCTCTGCAGAGGCAAGAAAATTACGATTTATCTTAAAATCATGTACATGAATGAGTTTTATCAATAAGTCTAAACCCTTTACATATAACAGTACCAAGAAAACAAACAAGCTGCTATAAATTATTTGTTGAACTTTAATTATTCAAGATGATGAGCCTGAGAAGTAAAAAAATATAGCCCATTACTTGCCTGTGCATCACAGAAGATTTCTAAAACTTTAAGCCATTATTAGAGGAGCATAATTAATTCTTATATTTTCGTTTTGTCAAGAGTATGATTACAACAGGGTGATAACCATTATTATTGTGGTTATAAACTATTGACAACAAATATGTTATTTAGATAGTATGAAGACTTGGACTATTATGTAGTAATTAAATATATGCATTAATATTTGCAACCAACAATTATACTAACAACATGTTATTCTCTCGACAGGTTTTCCAGGTGGTTTGAGGTTTATATGTATATGTCTACTATACAAACTACGTCAAATGATATGTCGCATGTGACTATCCATCACGTGAGGCCGGTTCCCTTCAAGGTGTTCCTACTAACTGTGATTCTGCCCATGGTGGCGTTTGCAGCATTCTTTGTCTACATTATATTCTACACGGGCAGTACAGAAGAATCTAAGATTTCTTATAAAACACTAAATAATGAGAAGAAAGAACACCCCGTCTAAGATAATACATAGTTATTTTTTTTCAAAGTATGTTGTTATAATGGGTCAGTCTTTAAGAAGAGTTCAATTTCCTTTTAATTTATTAATTTAATTTATTAAAAGCTCCAACTGATATCAATTGTTTTATTTACATTTAACTAATCTATTGTCTAAGCATGTTAACACTATGTATCGGCGTCTTTCTGTTCCTTGTTCAGAAGTCTCTTCCACACCTTGACCTTTCCCCTGAGCTCCCGGAGTCGTTTCATTTCCTCCTTAAAGTCCTGGTGTTCATCTCTGTACAGTCCGTACTCTCTCAGCTTCAACATCAAGGCGTGTGTCTCCACGTGCCGCGGATAGTAATGCAAGATGTTTTCGTTGGTGTGAAGCGGTCGCTCGGAAAATATTTTTACGACTTTCATTGACTTGGCGTTGGTCGGTATCGCTACTTCACCGAAGATTCTATTAGACAGACGCTTCATCCTCTCGGCGTATTTGGTTTGATTGTTTATTAATTGTGAATATTTCACGAATTTAGTTGCCATCGTGATAGTTTCTAAAAAACAAACAATATAACCTTATCTTAAAAATTATTTATTAAAATAAATTGAAAACCACAAATAATACAAATATATATAAACCCATTTACATAAGCTTACCCGGTAAACAAAAAATAAATACTTTCGGCAATTAATTAAAATATTTGATATCCATAATATTTTGATTCTACAAGAGATGGTCGGACCTGGTTGATCGGACTGATTCTGACATTTTGCTGTCAATTGTCATTTACTTTTTTTATACTTTCATAACAAATGCTGTGGATTCTACATGATTAGTTATGTTGTGTAAGAACTTTACAATAGTTTTAAGACTTCTATATTATGATTTTATTATTTAGAAATTGAATAAACAAATCAATTTATAAGGTTATATTTTTTCGGCGTTTTTTTTAAAACCTAACATAACATTTAAATATAATTGGACTGTCTGACACATTTAGCTTGAACAGAAAATACTAGACTTTGTCGAATAAACACATCGAAGAAAATTCTGACTCCCACCTGAATGTCTTTTGTCTCTTCATAAGATTAAGTTATTAACTGAACAATGACTTGAGTCTTTGACTGTCACGTTAAACTGCCTACTGAGAATTCCTTTTAGTCCTTCTCCTCTCGGAAAAAAGTTGCAGAGAGCAACTTAAAACTCTGTTCTGGGCTAGTAAGTCTCGCTTGTTGCTTCGAGATTAGCTTTTAGCGCAGCCTACATTTAGTTCTTTTTGAAATAAAAGGGGTGCACCATGGTAACAAATGGAACCCAACCTTTTTTGATTGTGGGAGGGAAAGAAATGGACGAAAAAAATATATACATACTATGACGTGACAACGTCACAGACACAACTATACTACCCTTCGCACTGACCCCGCGGTAACTACAAAGAATTTCGGTTTAAAGGTTATTCTGTGGTCTAAATTGAACTATTAAAAAAGTTTTATCAAACTCCGTTTAGTAGTCTCTGAGTAAAAGAATAATAAACAATAATACACACTTCCTCATATCTTAACAAGCTTTCGCAATTTATAATATTAAGAGGCTTTTGTTTTAACGAACTAATTTATATTCTTTTTATAAGAAAGAATGTAATTTATTTAATTGCTGTGACATTATTGTTACGATTTGTCACTGCAAGTACAGAAACAATACAAGTTGAAGATAAAAGATCCGGGAGGAAAACATGTGCAGTGGAAAAGAAATGAACATTTATTGTATGGAATAAAAAATATTTATTTCATAATTCAGAAGAAATAAGCTACGTGATGACATCAAATAATACGTTGTATATTGGAAACATGGATAATTAATATTGAGAAATAATATTTTATAAGCATAATATTTAAGTATATCAACTGTCACACATTGACTTGCTCTTTATTTGTTTTGAAAATATATTCTGAGAAGATTCCTTTTTGTAAATTGTAAAATTTGTAAACTTAATTTTTATTTGAATAAAATACGATTTTATTTTGTTTTCTATAAACCTTCATGATGTATTCTCATGTTTTTTAATTGTTACGTTACTTATAGTTTATCATCTGTATACAGACTACAGAGCTGACGGTATACACAACATAAAATACTTAACATTCTAATATGATTCCAAACACACAATAGAACATTTAAAGAAGTAACGAGTTATAAATTTGGTTTTAGACACAACAAAAGACAATGTGAGATAAAATGTATGATTATTAACATAGATTATATAATATTTTATTATTATAATTATCACTACAATTCAATGAGAAGTTTTTTTTATTTTTGCTATAACAATTGTGTGTTATGACACTTCGTTGCTGTTCCTGTACCACAACTCACAATTTGGTAATGTCATAAAATACGGAACAATTCATGTCTAATATACAATATGTGGTTACCGAGCTTTGCTCAGTATTTAGGAATTATTAGTATTTATTTTGTGTTTTATTTATTTAGTTTAGGCATTTTAAGTGAACACGTTAAGTAGACGCAAAACAATATAAGGGTGAATATACGCTATTTGGTTTTTTCGTGTCCCAGAAAAAAATGTTATCGGTTCCACTTTATATTTATAATTTATTTATTTGACACTATTTTAAAACTAGGAATCACAGGGGCCAGACGATTTTTTTTTTTCAGTTTTCTCGAATTCAGACTCGAAAATAAGTTATATTATTTTATATTAATAAATATTTTTACTTTTAATTTTGTTAAAATATGTTTCGATGTTTATTAAAGTTTATGATAACATTAAATAAAAAACATAATTGTGTACTTTTTGAAAGTATTCAGCCATAAGTTCATTTTAATTCATAAATGGGAAGGCCAGACGAGTTTACATTTTAAAATATTATTAAAAATAATAAATTAAATGATTATCGTGAATAGTCTTTGTGGGCCAGATCAAATGATTCTTTATTGTTTAAGTGTAGAGAGACAATCACATAATAAGATTTTTATTTTATTTATTTGGGAAACAAACAATTTAAGAACACTGTAGTCTTCTTCTTCTATATATATAAAAATGGATTGCTGTTCCTTAGTCTCGCTAAAACTCGAGAACGGCTGAACCGATTTGGCTAATTTTAGTCTTGAAATACTCCTGGAAGCCCAGGGAAGGTTTAAAAGGTGAGAAAAATTGGAATAACTGCCGGGAAAAACCCTAAAAACAGCCCTTTTCTATTTCCCATACAAACGTTTTTATTGACATTAGATTTGACAACTAACTAATATGTCAATCATTCTGTTTGATTGAAACAGAAAAAACCTAATTATTTATGGCCTCTAAGATGGAATAGAGTTCGCCTGGTCAGCTATACTTTTTATCTACATATATTACTGTTGACCAAACTAACGCGGACGAAGTCGCGGGCAAAAACTAGTATAAAATAAAATAAAAAACAAAAAACACAAATCTATCAAGTTTCCACTTAAAGCCAATACACATAAAAAAAGTTTTACATAAAAATTTGTCTTTAGACCAATGGATTCCAAATAGCGTATATTCACCCATAAATCAATAATTAATTTCTTAGTCTAACTTAAAAAATAAAAACAAACTCATTGACTTCCAGACATCAAACAACACCATCTGCTGTTGTGTCGTTAAAGCAATTAGTAAAATCAATTAGCAAGAAGTAGTATTACTATTCGCCAATAGATGTCAGGAAGAGTCATATTTTAAACGACTCTAAAAATGATTCCTAGCTAGATCGATTTATCGCCCCCGAAATCCCCTACATACTTAATTTCATGAAAATCGTTAGAGCAAATTCTGAGATTCCAATAAATATGTATATGTATACTATATGAATTGCTCATTTAAAGATATAAGATAAATACACTCATAAACTAATTTTTGAGATACCAAGACCTGCGTGTTATGGTTTAAGCATACTAACACACGACTCGGCGTTTAAAAACATTAAAGTGCCCTAAAATATGAAATTTGTTTAAAGCTTACGTTAAAAAGTCATGGAATTGAAAATCATTCAACTTTATAATATGTTGGTACGTAAACAAGACTAGTGTTGTAGTCACTACTGAATTCTAATATTGAATATTTAAAAGTTTACGTATTTAGCCACCGTCTTCTGTCACACAACCCTCTGTATAAACACACCTCCTATAAGGACCTAGGCGGGAGGTGAGTATGTGTGTATGTGTGTATGTGTGTGTGTGTGTGTGTGCGTGCGTGTCTAGGTGTGCATGTAGTGCGTGAGGCCGTTGTCGAGCGCGTCACAGGCGGCGGCGTGCGTCCCGGGGCGCGGGTCGCGGACTGCGGCCGGCGAGCACAGCCAGGGGTCGGAGCTAGCGACCTGCCACGAGTGAAGCCGCTCCCGGAGAGAAGACTCCACCTCGGACAGAGACGGCTTACCTGGGAACGTTGTATTCACGTGTTATATGTTATTCAGCTTGTGTGTGAGTGTGTGTGTGTGAGTGTGTGTGTGTGAGTGTGTGTGTATTACCGTGCAGGTTGTGTGTCTCCGCGGGGTCGTTCTTGAGGTCGTACATCTCCCACTGCGGTCGGTAGTAGTAGTCCTTCAGTGTCTTGTACCACGGTAGAGGCTGCTTGCTCCGCGTGCGGTTCAATATATCCTGAACATTCGATTACAACAAATAAAATAAAATATTTCTCTCCGGGCTAGCGTCCGAAACTAGTCAACGTCGTGTAATTCCTTGAGAAGATTTTTCAGTTTTTAAATTCGCATGTGTTAGTAACGCTGTACATAAATTTATGTATTCGAAAACTTGAATTCCCCGGCAGTAGCTTGATGGAGAATAATTTCGGTTAAATTAAAGATCGTGCACTACTGTCTCAAAGTAGTCACCGCCTGCTCAATTAACTGTGAAGGTTTAAGTAAGGTATCGTACCTGGAAGGTCGGCGACACGTACAGGTCCTGGTCGATGGGGAAGGGCATGCCGAAGTTGAGGTTGTGGATGAGCTTGTAGCGGCGGGTGCGGACCGCCCGCATGGGGTAGTACATGGTGATCTCGTGGTGCGTCTGGGACGAGAACACGGCCTCGTCCTCACTCGGCGGCGGCTCTGGGAATAAAAGACGCGGCTAGGAGATAGTTGTCGATTACTGACTCAGTATTTAGTAATACAATTAAAATAAGAAGTATGACAATTCGAACGTTAGCTATAAAAATAACTGTTATTGTTATTATTCGTGTGTAACCGAGTACCTTTATTCAGTATGGGCAGTAGACTCCTAGGCCGGTCTCTGCGCCACAGATCCTCCTTGTGTCTCGGTGTGCGGACCCCGAACCAGTCGAGTACCGTGGGCGCGAGGTCCAGCAGACTGACCAGGGCGCCGGAGGTCTCGTGCCTGCGAGCCCCAGGGTCGGGCGAGTGTATGATGAGAGGCTCCCTCAGGCCGGGGTCGTAGAAGTTGGTCCGGCCCGAGGGGAAGGGGATGCCGTTGTCGGACGTGTATATGACCAGCGTGTCCTGGCCGTGGCCCGCCGCCTGCAGCTCCTTCAGCATCAGACCCACACCTAGATGATGATGGACAGGTTGTGAACGTTATTTGACCTCACTATGATGACGGTGTTTTGTTTACACTTTATAGACATTTATTGTATGATATTTTAAAACTTTGAATTATGTATATTGAAATGTTAAATTGTATTTTCTGTAGCAATGTTATGAGTTATGTCAATGTTAGTGATTATTATGTAATGTTTTATTTAATTTATTATTATTGTTTTTTAATTTAAATCTAGATTTACTTCAATTATTATATTTTGCATGATGTGATAGCTTATAATTAAAAGGACATTTAAGTTATTATTAATAGTTATAATGAAATGAATGTAATAATGTTTTCTTTTGTTGGTTATCCAAATGAAATAAAATAAAATAAAATAAACCGTTCTTCTTTAGTTAGACATCTAATAGCAGCTGCTTATTTTGAATGAGAGCACGTCTCCCACATATCCTCACCTTGATCTAGTCTGGACATAGTGGTGTACTGCGCCGCGATATCTCTCCGGGCCGCCTCGGTGTCCTTCAATGATGGAATATATTATGAAAATGCACTTTAAACAATAAATATATGTTTCATAACCATGGATTGTTTGTTCACGTCACGTCACGTCACCTGCACATGATACGGCAGCTGCACCTCGTCCCACTGGTAGTACCAGGGCGTCCAGTCCGGGATGACCCCCATGCCCTCCTCCGAGGAGCCGAACCTCTCACAGAAGGGCCCGTACTGAGCAGCCTCGCGACCGCAGCGGTGAGGGTCGTGGAACCCGACGTACAGCAGGAACGGTCTGGGGGAGAGAGCCACCGGTGTATGGGGTGTAAAAACCTAACATGACAAGTGTAAGCCACGCCTTACTTGTTCAGTCTGTTCGCCTCTCGCAGGAACTTCCTCGCCAGCAGCTTCATGTGCGTGATGTTCCTCCCGACCTGGTTGATGCTGTGGCCCTCCTCCGTCCACTCCATGTCGAACTTGTACACGCTGCCCGGGCCCACGTGCTTCTTACCGATTATACCTGTCATACAAATATTCATTAGTTTTGTGCCAACTGTATAGGATCACCAACCAACCCTGACCGAGTCAGAGGTGATCGTTGAGTAACATTCATCACCAGTGTAAACTCCATGCTCGCGCAGTATGTTCGGTAAGCTGGTGACGTTGTCGAAGGAGTTGAAGTGATGGACGCCGTGATGGAGCCCGTACATGCCGTTCTGATGACTCGGGGTGCCGGTCAGCAGAGCCGCGCGACTAACAGTAAAGAAATTTTAATATATCTTTGGATAAAACTTTTAAAATATTAACGGAATGTCTGTAATCGCATACCTCGGAGAGCAACTACTGACGGAACTGAAGGCATTGTTGAAGATGAGGCTGCGCTTCGCGAACTCGTCGATGTTCGGAGTTTGGCAAATCTTGTTTCTGTACGCTCCGATTTCAAAACCTCCATCGTCAGCTGAGGCCAAAATACACTATTGAATATTAAACATTTAAGACAACATAACACTATTTTAACATTAAAGTATAAATTAAACAAAAATACGAGTATATTATAACTTATAAGTTTAAAAAATCGGAATACTTTTATTTATGTCTTTAACATCTAACTGTAAAGAGAAGTATTCTGTTTTTATTGTACGACTACAACACACTTTTAATTAATGCCAATTTTAGAAAGGTTTTTATGAACTTAGTATAAGATGACATCCCCAGAATTAGTGCTGAGAAGTAGTTAACCGAAATAATTTCTTTTCTCTTTTTTTTTTGAAAAAAATTTAAAGTGTTTTATAGGAAACGAGAGCATGGCAAAATTGATGGTGTTCATGTTTTTTTATCGATCGTATTTTCTTCAGAATTTATTTATTACTATTTCCTATTATAAATAGAAAATATATAATTATAAATAGAATATAATATTAAATATATGTCCTAAACATATTATACACTAGCTATAAATTATATATTTGAGGATATAGGTATGTATATACTATTTACTAGTTTGGTAAAAGACATTTAAAAATATCAGGATAATTATAAAATTTCCCTCAACAAAGTAAAATTTTGTGACTGTGTACATATTTTAATTATCACTTGGTTTTTTTTTGGACTCTAGGTACATACATGTATATATTTTTGTGCGCGGAGAAAGTACCCAAATAATTTTGTTTTATTAAAATCTTGCCCCTCGATTACGTTAGAGACACATACCTACATTTTACATTTTATACAAATTTGAAACACATACATTTTATACAAAATAAATATTATATGTGTTTTAGTTATATTCCCTGAGCCGTACACGGCACAAAGTGACAACGCTACAAAATATATATTTCAAAGCCATTAAATGTCCTAATATAGTAAAAACTTACCTAGGAGTATAAGAACGTTGCGATTCTTGTTTGATAACACGGTGTTCGTGATAATGAGACACAATAACAGTGTGATAACAGCGACCGGGTGTCGAGCCATTTGTACGTCGCTCGCCGACACGCGGACTCACTCAGGGCTTAGCACCGTCTGACAATTGACGTTTAACAGGGAACACTCGGCTGTGAAGTGAAGTGTTGGCACTTTACGGATTACGAGTGAAAGGGGATCGCTCAGCGCCGCTGCAGTGGGGCTGCTCCAGTTATCGAGCGGCTAGATTGGCTCCAAAATTCAAATTAATTAAGACGTCTATATAATTTACCGCGATGTCGGCGCGTAAGAATATTTTGTACTTGTTTGATGTTGACGGAACTCTGACGAAACCCCGTCAAATTATATCGCAAGATTTCAAGAAATTTCTGTTAGAAAAAGTTAAACCGGCGGTTTCGATTGGGCTCGTGAGTGGTTCGGACTATGCGAAGATAGTGGAGCAAATGGATGGAGAAGAGACAGCGAACCAATTTGACCATGTATTCTGTGAAAATGGTGTTGTGCATTACCAGCAAGGACAGCTCAAGAGCACACAGAGTATACTCAATTACATCGGTGAGGAGACTCTTCAAAGAGTCATTAATTTTGCTTTAGGTTACATGGCAAAATTACAGCTTCCTGCTAAGAGGGGCAATTTTGTAGAGTTCCGCTCAAGTATGATAAACATTTGCCCGGTGGGTCGCTCCTGTAGTCAGGAGGAGCGGAAGGAGTTCTCCCGTTTCGATATAGAGCATCAGGTCAGAGCCAAGTTTGTTGAGGCCTTGCAGTCAGAATTCAAAAATACAAAGTTGAAGTTTGCTCTCGGTGGACAAATCAGTGTGGATGTATTCCCTGTAGGATGGGATAAAACATATTGTCTCCAACATGTTGAGAAATTTAGTGAAATCCACTTCTTTGGAGACAAGACAACAGTCGGAGGAAATGACTATGAAATCTATAATGACTCCCGGACAGTCGGCCATAGAGTGACTTCCCCAGATGATACCAAAGAACAATTGAAACAGTGTCTTAATATTGAATAAGCCATTAATTACTAAATATATATGTAAATAATAAAACTTTAACCCACATGAAGCACCGGCCATGTATCATATTTTTGTATATTTGACTTTCTAAAATTATTCCTCTTGAAATAAGTTATATCCTTATTTGTATTTTTTATTTTGCAATTATTTATATTAGTTGCATTACATTTATATTAGTTGCATTACATAGTTCAATTCAATTGAAAGTTGCATTTGTTGAATCATTCCTCTTGTTTTAGCTGTGTTGAGATATTTAATTATATGGATAGGTTAATATGCAATGAAAGAAACCATTCTGGTGTAAATGTATAATAAAATAACAGTAGTATAAAAATATTATTCTTAAACAGTTTTCTTATCACAGGTGCTTCGACACATGATGTCATGTATTTTCATTTACTGTGAACACATGATAATAATCTTACAAACAATTAACAACACTACAATTATGTAACAGCAGACAATATATTGTACAAAAATATTATTAATATGTAAAATTCTTTACTCAACAGAGCAACAACACTTATGTATATTTATGATGAATAAAAATGTCTGTATTTTATTATTTCTTCACTGGTAATTGTTTCAGTGTCCCCGGTACTGAGGTTTCCTCTTCTCCATGAAGGACAGCATTCCTTCCTGTCTGTCCTTGGTAGGAATGTTCTTCTCATAATATTTCTGTTCCACTTCATACCCATCCTTGATGCTCAACTGGACCCCTTCATTAATAGCTTGTTTTGCACACCTCAGGGCGATGGGAGCATTCAATATGATCTCTCTTGCTATTCCGATTGCTTTGTCATAAGCAGCATTTTTACTACTATTCTGTGGGACCACATGGTTAACTATGCCTAAAAAATATATTCAATAGATCAATTTAAGATTTACATAGAAATTATTTTGTGTTATGAAGAACAAACCTTCAGACTTTATCTTAAGTTATTTGAAAAACATGTTTACTTATTTATTAAATAAATACACAGATAGTAACTGCTTGTTTGTATGAAGTGGTTCTTTTTTAGATGATTTAAAATTAAATACAATATAATTTACATACCCAGCTCTTTGGCTTCTGATCCCTTAACAATTCTTGATGTAAATATTAGTTCCTTTGCTATGTTAGGATGTATAGCTCTCGGCAGTCTCTGGGTGCCCCCAGCCCCAGGGATGAGCCCCCGCCCAGTCTCTACGAGTCCCAACTTAGCAGTATCCGCTGCAACCCTAATATCACATGCTAGAGCCAGCTCCAGACCCCCACCAACAGCTACACCGTCTATGGCAGCTATTGTTGGCATCGGGAGATCCTCTATTTCAATAAAAGTATTTCTTAATCCTCTAACAAACACAGCCACCTCTTCTTCATTCATCTGGAACCTTTCTTTTAGATTTGCACCTAAAAAAAAATATACTATAAGTATTTCCAACCAGTTATTGTTGAAAGAAGGTATTCAATACCTACCAGCACAAAATATCCCAGGAACCAAACTGTGTAATATCACAACAGAGATCTTCATATCTTCTTTTATAATTTGATTGATTTCCTTCATACATTTAATAAGGTCAAAACTGAGAGCGTTTTTATTTTCGGGACTGTTTATACCGTATATTGCAATGCCTTTATCTTCTCCACCAAGTTTCTGGAATACTATAGGACCCACATTGTCTACTTCCTGGGCTTTTGTAGACAAACACCTAAAGCTCTGGAGTTTCCAAACTTTTTTAAACAAATTCACTCTTTGAATTAACATTTTGTTTGAGAATACTTAAAATTATTGCTAAAGATATGTCTGAGCGGAAGTTAACGTCGAACACTAACTGATTATATTAACAAATAACTAGAAACGTCGAATCTTCGGTTAAAAGAATTATCAAATTGATATCAAATAATGACTTGTTATTAAAGTTTATAATTGTTCAAATTTATATATTTTTATATAAATCCACTCATATATTTCTTTGTCATAATCTTTAAGTTTTAATAACTAAACAAAATATTGAAAATAATATTTTATATGAAAGAGAGTTAATTTAATATACATTATAATATTTTTTATTCAAAGTTCTAAATCGCAGTTAAGTAACAAAACGTAGCGATGGTCCGTCAGATGTCAACTCTCAGTGTCATCTTTTGTAAACAAGTCAATTTTAAGTATTTTGAAATCCTGAATTTTGGATACTTCTAATATACGTGCCCAATAAAATTAAGCATCTATAATTTTTGTCCACATTATAGTTTTAAAAACTTGGCAAATCGAAATTTCCAAGGGATCATCGATATTTACAAACAAAAAGTAACCTTAAATCACTTATAGTTCTATTGTTTTTTCACTTGAACATTCTGTGATGTCTTCAAATGTATATTCGTGCCCACTTGATCCAGAAACTCTTACAAGCGTCAAGATATACTTGTTCAAAAACGTGAAGAATGTAGAAGATATAAGAAATAATGTTATAAAAGGTGTATGGAAATGTGCAGTCATTAAACCGAGTCTTATAGTAGACATTTTCCAGGTCGTAGTAGCGACAAATAGAGCTGTATTGTCAAAGAAATCGAATAATATGGTTACTAAGACTGTATATTCTGAGATACTATATAACTTGTCACTTACAAAAAATATTACCCAAAGCTTAAGTAAGTTTGGTATCGAGAAGGACAATAATATACTGGTATGCTTTTTGGTTGACGAGCAAGATGAAAGTGAGAGTATAGTGAAGGAAATACAGGGTGAAGCTTGTCCCATCAGTGAGCTGGCGACTTTGAGTAATATGAAAGAAATAAAGAGTGCATATAAATTAAACAACATCAAAACAGAAATAGATTACCTCGATGTGATTGTAAGCAGGATGGTCACAAAAAATTTTGTCAGTCATTAAATGCTTTGGGATAATAATAATAAAAACAAACAAATCATGTACCTTGTTTTATTTTTAACAACAACAATATTATTATGTAAAATGTACAATTCAATTACAGATTATGTAAAAGCAATAATATAAATGAATTCATAGACAAAATGCAAGTCTATACACTATTCAATCGATCACAATATTTGTTCTGGAATCGAGAATCTCTTGCTTGTGATGTGCTTACAAAGATTTCGCCGATTTTAATATTCTTACTTTGATCCTTACATAATGTTTATAATGAAAGTTAATCATTGAATGCTTAATATCGTTCATCCTAAACCTATATGTATATTAATTCACATAGAGTTCCCTCTGTCATCTCTCAACCTAAGAAACCCCAAACAACCAAACATAATTGTTAAACAACAAAACATTCAGCCGGCGGCGGTTTGAACTTAAATAAAAATGGCATCTAGTAACTATTGACTGGTAGGAACTTTCCGATCACTAATGACGAACCTTGAACACTGTGAAACATAACGACGACCGACACTTACAAGCGAGAGGAGCCCCACTACTGGCCACCACCTACACCGACCGAGATCAGGCTACGGAGTATAGTCGATACACCTGCAGCTAGCACCTCTTGAACACTTCGACCACGTTACGTGCTACATACAAAGATAAATATTCAGCTAAGTACAGCTTACGACGATTAACAATATACACTACGGAACCGACGGCTCCGACCTCACACCACGGCTCAGGCCTAAGCTCGAACGATCCATGTACACGGTCTCTCTCTATGAAGATATTTACAACGAGACCGACGCTCATACAGCGGGATACAGAGGACTGACATACGACGACCAGATACACACGACTCACCGGCACCCACCAGCGACCTGGGACCACTCGGGCCACGGAGCAAGATAGAGGGGGAAATATAGAGGAAAAGGATTTGAACTTTGTTCATACTGAATATGGCACTACGTCGGTGGGCGGCGAACATGCACCCGGAGATGACACAGGAGACACGGAGCGGAGCTGGAGCATGGAGCGGGAGGAGCAGGTGGAGTATCAGAGACGACTACTATCATTGGGAGACAGGGCGAGCATGCGATCACTTGCAATATTTGGCATGTCGTTATCGGGTTGATACATTCGTTCCATGGGGAAAGTCGCGTGTACGTCGCTATATATACATGTGGGTCACTGGCTGAAGGGCAGCGGCAGCGCGAGGCCGTACAGCGAGGGTCACCGGCGGGCCTCCGTCACGTACACCGACACCGTCGAGTCCTTGGACCCCACGCCCATCGCACACCTGCACACAAGGACACGTTACACACGGTCACACAGGGATACTGAAGTGTAATAAATATAGTGTGTATGCTATATAATAGAATTAAGTCTAGTGTAAAGTCTCCTTTATAAAACATGTCATGTATACATCCAAATATGGTGGACCACCCATTGGCCCAAGCTTTCATAATTCATTATGCTATGTTAAAATGTTCCAATATTATTAAATGTGACTTAAAGCTACAAAGACGTTTCTTTTCAAACCCAGTAATTAACCATATTAGATGGCGACCCTACCAGTAGTTTCCGTTTTCTGCTCAGTTTTCATTATAATATAACAATATTATTTTTTAATTACAATAATTCAAGTATGTAACAAACATCGCAATTGAAAGAAAATATAATTATTGCACAAAATGCTGCTTGCTCCAATGGAAACCAAGCTTCTATTGAACAACTCTAAACGAGCATCGGAACAACAAATATTCTCATGGGAATAGTAGTGTTCGTTATATTTCTGGCCACCATCATCGGAGTTTACAAGATTTACAAGCGATGTTATAAAAAATTGATCCGAGAACAAGTAAATTCGTTTGCGTTACAACGAGCTGCGAGTCTGTACCGGCGCGGGCGCAGGCAAAAATCTACCAGTGAAGGTGAACAATAAATAAGGTGCGTAAGATTCATTGTACAATTAAAGACGCTACGCGTGTCATCGAAGTGGTATATTAGTATAAAATGAACATTTTTTTTAAACAAACAAATCTTAATTATAATTTTAATATGTTAATGTAGTATAATAATATATCCATTTTAATATGTTAATGTAGTATAATAATATAATCGCGGTAACACTCATAATGCTTTAGCGATAAATATGTATAATGATAGAGATAATATAAATAAAGACAAAATAGAACAGGAAACAAATCTGTTTTTCGGATTTAAAGATTACATTTTTACATTGAATAATAAGCATAAAATAGTAATTTTTGAATTAAATAAACATAAATATTATTTTTTATTAGATACTGGTGCTTCTTTGTCCATTATAAAACGCGAAATATTACCGAAAAATACTACAATTTTTAAAAGTAATATTGAAGTTAATGGAATAGGAGGTTGCGTGAAATCTCATAATCACGTATATTTAACACTTAAAACTAAACATGATGAATCATTTCATCATAAATTTTATATTTTTAGGAATTTATCTTTAAAAGAAGATGGCATTATTGGATTAGATTTTTTATCTTATTTTGGTTGCGATATATTGTTGAATTCTAATACTTTTGAGTCTTAACTCAAATGGAAAACAATGCCTAATGCCAATTGAAACACCGGATTATACTTCGGATTATTTATTAATCCCGGCGCGAAGTGAGTCGATTCACTACGTAGCTGTAGAATCAGGTTTGAAAGGTGATGTAGTGGTTTGCGCGAAAGAGTTAGGTAAAGAATTGTTTTTAGGAAGTATGATTGTGAATGTAAAGGATGGTAAAGTACCAATTAAAATTTTAAATACTGGTGAGAATAATATACGTTTACCTAGATTTATGCCTGAGATTCAGTCGTTTAATGAAATTGAGATTGTTATTTGAGGAATATGATTTCAAAATTGAATATATAAAAGGTAAAGAAAACGTAGGAGCTGATGCTTTGTCAAGAATTAATATTACATCAAATGATTTAAAAGGCATGAATGAGCAAGTTATGGCAGTGTTAACTAGAAAGCAAAAAAAAGAAATGCAAGAAGATAGAGAGAGCGATGTAGAAAAGGATACACCCTTTATTATTAACTCTGGAGACGAAAGGACTGATCACCCTCGAGTTGTGGAGTTATTAAAAAAGCCATGTGATTCGGTTGAAATGAAGTTGATAGAGGCATCTGAGTTAGATAAATTACGAAAGGGAAGTAGGCTTAGTAGAGAGTATAAATATTTTTCTTATTGTCCGAGTAGACAAATGTTATACGTTAACCTCAGCTTTAAGGCGCAATACTCGCGAGTCGAATTTATGACCGTGTTGAGTGATTTTTGTAAACAGCTTAGTATCGAAGAGATATGTATAATAAGAGATAAAAGTAATGAAAATTTTATAAAAGATTTAAGAGATGAGATAAAGTCGACTGCAAATTGGTCCGGACCATGCATTCATATATTAAAGAATAAAACTAGGATTGAGAATGATGAAGAAAAATCATTCATATTAAATGATCTACTACCCACAAGTGGCCATGCTGGTGTACATAGACTGATCAATTCTATCAAGAGAGGATTTTATTGGCCAAATCTCAAAACTGATGTAAGAGATTTCATTAGAAAATGTTCTAAATGCTAAAAATCTAAACATTGTAAATACATAAAAGAGCCTATGACGATAACAACAACTGCGTCACATGCATTCGAAATGATATATATGGATATAGTAGGCCCTCTTCCTAAAGATTATGAGGAAAATATGAATATATGTATTAACCATTCAGTATGAGTTAAGTAAGTTTATAAATGCTTATCCACTTAAGAATAAGGATTCCATTAGTGTCGCTAGGGCCTTAGTTGATAATTTTATTTTAAGATTCGGCATCCCTAAAATAATAGCAACTGACCGAGGAACTGAGTTTACTTCTGCCACCATGAAACAGGTATGTAAATTATTAAACATAGATATTATTACATCAACAGCATACCATCATCAGTCAATAGGTTCGTTAGAGAATGCTCATAACAATTTAGGCGCATTTTTACGAATTTATTGCGACAAAAACAAGCAATCTTGGTCTTATTGGTTACCATACTGGACTTTTAGTTTTAATACTACTGTCCATACTGAAACAAAATACCAACCGTTAGAACTTGTATTTGGTAGACAATGTAATATCCCTAATCGATTATGTAATACAGTAGAACCTATGTATGTATGTAATCCAGAAAGTTATGTTAGTGAACTTAAATATAGGCTTCAAGTTGCTTATAATAAAATATATTGCCCGAAATAATTTGTTACATAGCAAATATAATAGAAAAACTAAATATGATAAGTATGTTAATCCTGTTGTTTACAATAAAGATGATTTAATTTTAGTAAAATCAGAAACAAGTGGAAAATTAGATGAACTGTTCATTGGACCATTTACTGTATAAGAAGATATGGGATTAAATGTTAAAATAATTAAAGATAATAAAATAGACATAGTACATGAGAATAGAACAAAACTTTTTGTTAAGTAGTATACAAAAAAATATATGTGTAAGCCCATTTTTTTTCTTTCACCCCCAGAGGTAAAGTGTAATAAATATAGTGTGTACGCTATACAGGGTGACTGGTGAATTACTATCAATATTTAAGGAGCATACTCGGTACATGATTCTTATTCGAATTATGTAAAAAAAATAAGTACTTAATTTTTGACCAAATTTCCGTATAAATAAGTAAAGTGTGTACACATTCCAAGTGTTCCTAGTGTGGACGCGTGCGGCGGCGTGCTGATACAACACCACGCCCCCGCCGCGTATGTGTGAGTGTCTGTGTATACCTAATCTGTAGGGTGTTCATACGATGCGTAATTAATTACATAACTTTTGGTTAACTTTACTTAGAAGTTTATTAATAGTTATGTTATATTAATTTTTATTTCGTCATATATGATCGTCAAATATCACGTCCTCAAATATCGATAGTAATTCACCAGTCACCCTGTATAATAGAATTAAGTCTAGTGTAAAGTCTCCTTTATAAAACATGTCATGTATACATCCAAATATGGTGGACCACCCATTGGCCCAAGCTTTCATAATTCATTATGCTATGTTAAAATGTTCCAATTATTAAATTAAATGTGACTTAAAGCTACAAAGACGTTTCTTTTCAAACCCAGTAATTAACCACATTAGAATACACAGGGAGACCGTCGGCCTCGGTACCTGAGCGGGTGGAAGGCGAGGCAGGACACGGGGCCGATGCGCGCGCCCATGAACCCCTCGTGGAACTTGATGGTGTTGAGCGGCGAGCCCTTCAGGTCGTACAGGCTGATGCACTGGTTCACCGACCCGCTGCACACACGACACACGGTTAGGATCGTTAACGTTAGGAACAGTCACGCGGCTCGTACTCCACGCGCTCGTCCTCACCAGGCCATGACGTTGGCCCGCGGGTGCACGTCCAGCGCGGCCAGCGGGCCCGGAGCCCGCAGACAGTCAGCGTCGCTCAGCTTGCGCGTGTCATAGATGCGCACGTCCCCGTCCGCCGCGCCGGTGATGAGCGCGTGCAGGTCGTCCCGGGGCGCGGCGCACAGCACGGCCGCACTGTGCGCATGCAGCGAGTACAGCGGCCGCGGGCTGCGCTCGTCCCACGCGCGCACCGAGCCGTCGCCGAAGCCGCACACGACGCGCGCCGCACGCCCGCCGCGCCACAGGCTGGTGGCCGCCGCCTCGCTCTCTGTCATACGAGACTCGTCAGTACACTAGTGATTACTCCAGGATCCATGGCTGTTTTTCGCACTTGATTACTAACAAGCTAATTTTCCACGAGTAGCTTCGTTTCATTGAGACACCCAACCTTTCCCTTTTGCGATATTTCTTGATTGTGGTAGCTAACTTCGTTAGCAGAGACAAAATATGTTGATTTGAAGATTTTCCTAAATTTATTACTAACTGTATTTTTTATGTTAATTCTTATGATAATTATCTAAATTTTATTTAAAAAAGTTTGTTCTACAAAATATATGGTTTGATCAGACCCCTCCCCCCCCCCTCCTTCAACATGTATAGATAACGAGGTCATCCCTACTAATATTATAAATGCGAAAGTAACTCTGTCTGTCTGTCTGTCTGTCTGTCTGCTACGCTTTCACGCCTAAACCACTGAACTGATTTTAATGAAATTCGGTACAGAGATAGAGTTGACCTTGAGAAAGAACATAGGATAGTTTTTATCCCAGACTTTTGAAAGGTTCTCTTGGAAACGCGATATAACCGAACTCCACGCGGCGAAGCTGCGGGCGGAAAGCTAGTCACGAATAATTACTTACGGGCTAGATAAATTAAGAAATTATAATATTTTAAGTATTTAAAAGATAAAATTCAAATCATTATTAATTTAAGGACGCATAAAAAAAATGTACTTAAACATCAACGAAATTTATGCCAAGCTTGGAGAGCAATTATCTTGTTCACTCGCCATATGCCATATTTTTACAGGCAATGATTATAATCCTGAATTCGTAAGGGGAAAAAAGAGACCTTTTAGTATTCTAAAAAAAATATTAATTTTCAAGAGGCCTTTATTCAACTTTTACCAATGGAAAATACGGCACTAACAAAATCGAATAAGTTAGTTCAAATTATTGAAGAGTATGTATTTTTAATGTATTCTTTAAAAAGAAAAAAATGATATTAACAAAGGGTGGTATGAGTTATTTGAAAGAGGGTATAAATCAAAAAAAAATGAAGAAATTTTAAAACAAAAATCGTAAGATTCTTCTAGTTTGCCACCACCAAAACAATAATGTTTGCAATAAATTAAAAGAACTGCTTTCATCTGCAATATATGATGTAATACACACTTGCGGTGCCCCACAGAAAAATTGCCAGAAAATTTTGGATGGACAATTATAATTGATAGTAATTACGAATATTATTGTTTGACGGCCCCTAAAGTCCTTCTTTTGAGGAATTATCTTCTGACACACAAGGTACCCTATTAATACTATTGTTAATTGTTGATTCATTTCTAACTTTTGTCATGTTATTACAGAGTCAGATATCACAAATGAGGACAATGAAATAAATAAAGATAACAGCGATGTAAGCAGCGAAGATTCTTCAGATGAATCTGACGAAGATTAATTTTTGTTTGTGTAAATACACAAATTTTTGTACTCATCTCACTAAAAAATAAAGTTTTATTAATTTCAAAAAAATTATATTTCCATTTTATCTTATATTACAAGTAAAAGTAAAAAATCACAATTTTTGTCGGATAAATGAAACATACCTGTTTTTTTGTAGGACATTGTTTCATTTGGGCAGAGATCACACTAATCTATCATGTGGTATTTTCGTCCTACAGTTAGTAATGAGAAAAATGGTCTTGTGGTATCAACCACTTTTAAGCGTAGGACCAGGATAGCGTACCAAGCAACTTGTAGGACAAAGTTACTGTTAAATTATATAAATATTAACTAAGTAAATAAAAAAAAAATCAGCTGGTTGGTAATCACTTGCGATGATCTCGTTATCTATACATATTGAAAGGAGGGGGATTCTTTGATCAAACCATACATTTTGTAGGACAAACTTTTTTTAAATAATTTAGATAATTATCATAAGATTTAATAAAAAAAATCCAGTTAGTAATAAATTTAGGAAAATTATCAAATTATCATATTTTATCTCTGCTAACTAAGTTAGCTACCACAATCAAGAAATATCGCAAAGCAAAAAGTTGGGCGTCTCAATGAAACGAAGCTACTCATGGAAAATTAGCTTGTTAGTAATCAAGTGCAAAAAACAGCCGTGGATCCCGGACTAATACCTCTCGTGAGTGTGTCGCGTCTCACCTGTGGGTATGTCCGCGTGCAGCATCTCCGCGTGCGCGTCCCACAGCCGGACTGTGGCGGCCTGCCCCGCCAGCGCCAGCGACCTGCTCCGCGCGGTCCACCGCAGCAGCGTGCCGGCCGGGGGCGCGCTGTACTCGCCGCCCAGCGACCCGCCCGACACTGACACACACATACACATACATGTCATAGTATAGTCCAGTCAAAATAGACATATGACTAGGAAAAAATTCACATACAGCTGAAAATTGCCAGAGACGTTAAATACACCATTATAAATGAAATATCAAAAATCCCCTTCGAAACTACTTCTGCAAAAATTTTTATTCAAGGTCAAAAGTATAAAATTAAGGTTTTTTCCATTTTTATCGAAAACAGTAAGTATTATTGTGAAAATATGATAAAAAAATGTATAAAGTAATAACTTAGCACCTCTTACTGCATTGAATTGCAACGTGACCTTGATAATCTTTCACATTACTACGAAAAAAAAAATAACGATTAATATTATAAAAACAGTAAAAATTACATTTTCTAGGAAACATGGAAATATTGAATATAACTATAATATTGATAACAAGCTCATCCAAGAAGTTAAATCAGTGCGTGACCTTGGAATTCAATTAGATTCAAATTATTGATAGTATATAGAACTCATTACTGATAAGGTATATAAGCAATTAGGCTATATTAAAACGAATATGTCAAACTTTTAATAATATTGAATGCATACAAATTTTATATTTTACTAATGTACGATGTATTTGAGAATACGGTTGTAGTATATGGTCTCCCCATTATATAACTTACAAAGACAAACTGGAAATAATACAAAAAAGTTCATAAAATTTCTTTGCTTTAAGGACTTTAAAGAATTTAACGATTATGTTGATATATCATATATGTAAACAATATAATATTGAAACATTAGAAACGAGACGACAACATTATGATATGTATATGCTACACGCAATAATTACCGGAGATATAGATTGCACCGATTTATTGAGCGCTTTGTATTTAAGAGTTCCTAATCGCCGCACACGTCATACAGCACTATTCCACACGCCTGAGCTAAACACTAACTATGCACACTACTCTGTCCTTAATCGCATGGTCAACACATATAATTCACAATACTCAGAAATTGATCTATTCAGCATGTCAAAACTAGCTTTTAAAAAAGCTATAATTAAAAAAGATAAAAATTCATAACAACACACATACATACACACACAACATACTCACGCACACAAACACACACACACACAATCATGCAAACACGCACCTATTGGATTCCCACGCGTAAACAGTTTTACCTTTACATTACTTTTATACTATAAGTTTTACTTTTATGCTACCGTCTTCTAGTTATTAATATGTTTAAGTTACATGTGTAAGCCTATTTTGATTTTAATTGTATGTTATATAATAGTTAATATAGAAACTTACGTATAAAAACTGTTGGATTACCAAATAAATAAAATAAAATAGGTCAGACAAAAGTTGTAGATCATACAATTCTCTACAAAAATGGTCTAGTCATTTTTTCTCTTACGACTCACCATTCATGAGATATAGCGGTTTTAGTCATTAGAAAATTCATATTTTACATAATATGCACTAAAATGCAGCTTGTATACGTCACCGGACGTTCAATATAAATGAAAATAAGAAACTTTTCGTTTGTGTTACTTACACAATAAAACTTGTATAAATTAAATGAGGATTTTAAAATACAGGGTGGGCCAAGAATTCGTTAACATTTGAATCTAATACCCTACGCAAATAAATGCCGCGCGGGGCGCGGGGAGGGGTCTTGTCACTAGCTCGTTTCTCGGAATTTTTTTAGCAATGGATTGCTTCACGGGGCCGCAGCGCGTTTACTGTGTGAAACAATTTTATTTAAACAACAATTCGCTTATTTCTGTGAGACGCTTATTTCGTGGTGAATATGATTTACACGACTTAAGTCAGTGTCCGAGTGGTCCTTTAATGAAGAAATGGGTGAAGAAGTTCGAAGAGACGGGATCTACACTAAATGTAAAGCAAACCGGCGGCCTACGGACTTCTCGGAGCGAAGAGAACGTACAGCAAGTTTCTGCTTCTGTTCGTCGTGATCCAGGTTTATCGACGCGCAAACGTTCGGCTGAATTAGGATTATCCCGCACATCGTAACGCCGTATTTTGAAGTTAGATTTGAAATTGCATCCGTATAAGATCCAATTGGTGCAGGAACTAAAACCTAATGATTTAAATTTACGCAAGTCCTATGCTGAAACTGCTAGATCGATTCAGTTATTTTGAGAACCTCTTATTTTCTGACGAAGCCCATTTTCATCTTAACGGACATGTTAACAAACAGAATTGCAGATATTGGAGCAGTGACAATCCTAAAGCTAAACATTAAAGGCCACTTCATTCTCCAAAGATAACTGTATGGGCTGCAATTTCAGCAAAAGGAATAATTGAACCTACTTTTTTGAAGATTCTCACGGCCGTTCAGTTACTGTTAATTCTACTCGGTATGTGAAAATGTTACGGGAGTTTTTGGCACCGATGCTACTGGAATTTTCTGACTACAATCGTAACACATGGTTTCAACAAGATGGAGCCACTTGTCACACATCCAACGAATCCCTGCCGGTGGTTAAAGAAATGTTTCCGAAAAGGCTGATTTCCAGATGAGGTGACATTCCATGGCCACCCAGAAGTCCAGATCTATCCCCAGCTGACTTCTTTTTATGGGGTTGTTTAAAGAGTCGTGTCTACATCGATAAACCAAATACACTACGTCAACTAAAAGAAAAAATCAGCGAAAAGATATCGACGATCCCACGGTCTCTGTACGGACGAGTATTCGAAAATTTCGTTACTCGCTTAGAAGAGTGTAAAAATCGAAATAGTGGTCATTTAGATTATATGATTTTTTAAAAATAATTTCCAACTAATTAGCCTTCTTTTAATAAAACAATTTTTAAAATATGTCAAATAGTTTTTTTTAAATGATTATTTCAAATGTTAACTAATTCATGGCCCACCCTGTATAAGACTATACTGTCAGTCCCTAATTCCCTTCGTCGTTGTTAGGGAAGATGTTGATTTGTTGATATTACTGACTGCACGGACTCGAAATGATAAAATTATTTACTTTTTAAAACCTGGGAAACCTCAAGTACAATCAACAATATATTCATCACAAAGTCAAACTTTTGTCCGACCTATTTTTACGATAATACTTACTGTTTTCGAGAAAAATGGAAAAAACCTTAATTTTATACTTTTGACCCTGGTATTTTTTTTTGCAGAAGTGAGATCGAAGATACAGAGCGAGCGACTGCATCACATCCATGATATGACTGAACGTGCCGTTAATATGGTCATGTTAGTTAGATGGTGTGGCCGTGCGTGCCTGAAGGTGGTTTGTGTGTGTGTGTGTGTGTGTGTGTGTGTGTGTGTGTGTGTGTCGACTCACGGTTGTGTTCCGCCCTCGCCCGCCGCCCGTCGTCAGCGGGCGCGAACTGCTCCGACACCAGCTGCGCCAGACCTGCCGCCACACAATACACACTACCGTACACGAGGGACGGGGGGAGGGGGGGGCGTACCGTACTGAGAGGACTGACTTATATTGAGTTACGAGAACATGACTCGCCGGTTACATTAGATGCGGTTAGTGATGGCCGTTAATTGTAATGAAACATTCAACGTGCAACAATAGTTAGTTCACACAACACTGTATGGGTTACACAACGACCTGCACCCCGCGTGTTATATATTTATACAGTGTGTATACATACTGTAGAGCGGCTGTGCGGGTGGCGGGCGGTAGTCGGCCGAGGGTCGCACGTCGAGCGCGCGCCACGCTGACACCAGGGCCGGCTCCATGCTGCTGCCCGACGGTCTGGACATGACATTTTATTTTATTTATTTGAAACACCATCGGAATATACACAATAACAATTATGTGATAACAGTACACGGACCAGTGCAGTGTGATACACCACTACAGACATTTACAGCACTGTTAAATTAAATACAAAGTAATACGATCTTTAGTTATATTAAAAACTTATATAATACTAGCTTTCCGCCCGCAGCTTCGCCGCGTGGAGTTCGGTTATATCGCGTTTCCAAGAGAACCTTTCAAAAGTCTGGGATAAAAACTATCCTATGTTCTTTCTCAAGGTCAACTCTATCTCTGTACCGAATTTCATTAAAATCAGTTCAGTGGTTTAGGCGTGAAAGCGTAGCAGACAGACAGACAGACAGAGTTACTTTCGCATTTATAATATTAGTAGGGATTAAAAACTTAAGCTAGAACAAACAAACTAATAAGGTTTAAGGCCATAAATACAATACAGGCAATAAAAACAAAATAAATAATTATAAGCCAATAAAAAATTTTTTTAAAAATAAAAGTATAATAACAACATACTAATGTACTACTCACTTACAGCATACAATAAGGATTTCTTAAAACTAAATAAATTTTGGTGGTGGATATCGATGTCAAATCTGTTTATAGAATTGTAACTTCTGATGAATCGAGTAATAGGTGAAAATTTTCCTGTATTTATAGTCTGGTCAAATTAGACATTCGAGGTTATATAAATTCCCACCAAGCTGAAAATCGGTAAGATTGTTTGAAATATCATTAAAAACAAAATTTGAAAGTTCCCCATCTTTCCCCTGTAAGGAAAAAAATTTATTCAAGGTCAAAGGTAAACAAAATGAGTTTTTCGCGATTTTCAGCAAAACGGTAAGTTTTATCATAAAAATATCTCAGACAAAAATTGTAGGTCATAAAATTATCTACAAAGAATTAATGAATACTTTTTGTTCTACGAGCCACCGTTTTTGAGATATAACGATTCAAAAAGTTGTAATCGTCATAATATGCATGAGTACGCCACGTATATGTATATGTATACTCGTACATCTCTATAGTTGTAATATACATATGTATATTAAAATATTTTTACACTTTACTTCCACCTGCCCCTGAAAAACTAAACTCGATTTTTTGCAACTGCAAAAACTGCAGTGCTAAATGTGGTTGCAAAAAAGTCGGACTGTCCTATTCTCCGGCATGTACACATTGTGAAGGCCGGTTGTGCTCTAACATTGAATCACCAACACACAACCAACACAAACAGAAGAGGATCCGTTGAATTCCAACGATATCCGTTTAATTCCAACATGCAGTTTCATGCATGCATGCATCGCTATTATATAATAAACATATATTATATAATATATAACGCAGTTCACATCCACTCAGGGTGAAGATGAAGAAGATCATGAAGAAGAACAAGAAGATTTTGAAAATTACGACATCGGACGATTAAATTTCACTACTTCTTTTTTAACTTAAATTGCTTTTATCTTTTCAATCTCTGCTAATAACCATTATTTATCAATAGTTTCAAATTAAACAAGATCAAAACTGACCCGTGGAATAGACCTACTGGGGAAGATACAAAAAAAAAAGCTAAGTACACTACCTCATAGGTGGCGAGGAAACGTGTGCATATTATGACGATTACAACTTTTTGAATCGTTATATCTCAAAAACGGTGGCTCGTAGAAAAAAGTATTATTAAATTCTTTGTAGATAATTTTATGACTTACAATTTTCGTCTGAGATATTTTTATGATAAACTAGTAAACCTGGCGAACTCCGTTTCGCCACCAGAGCTTTTATATAACATTTCGTTTGGTGATTAAAAGATGAAGAATTTTTTTTTATATTTGAAAAGGAAAATTTTTATTTGAAAGTGAATCCAAAGTAGATACCGAATCGAAGCGTTATACGTGTCCGCTAATTATCCGTTTCATTGAAGTGCTCCTTTGTAAACCACATTTTTTGTTTTTTGGTCTAACTTTAACACAAATAAAGCGGATGGTTTCCAAACTCGTGAACACGCAAAATATAACTGCCCATGTGGAAAACAATGATTTTCTAAATTTATCCCGCAAATACTAAATGGTTTTAAGAGTTCAAGCTACAAACACATTACCTAAATATTTTTATTTTTATATAGTAGATTTCTTACAAATATCTAATTGTCATCCATACGTCATTACATATCTGTCATTATACGTCAATTGCATAGCTCTGAATTGTATTATTCCAAGTTTTATAATGACTGACGTTTCATGTCAAGTCCCACGGGAATGCTGTCGAACGGGATAAAAAGTATTCTATTGCAATTTCCTGGTTCTAAACTACCTCCCTGCCAATTTTCAGCTAAATCGGTTCAGCCGTTCTTGGGTTATAAGTGAAGTCATTAACACGACTTTCTTTTATATATGTAGACTTACCGTTTTGCTGAAAATCGCGAAAAACTCATTTTGTTTACCTTTGACCTTGAATAAATTTTGTTCCTTACAGGGGAAAGATGGGGAACTTTCAAATTTTGTTTTTAATGGTATTTCAAACAATCTTACCGATTTTCAGCTTGGTGGGAATTTATGTAACCTTACTGTTATTATTTGGTCTAATTGACCGGACTATAATACGGTGTCCTGGTATGGCGAACGTATTTTTGATGGGTTGTCGAGGTATATTACGTGGGACATACAGATTAATATTAGATAGAAGCTCTGGCGATTGTATTTTACCGTTTATTAGTTTATGCAGAAATAATGTACCTGTATATGGCGAGGTGTCCCTGGTGCGAGGCGACGGCCAGCAGCGCCCGGTGGTGCGCGTTGATGTACGCCAGGGCCGTGATGCGGCCCCACGCGCGCCGCCACGCTCCCACACACAGCTTGGCCGCTGTGCCCCAGTCCCATATACTATAACATACGGTGACAGCCAGCTCATTATTCCGTACTAGTTAAGGAGGATCTGACGGATGTCGAGCGAGCCCTACCCGAAGTTATCCTTGGAGGCGATGGCGGCGTGCTGCTCGTAGGGGTGGAACAGCACGACGGCGGGCGGCAGCGGGCAGCGGGAGTGGAAGGCCTGCGTCTCCAGCCGCGGGCCGCGCGCCTCCCGCAGCCCTGTTCAACACATGTTGTCCATCAGTACACGCTCGACCGCCCGTGTGTCCGCGGTGTGTTCGTGACTCACTCCTCGCCTCGCGCCGTATGTTCCTGTTCCTGGCCCTCCTCCACACCCGCTCGTGGTACGCTCGACTCTCACAGTCGTCTCCCTCCTCCCCGGCCTCCCCCGCCCATTCGGCCGCGCTGCTGAAGGCTCCCCCCGCCCCGGCCGCCTCGCCCCGGGAGAACTGTGTCGTCGCCCACTCCACGAACTGCGTGCTGACTATCACCTTTTTTGACTGACCTGTGACATATCATCGTATAATATAACGTCGCTCCTCCACGTCGCGCCTCACTACTCCACCACCGGCCCTACTCACTAGAAGTAGATGATGTAGAGTCACGCTCGCGGTCCCGGTGGGCCACCGAGTCCTCTGATATCGTATGCGGAAGACCAGACTTGCCGCGACGATGACCTAGGAGTCAAATCATAAGTTATATGGACGAAAATTCAAACATCGGTATATGGAAGTATACTCCAGCCAAATTCGATGTGGAATGTTTAATAACAAAGCGTTGCTTAGCAACCAACGTCAGGCAGATGCTCAAAACATTTTTAGAAATATGTACAACAATTATTTTTAATGTTAATGAAAATTAAAATTGATGATTAATAATAAAATATTTAAGACAAAGGACTAATTCTTGGTTATAATTATAATACTTATAATTAGGGCCCAGATAAATATGTATTAAACATCTAAAATATGTACATAAGATATGGACGAAAAAATCAAAAATATGGAGTATAAAATACTTTCATAATTAAACATTGTTTTACTATAAGAAAAGGGTCAAAAAAAAAGTAGCGAAATATTTATTTCAACAAAAAGTAGCAGTTTTATTCAACTTCCATTACACTAGCCTTATCAAATTGGTTACAATATACAATGACGTGCTTCTTTAAATTATCAAAATAAAAACTGACCATTTGGTCGAAATATACCTAGCCTTATATCTGCTGAATTATCTCTCCACGTCACATGACGTGATGGGTGTGTACTTAAACATGCTTAATTCAGTAATTCTGTAAGCCATGTCTACAGCCCTCGAAACTTTCGCTCAGAATTTTGTTATATTTTTTTAGCGTATTAAATACTTTTATTTTTTCCCAAAAATTAGTGGCGGAACTTGATTAAAATGTAACCGCAATAAAATTTATTAAATTTTATCTAATATATATTGGAAGAAATTGTAAATATATGTGGTTGAAACAGTGATTCATCATCATCATCACCCTAGCGTTTGTCCCGGTTGTTCGTCCCGCCCAGGGCGGGAGAACCCAGGGTCCGCTTTCCCACTCAGTGTCCTCCACTTAGCCCGGTCTTCGGCATCCTTCTTGTGGAGTCCATTGGCACGCATGTCATCTTGCACGACATCAAGCCAACGTCTTTTGGGCCTTCCTCTACTCCTGGCGCCAGGTACGGTCATATTGAGGCATTTGTGACCCACGTAGTTTTCCGGTCGTCGTAAGACATGGCCGTACCAGCGTAGGCGACTTTCTTGCAATTTGTCGGCAATGTCACGGACATGCAAACTGCCACGAATGTGTGAGTTACGAACGCGGTCTTTCCGCGTAACGCCACACATCCAGCGCAGCATATTCATCTCCGTGACATGCAACAACCGCCGGTGCCGCTCCAGCAGAGGCCATGCCTCACTGCCGTACATAAGGACAGGCCTAATGATGGTTTTATAGACCTGTCCCTTCAGCACGACCGGCATTTTAGGGTCACAAATAACTCCAATCACCTCACGCCACTTCGCCCAAGCCGCAGTTATACGGGCTTTGATGTCGCGGTCGATGTCTCCGGACGCATCGAGCTCAGATCCAAGATACTTAAAGTGATCCGTACGCCCTACCATGACGTCGTCGATCCAGATGGAGGTAGGATCCGAGCTATTGCAAGCCATATACTCTGTCTTCGTCGCATTAATTTTCAGCCCGCCGTTCTCAAGTGCCCCTTTCCACTCGTGCACACGCCGGATTAAACGTCCCTTGTCCTCATCCACCAGTGCGATATCATCAGCGTACATCAGCAGCCAAGGCGGTGGTAACTTCTGTACACTGGCTGACAGTTCGTCTAATATCACACTGAATAGATATGGGCTTAGGACAGATCCTTGATGCACGCCTACAGTAATAGGGAAGGGTGTGGTGTCACCAACAGCGGTCCTGACTATAGCATCGGAGTTGTGGTACATGTCTCGTACGATTTCCACATAGGTATTTGGCACCATCTTGGACCTCAACGCCCACCAGATTGTCTCTCTGGGAACACAGTCAAAGGCCTTCTGCAAATCCAGAAATAGGAAATGAAGAGGCATATTCTTTTCCCTGTGTTTCTCCATAAGAATCCTAAGGGCGAAAATAGGGTCCATGGTACCACGTCCCGGTTGGAAACCGTACTGGAAATCCGACACTGTACACTCCTGCCGGATTCTGTTATCAATTATGCGCTCGAAGAGTTTCATGGTGTGTGACATCACCTTTATACCACGGTAGTTACCGCAATCCTGAGCAGACCCTTTGCCCTTGTAGACCGGCGTTATGAAACTCAGCCTCCACTGATTCGGCATTTTCCGGTTGTTCAGGATTAAATTAAAAAGGCTAGTAAGGATGCACACACCACGAGCACCCATCGCTTTCCACGCTTCAATTGATACCTCATCCGGTCCGACAGCCTTCCGATTTTTCATGCGACGAAGAGAATCGAGTACTTCACCAGACGTAATCGGTGGCACAAGTCCTAGGTTTGGAGGAGGTGCTGGTGGTCGCACCTCTTGGTGTTGAGTGTTCAGTAATCCGTGGAAATAAAAGCGCCATCTCTCCTTCACTGCACACTCATCGTACAAGAGCGTTCCATTAGCGTCAGTAACACAGCGGCAGTGACTTGTATCCTGCGCTGCCCTGATCCTAGAGCGTGCTAGTTTATAAATGAGCTTATGCCCCTCAGGCGAGTCCAACTTCGCATATAGTGGTTGCAAGTGTTCCCGCCTGGCTCTGGCTACAGCTTTCTTAGCCTCTCTTTTCGCAATCTTGTACGACTCGTGATCTTCAGGGGATTTAGACGCTTGCCACTTCTTAAAGAGCACTTTCTTCTCCTGTAACATCCTTTGGACTGTGGCATTCCACCACCATGACTCCTTGTCAATTTTGCGGCCTCCTTTCGCCACACCGAGGATTTGCTTTGCCGTTTTCGTGATTGTTGTCTGAAGCTTATTCCAGTACTCTTCAACGGACTTGCCTTCTGTATCCGGACTTATGTCCCCAGTGGCACAGTCAAATTCCGAGAACCTGGTGTGATCCAGCAGCCACCACTTGATTTGGCGGCGGCAACGCTCAGCGTGTATACGGCGAGGCTTCACGCAGAGATCCATAACAAGGAGTCGGTGCTGGGCAGTTAGACACTCTCCGGGTATGACCTTACAGTTGGCCACGCGGCTGACAAGGCTTCTCCTAGTCAGAAGGTAGTCGATTTGAGTGGCGCTTCGACCGCTCCTGTAGGTGATAAGATGCTCAGGTTTCTTTTTGAAAAACGTGTTCACTACGGCCAGGTCAGCGGCGACGCAGGTTCGGAGAATGGTTTCTCCCTCCGCGTTACTTCGGCCGTAACCATATCCGCCATGAACACGTCCATATTCCTCGTGCGTCTCTCCCACATGACCATTCAAATCACCACCCAAAACAATACCATGAGACAACGGTATGGCGGCTAGCACGTCACCGACACGCTCCCAGAACAGTGCCTTATCCGCATCACTGCATCCGGCCTGTGGGGCGTAGGCACTTATGAGGTGAGTTACTACTCCCTCAATGAGTACCCTTACCACCATAAGTCGATCGCAAATACGCTTGACTTCCAAGACACTGTCATGGTAGCGCTCGGAAAGCACAACCGCCACACCGTTCTCCCCGCCAGGAGAGCCTGTATAGATCAGCTTGTAGCCTTGCCCTATGTAACGGCTTCTGTTGGCCTTCCACCGTGTCTCCTGCAAGAACGCCACCGCCACTTTTCGTCTGGCGAGTGTGGCCGCGAGCTCTGTAGAGCGTCCCGTCAGCGTGCCAATGTTCCAGCTAGCAAAGCGGATCTTCGCAACAGGCGCTAACTTCTTTAGCCGGGTTCGCGCGGCACCCGGTAGCCCTCGCCCACTTATCACAGGGGCAAGGCGATCCCCCTGCGCGTCGTTATACGGCGACGCCCTAGCCATGTTGCTTTCTCTTTCCTTTCCTATCATTTTTATTGGCTTGTTTGCCTATTACCGGGACGACTGCCGTCTGACTCCCGAACCTCTAGAGTGAACTCCAGAGGAAAAGCATCGCCAGAGCCCTTTCCGTTAACCAGCAGGGGTGCCACGTGCAGGCAGGGTTGGCTTGGGCTCCTAGATGGAATTGGAGCCTGTTACCCCCATGGTTGAAACAGTGATTATAGTGCTATATTTATGCTAGCCAAAACAAGATGTCTTTTTTTTAATCTGTGTGTAATGAAACGTTGTGTGTATGTTAACATTCTTAACCTGTTGTGGTTATACTACCATTATAATACGACTAAAAATATACACCACCAATTACGAAGAGCCTGTATCGCTGTTATATACCTTCCTAAATCTGCTAATTGTTTAAAAATAACTCCAAATGTTATAACCTGCGATTTCTTTACGTAAGTTTTAAAATGTAGGGTTGTTAGTTTTGTAGTAATATTATGGTGGTAATTAAAGATTTTTACTTTTATTTTAAGCTAATTTTCATACAAATTATGTATTGACCGGCTAAATAAAATTTTTGCATTCCATATTAAATTAAAATTTTTGTGCTTAAACAGGAAATTATGTTATAATGAATATATAGTTGTAATTATAGTAATAATTATTTTTATTAAGAGTGTATCAACCCTAATTATGATGACTAATGTTTTATTTAGTATAATTCCAGATCGGATGTGGCTGGAGTATATGTATATATGGTGTTTATACCGAGGTGAGGCAGCGTGGGCCTGGTGTTGGGCGAGGGTGGCAGCGAGCTGGAGCCGCCGGCGGGGCGCTCGGGCTCGCGGGCCACGCTGTCCACCTGGCTGGACACGTACGAGATGATGTCGCCCGCCATCTGGGACAGCTGCGGGTGAGGCTCGCGGGACATGGCGCACAGCGTGCTCCACACCTTCATGTACACCGACCCGAACCCTGCTCGTACACACACCAGCGATTAAAACAACTCTACGTCGACAGGGATGGAGTCCAGATGTTCTTCTCACCGATGGCCGGTAGTGCGACCCGCTGGATGGCGGCGTGCGGCGAGCGAGGGTCCAGCGCGTCCAGCCCGGGGTCCACGCGGCCCCGCCCCGACCGGCCGCCGCTGAACATACACACCAACAATAATAAACTAATATATATATTACACGATCAACGTCACAGCACACCTCACTCACCCGTCGCTCCTCCTGACCCTCTCCTGGATGTACACGGCGATGAAGTGCTGCTCGAATATTAGCACCATCCACTGCAGCGCTGTACAACACATGGTTTTTTTTTTATTTATTTAATTAGAAGAGTACGTATAACATGGTTTTACATTTAAAGGTGTTAACATAAACTCATTCAAGTTTTTCCGAACACCAGTGTCGTCAATTTCACATTTTACACTTATATAAATAATGCATAACACTAAAATAACTAAAGGAACAAACAAATCAAATATGTAATACAAAACAAAACTATTCGATACAATTAAATACAAAAAAAAAAAGAATCTAACTAAATAATATTTTATTTGTATAGAAAAATATTAACGAGGTTATATCTAGCACTTTGCAGATTACGCGATTATAGTTTAATATTACAACCGTCGCGTCTCGTAACAAAAACAAATACGCTGTTATACAGGCTGATATCTGTTGTAGACTTTATTATTTATTTATTAATGTAGTCATTTTAGGTAATTTTATTTCCTTATTGAAATATAAAGTTATTATAATATATTAATATTGTGTGTATTGTGTATAAGTGTGACTGTGTTTTACTTAACTATATTCAATTCATTGTTTAAATAGTTTTTTTTAATTTATATTTTTAGGTGTAAGCTCATTTTTTATGCCTATTAGCAGTTTATTTATTAAATTCGGAATGACTTATTTTACTGTTCTCTTACCATATAGATTAGTATAGGTTGGTAATAAAAGTTTACAATTGGAATTACTACGTAATATTCATCTCCGGCATTTTTTAGCAATACTTTTTTAAGGTGTTATTAAAAAATTCTTCCACTAATAGCGTAATTTCGATCTTTTTATGTATGGGTATTATTTTACAGAAGTCAAATAGGTTTCTGTAATCATTTTCATATATATCTTTTATATTTTGCGGGACCAATGTTTTTAAAATACGTAATTGCAGTGTGTATATCTGATCAAGGTGCTATTTATATGTCCTACCGTAGCTGGATAATCCATATGCTATCACGGATTCGGCCAGACATTTATAAAGTGTTAACTATGTTTTGTAAGGTACTTTATTTTTTATTACACAGTATTTCGATAGTATTAATCTTAACCTGTCAGTAACATAATTAATATGATGTTTCCAATTTAGTCGATTATCAATGATAGTCCGAGATAAGTATGTTTTTCTACAACCTCTATTTCATCACAATCACATGTTATTGTGTCAGTTATACATGTTTCATGGAGACATTTGTGATTATGTGCTTTTAGTTTTAGATGGTACATATTTCTATTTTGTCTGGAACTAATGTAGAGTAATTTTGTTTTCTTTGTGTTTATTGTTAATCCTACATCATGTGACCATTTTAGAAGTTGGTCGAGATCTGTCTGGAGATGTTCATGTACTTGTTCTATATTTCTTCCAGAAGCTACCAAGCAGGTGTCATCCGCGAATTGATAGATTTCACTTTTTGTTATTACATTGGGAAGGCTATTCACACACGCAAGATAGTGTAACGGTCCCAGTACAGAACCCTGTGCAGTTCCTTGAGTTACTGCTATGGTGTAGCTTCAACTCTTACTCTGTAAGATCTGTTTGAAAGATAATTCTCACACCAAGCATGTAATTTACCCCTTATTCCAGTTTCGTGTAAGCTAAGTAATAATTTATCATGTCTGAGGGTATCAAAAGCCTTACTATAGTCAATAAAGACCACTAGGCCATGATCTTTATTATCCAAGTGGTTATATATGCTATCAGTAAATTGTGATAAGAGTTGTGTTGTTTGGTTGGAAGCCATATTGTTTATTTGTAATGATAGAGTTACTTTTGAAAAAACTATGTATTTGATCAGATATGTATTTTTCCGCTATTTTATCTATCGTAGACAATATAGTAATTGGCCTATAATTGTCGATGTCTACTTTGCTTCCTTTTTAGTGGATGGGTCTAACGCTACCTACTTTCAATGTTGATGGATATTTTCCAGTATTCACACTTGTATTTATCAGCTGAGTAATAACTGATTTAATTTTTTCACAAATCATCTTTACTTCAATAACTCTTATTTCATTTATCCCTGGTGATTTTTTTTGTTTAGTGACCTAATAATGTTTGACACGAGTCTTCTCCGTACTATGTGTGTGAGTGTGTGTACCGACCCGCCAGTATCTCTGCCCGCACGAGGGGTGAGGCGTCCCTCTGTAGTCGCGCGGCCAGCAGCACGGCCACCTGCTGGTCGAGCGCGTTCGCGTGGTCGGTGCGCGCGGGGGCGGCGGCGCCGGCGGCCACGAAGGCGGCGAGGGCGAAGGCGCAGGCGGCGCGCACCTCGGGCGCGGGGTGCGGCAGCAGGGCCGCGAGCTTCTCGTGCGCCAGGTCCCTCACGCCGGCCCAGCGCGCCGCCTCCCAGCCGGACCACAGCCGACCCAGGCCGATGCAGGCCCACTGCTGCAGCAGAGGCGAGCCCGCACCTTCGCAGTCGCCCAGTTGCTCCAGACACGCCGAGATCATGGAGCCCTGTAAACGACACGTGATAATAATAATAAAATTTTATTGCTTCAGATAGGTCGAACATTAAAAAAAGCAAGTAAAAAAGATACCGGTGAAATGATTATAGAATACAAAAAGAAGTAAATAAAGAATTTCTCCAGTTTATAGCTAAATTTTAAAACTAAACATTAAAAGAACGACAAAAACTTAATACACGCACGCACATCTTCGCATCATAACAACCATAACTCTTATGTGTACATCATGACTAGGACAATTAAAACTATGATTAATAAAAACAAAGAGTCGTCTAAGTTTTTAGGATTCTATTCTTTCATAATTTGCTTCATTCGCATTCATTTATAAAGTTTATTTTCTTTTCCTACGTAGCTGTTTCAACTTGTAGACGTAGGTAATATTCTTTAAGGTATTTTTTAAAGTTACAATTGAAAAATGACAATCACGTAGGGGAGGTGGTAGGTTATTCCAAATTTTTGCTGCAGCATATTTGAAAACAGTTTTAAATCCTGTTGTTTTATGTTTAGGAATTAATAGTTTAAGCTTCTCAGTTTCTCGGACACTCCTATCTGTTCTATTCTCTAGCCAGTCAAGCTTTTGATATAAGTAATTTAGCTTTTTGCTGCGCACAATTCTATGTAAAGATACTGCTAGATGAAGGTTCCTACGTGATTTCATGTTTAAAATATTGTGACAATTAATGAAAGGAGATATATGTGACGTCTTAGGTACGTCAAAACAAAACCTAGTAGTGCAAGCATTTTGAACTCTTTGTATAGCTTTTTCGGTCTTTTTCAATAATCTGGGACCACATACTGTGTCACAGTAATTAAAAATCGATAAAATAAGTGACTCAATCAAGGTTACTCTCACTTTCTCAGACATGAAAGGTCTTAAGCTATATAGAACTTTTAATTTATAAAAAGCATTTTTTTCAGATTTAGATGTTCTATAAATCTGAGATTTCCGTCAGATTCGTCACATGACACTTTATTGGTGTTGAAGAACATCTGTGAGTAGTTAAAATCCACGCGACAATCATTATATTTTTTTAATGTGTGTTCGGAATTAAAATTATCATTATCATTATGTATATAGTTTCACCTGTAGCGCGGCCTCCTGTCCCGCCGGGTAGTTGTCCACGATGCCGGCCAGGACGAACGCGGCCAGGGTCCGGTGCTCCGTCTACAATACAACACAACATCACTACACACGTGTACACGGTGCGGGTACATAGTATAGTTATCATTATAATGATTTCAATATCTCACATCGACAGTGGGGTCCTGCAGTATGGACAGGAAGTACTTGTGACCCTTCGCGTTCACCAAGTCCACCTGGCAGCTCTGTGAAACGCAGATATGAACATTTATTTGCATGATGAGCGCACGTCACACATATTAATCTTTATATATATAATTCTTCTGTGAGTGTGTATGTCACTGAACTTCTCTCAAACGACTGGACCCATTATGATGAAATTTTTTGTGTGTGTTCAAGGGGATCTGGAAATTGATAGATTCACAATTTTGTCATCTCGACAATGTTTTTTTAATTAATTTTTAAATTATTAGTAGTTGTTGATACAAACGTTTTTTTTTGACCTTAGATTTGACAACTAACTAATATGTCAATCATTCTGTCGCACTTCAAAACACGGAGATTTATGGCTTCAATAGGTAAACTTCAAAATTATAAATAAAAAAACGTAACAGATATTTCTCGATTATAGGGCGATACGAAGTTCGCCGGGTCTTTCTAGTATACTATAAGAATGCTACTGACGGGATCGACGGCGACTATCTTCGCCCAGATGTAGACCATGGAGGCGCGCAGGTCTGGGGCGGAGGCCTGCAGCAGCTTCAGCATGTAGGGGAAGATGCCCACGGCCAGCACGGCGCGCACCGCCCACGCGCCCAGCGCCAGGAAGCGGCACAGCGTGTGGAGCGCGCGCACGCGGTGTAACGTGCTCAGCAGCACCTGCAGCACCATGGGCAGCTGGTCGGGCGGCGGCCGACTCACCGACCCTTACACACACACACACACATATTAAAACCTGCACTTTCGGTTACGTATAAATAACAGGTACAATAGATGGCGTTACTATTTATAATTTGTTACTTAAATACAACACCGCTACTTAACAAAATATTACAGTAAACTTAAACCATAAACTCTTTAACTTAGGTAAAAAATTATTGAGGAACAAGACCTATCATTTCTAAGAATTTATAATGCTCACTTGAGACTAAACCTTTTGTTAACAGATCTGCAGGCATATTCTGAGTTGAGATATACATAACTTGAACTAAATTATTTTTTATAGCATCTTTTACATAATGATAATGTACATCAATATGTTTTGTTCTATTGAGTGATTGGTTACTGGTTGCCAATTTCAATGCACTCTGATTATCACAATGTAACATTACAATACACAATTTTCTGTGATCTTATGAAACAAATTCCTTAAATATATAGCTTCTCTAGTTGCTTCTGATAATGCTACATAATCGGCTTCTGTACTAGACATTGAAACTGACTTCTGTTTACTGCTCTGCCATGATATCACTGAGCCACACATGGTAAAACAAAAGCCGGTATAGGACTTTCTGTGTAGTGTGTTGCTAGCCCAGTCAGCATCAACAAAACCTTTAAATTCTACATTATTTGCACTATATTTAAAACAATAATGTTTGGTTTTTTGTAAGTACCTCAATACTCTCCTAGCATGATTGTAATGAGTTTCATTAGGACAATTATTGAACTGACTTAAATAACTAATTGAATACGAAATATCAGGTTGAGACATGACAGCTAAGTACATTAAACTTCCTATAAGTCTTTGATAATGTATATCTGATACATTATTTTCTCCATTTTCAAGATTTAACTTAGATTCTATTGGAGTATCTATGAATCCACAGTTAGACATTCTGAATCTTAATAACAATTGTTCTATATACTGTTGTTGATCTATTGTAATAGTATTAGACTTCTTATTTTCATTTAGCCTCATACCTAAATAGCGTTGTACACACCCTAGATTCTTTATTTTAAATTACGCTTTTAATACACTTATTAATTTCTCTGTTTCATTTTTACAAGTAGAAAATAACAAAGTCATCAACATAAACTGCCACTATTATTTTGACATCAGTAGACAATTTTGTGAATAAACATTGTTCATGACAACTCATTTTAGAACCTAATTTAACTAAACAATCTTTTACCCTTTCATACCACATTAATGATGATTGTTTTAGCCCATAAATTGCTTTTTTAAGTTTTAAAACTTTACCTTTATCTTTACATTCATAACCTTCAGGAATAGTCATACAAATGTTTTATTTTAAGTGTCCATTTAAAATGTCACTACTACCATCTAAGGTGAATCCATTTACTGTCCCATTCTTCATCTTGTTTAAATCACTACTGTTAATATGTGCTAGCCTCCTGTGTCACAACTCTGCACTTGCTGTCTGTGTTGCTAATAAATAATCTGCCACTTTAGTCTGAAGCTTGTAAACACCATTAGTTGACACTGCAATTGCCACCAATACATTATTCTTATTATGTATGTAACAGTGGCTTGATTCAAAATTAACACTGATTCCGTTTTTGATTAGTTCACTCACTGATAACACTGGAAAACAGCATATCTGTTGCATGAGATTTTTTACATGGACCTGAATAGTTTTTCCACGCTTATTTCAAAAACATATGCCGTTTTTATGTAGCAGCTCTAGTTTTGGAGTTATGAAGAGACAGGGTTTTTCATTAAAAATGCACGAAATTTAAGTTTAAAAAAATTATTAAATATATTTATTCTGAATAAAATTTCCTTTTTGTGGATTTTCTAGAGTGAGATGTATCATGAGTACTATTTTGAATGCTCCAACAATAACCAGCCATCATATATTCCTTCCCGTACCCCTGACACCTGTTCTCCATAGCGCGAATATCCTGTTGAAAGCGCTCTCCTTGTTCCTCGCTTAGGTCACTTAGATTTTCAGGAAAATAGTCTAGATGGTTGTGAAGATAGTGAAGCTTAATACTCATGTTGCATCCAAGCCGCTGGAAGTGTATCAGCAACTGTTCAATGTGCTGAATGTAGCCGTTAGACTTAGTATTCTCAAAAAATTTCTCACTACTCAAACAAACTCTTCCCATGCACATTTCTCAATAGCTGTCATATGGTTGATGAAATTTTTATCATCTATCAACTTTTAGACAGGCCAATGTCCCTGATCAAGTCACTTAGATCCTCTTTATTTAGTAATCGGGGACTATTGTCTCTACCACTGTCATGGTTTCGGTTTGTCCGCTGCACAGGTCTGGATTTCCGAAGATCTACAAAGCTGCTGTGGTGTTGATGTGTCACTCATACTCAAGACTGGTCTTACTACAGATTTTTAGATTGAATATATCCACTTAGAGCAATTTTTATGGTTTATTCCTATGATTTTCGTTACACAAAAATAAATAAGTTGGGTGGTTCACGCCATATCATGGGAGATTTGTACTTAAAATTTGGTCTTTTTTTGTTTGCCTATAATCGCAAAGATTCAATACAACTTTTACACACCAAAATTGGTATCAAAGGTTTAGCGTTTGATGGCAACGGAAACCCAAAGTAGTCGAAGTATGCCTTTTTTACAAAGTCTGACACACTTAAACGACATTTTTGGAACATATATTATCCGCAAATAGCACAAAAACACTTAGGATTATTTAAACATGTCCTTCTTGAGGAAGACATAATGAAATTTATAAAGGGACTAGTTAAGTTACCCCGCTATTGGTAGAAACTATTGACAACTTATGTAAATTCAAGACGGACCTGTATCTGACTAACTAGAGCTGCTACAAAAAATCTGAGGTCAGATTTAAAATTAGCGCACCCAAATTAGTAAACAACAGTAGAAAAACTTCATGCAACAAAAAAAAAGTTTGATTTTGTTGTGCTGTGTAATAGATTGGTGGTTAAACTTGGCACACACGCTTCAAGCACCAATAAGTTCTCTGCCGCAAAACTCCACTCATCATAATTTTCCCGACCTTTTAGTTTGGGAACACTCTGTATGTAACTCATAGCCATTTTAACTCAAAAGTTCAGCACTTTTCTTAAACTATAAATTTAAATTACTGAAGAAATCAGGATATTTACCCATAACCTATTAAAACGTGCACTTTCGGTTACCGACTGACTTTATTCAAATTTGACACAAGTATAAATAACAGGTACAATAGATGGCGTTACTAGTTATAATTTGTAACTTAAATACAACAAGACACTCGTACAGGGGACACGATCCGTGATAACGAAACTGACTGAGGCTTCAGTGATACTCACAGTTGCCTAAGTCTAGCCACAGCTGGAAGGCGGTGAGTTGGTCCCTGAAGAAGGGCGAGTGTCTGTACCCGGCGGCCGAGGGCTCCAGGAGGGCGGGCAGCTGGGCCAACGCCAGGTCCAGGGTGTGCTCCCAGGCCGCCCACAGAGGGTGACGGGCGAGGGAGGGCAGCGCGGGAGAAGACACGGGGGTGCAGTTGTATGACCTGCAAGGACAGAACAGATATATTAGTAACTTGGCATTACATCAGTTAACTTTGTTTTGGGGTACATAATACATGAATTGGGTAATAAACCTATAATGTATTCGTAAACTATTTATCTAAACTATTCCAAGTTGCAATGTAAAGGACTCATTTAGATAAAAACTCATCAATACCCAGAATGGCGACATTATATAATAACATTTCTAAAGAAATAAATAATTTAGACATATTCCACGACAATTTGGTACAATTTAGGAAAAAATATTTTGGCCTTTTAAAATAATACACATAATGCATTTTTTTTTAAATAACTATAATAAAATATATATATATATACTAGCTGACCCGGCAGACTTCGTACTGCCTCAATCAAGAAATAAATTATGTCTTATTTATTTTTTTGGTGTTTAACTGTAAGTCATAAGTCTCCGTGTTTTGAAGTGCGACAGAATGATTGACATATTAGTTAGTTGTCAAATCTAATGTCAAAAAAAACGTTTGTATGGGAAATAGAAAAGCGCTGTTTTTATGGTTTTCCCAGTAATGAATCAATTTTTTTCAGCTTTTATACCTTCCCTGAACCTCCACGAACATTTCAAGACTAAGATAAGATAAATCCGTTCAGCAGTTCTGAGTTTTAGCGAGACTAAGGAACAGCAATCCATTTTTATATATACAGGGTGACTGGTGAATTACTATCAATATTTAAGGAGCATACTCGGTACATGATTCTCATTCGAATTATGTAAAAAAAATAGATACTTAATTTTTTACCAAATTTCCGTATAAATAAATAAAGTGTGTACACGTTCCAAGTGTACCAAGTGTGGACGCGTGCGGCGGTGTGCTGATACAACACTACGCCGCCGCCGCGTCTGTGTGAGTGTGTGTGTATACCTAATCTGTAGGGTGTTCATACGATGCGTAATTAATTAAATAACTTTTGGTTAACTTTACTTAGAAGTTTATTAATATTTATGTTATATTAATTTTTATTTTGTCATATATGATCGTCAAATATCACGTCCTCAAATATCGATAGTAATTCACCAGTCACCCTGTATAGAAGAAGAAGATATATATTTTTTTTTTTCATTTAATTCTGTGATATTTTAAAACTTTGAATTATATTGATATGTTAAATTGTATTTTCTGTAATAATGTTATTAGTTTTATGTCAATGTTAGTGGTTATTATGTAATGTTTTATTGAATTCATTATTATTGTTTTTTTTAATTTCAATCTTGATTTACTACAATTATTATATTTTGCATGATGTGATAGCCCATAATTAAAAGGACATTTAAGTTATTATTAATAGTTTGATAATGCAATGAATGTAATAATGTTTTCTTTTGTTGGTTAGACCAGAAGACTTCTGTGTCAACACATAAGGTCACCTCATGATCCTGTCGGCCAGCAGAAAGTTCCTACAGAGGCTGGCGGTGAGCAGGTCGGCTCGGAACAGTTGCTGGAACAGGTCGGGCGGCAGGGAGCTCCAGGCGATGGTGTCCGTGATGGCCGTGAAGATCCAGTTGAGCTCGCCCAGCATGGTGCGCCGGTCCGTCACCTGCCCGGGGATCCTGACACACACACACACACATACACACACACTGTTGGACACAATATGCTTAATTTGAGAGGAATATCAACATTTGTCCATTGCATGTTGAATAACTGAAGAACACAACTTTTTTTGGTAATTAAGTTTCTTTTTATATAGCTGTTTTTAGATTATTATTATTTTATTTTATTCCTTTTCGTTGTCATATACATATTTTTTCACCATTTTTTTATTGTATCTAGTAAGTTTTGGAGTAAGATCTAAACATTATGTAATCCATGTTGAGTTAGCCTGTAAGTGATGATACGCAACTTTAAAATAAGTTCCATGATGTCATAATGTAGTTATAAGTTTTTGTGTATCACGTTGGCTTCCTATTAAATAAAATAAAATAAAAATTTATTTTAGGTTAGGTATTGTTGGCCAAATGTTATATTGCACACTGACTTGTCGATGAGGTCGACGAGGTCTGCGCTGGCGACCCTCAGGCGGGTCCGCAGCACGAACCACTTGATGGCCATCTTGACGGGCGTGGTGAGGCAGGCCGTGAACAGGTCGGCCGGCAGCTCCGGGGACATGGGCAGCGACTGGCCGGCCGCACACGCGCCCAGCTGGATACAGTTCTTGTACGACACCGGCGGGACGGAGTCCGGCTTGGACCCGGCCTGCATCTGAACACCAACACCTCATATAAAAAATTGTTTGACGAGCTCCTGCCTAGCGTCACTGGTTCCGTACCTCATAATCTCGTTCGTGTTGTTCAGCGAACTGCTTGAAGTTCTCCACGATGACGCCGGCGTTGGAGCAGTCGTACACGTACAAGGAGGGGGCGCCCATCCAGGTCTGGAGGTCGTACATCGACAGCGGGATGTACTGCGTGTAGGCCTGCGGACAGTACAACACTTACTAATGATTGTTCTGAAGCAACCAACCTTTTGTATAAATTAAACATTAATCTTTGGACTACTTTACATTTATTTTCTTCCCATAGTTGTTTTCCCATTACAGGGTACATGATGCTGATTCAAATATTTAAATTAAAATTCAAACATAAAAACTGAAAGAAATAAGAATCGTCCCTAGCAGGAATCAAAGCTACAACTTCCGCAATATCACGATGTCAGCATGATGGCTTAACAAGTAAAGTAACTGGATGCAACATGATTTTATTATTAATTATTGTAATAATGCTTAGATGAGTCGTCTCCTTCTCCATACGGTCAAAGTTACGACGAACTCTATTAATATCACAAAGGAACCGATGAAGGGATCCATTCTCATTTTATGGAGGAACTAGCTTTCCGCCCGCAGCTTCGCCCGCGTGGAGTTCGATTATATCGCGTTTCCAAGAGAACCTTTCAAAAGTCTGGGATAAAAACTATCCTTTGTTCTTTCTCAAGATCAACTCTATCTCTGTACCAAATTTCATTAAAATCAGTTCACTGGTTTAGGCGTGAACGCGTAACAAACAGACAGACAGATAGACAGAGTTACTTTCGCATTTATAATATTATTAGGGATAAGGGTATCAACATAGTTGTCGATGATAAATGTTATGATTTGAATTAATATGTAAGAAGTTACCTCAATTGTTTTTGTATTGTCTTTCATGTCTGTCTTGCTAATTACAGGAATTGATTTCTGAACGATTGGGGAACATTAAATAACAGATAGAAATAGTAATGGAATCGTATTGGAAAACGTAATATTTTTCGTAATTCTTCACCGTTTAAACTTTTACTTGACTTTCACAAACGGTTCAAAACAGTAATCAGAAAAATCCGTCCAGCCGTTTTCGAAACACGACGAGTCTAACGAACATCAATTATTTTTCTATACATACGAGATAGGTTGTAGTATATAGGTAGTGATATATTCACAAGTTTTTCCATTTATATTTTAAACAACACACAGGAATTTTAGAGATAATGTTTCTGTGTTGTGTGTAAACAAAAACCTGCTTTCCTGTAACAAGACCTCCATAGAACATTTTTGTCTATTAAAGATTTCTTATTAGCTGAAATATCTTAAAATATTCACGAAAATATTCATGTAACTTTTAAGAATGTTCTTAGGGAATAATAATGTAATGTTCTTTGTATAGTATAGTGTCTCACCCTGTTAAAGACCCATATCTCCCCCTGGGCGGTGGGCCGAGGCACCCCGTGACCATTATAATGGAACAGCACTCGCTCCTCTTTGGCATTACGGCGCAGGGAACAACACAGCTTCTTTATCTATCAACATAACATATATAACTATAATATATCAAAATAAATGTATTTAATGACTAGAGGATCTGTGATCAAAACAATATATGGAGTGTACGAAGTAAAAAAATACTAATATGACCGCTTAAAATTACAATATTTATAAAATATATTTAGTATTTCAGAATGTAGGTCTAATTATAATGGCTATGTCTATGGTGTTAGTGGTTCAAGGCGGCCGGACACTCCTTACTAATTAGCTAATTCACCCAACCTAACTAGAACCTCTGGCTACAATTAAATGTTGTGAATCACATACACTATGTATATCTGTGTCATTGACCCCGTACATATAACATTTTTAACCTTCTGACATCATTATCAGGTGACACCGGCTTTATACTATGTAATTTCAATAACATTTTGTACTTCAAATGATCCAACAGAGTTCATTATGGATGGACTAACTTTATCATTCACATTGTAAAGACCAATAATAGTAATATTTAAAATTAAACTTGTTTTTCAGATATTTATGAGCTTTTATTATTTTATTTTCGAGACCTTTACCTCTGATTGTTGTAAAGTAAACAAATCAGGATAATGTCACAATAAAATCCGATAGTTTAGACAAAAACCATAGTTTCTTTACAAAATGTGTACATGTAGGAACCTTACATATTATTATAATAACAGTATTTCTCCTCACCTCATCGCTAGTGGGATCCAGTGATTGTTTGTAGCGAGCTCTTGGCTGCCACCGCTCATACTGAGACTGTAGAGCATGTCCAATACTCTCCAACGCCTTGGTCGGAGATAGAGAGTTCGGATCTGATAATATTAAATATCAGTAAACATCAATGATAAGGCAAAACATATTTTTAATGACTGGTTTGATTATATAAATTCTGTACTTATTGCACTTCAATTTTAAACAAATATATACCTATTGAAAACATTTATTTTTATGTAACATTAGAATACTTTAAGTTGCATAATATATATCTTTAATCTGTGAATAATTGAGTCCACTCTTACCAATCCAACACTCCAGTCTGGCACAAGGCTGTGTCTTGACTACATCTGGAGGATCCACACCCACATTCAGGCACAGAACCAATGCAACACAGTGTGTCTTGTACTAGAAATATATACACGAAACTTTTAACAATACCCACAAAATAATATCTTGTACACTAAAATTAATTGTTCCAATTTTAGTCATTATATTAATATTGTTATAATTCTTTTAATTGTAAGGAACATTCAAGAGATACTCATAATACGCAAGTGTCATGTGGATTTGTTTTTAATTTATTGACATCTTTTACGCAGTTAAGTTGCACCGTTTACCAAATAAACACTGCACTCACCTTTTCTTTCACTCTCCACGAATGTTCTTCTTTCTCTGCGCCCTTTATGAGCTCTAGATGTCTCGGTTTATTAAAACTTAAAGGCAAATCATCTTCAAAGTCCGAAGAATCACTGTCAGGATCACAACTGTTATTCTCCTCATCATTTATCGAGAGATAAGGAGGCATATTTGTCATTTTCACACAACACGATTTCACAATTTCGCCAATTTTTTAACACTCAACGCAAGCGATATATAATAGAAAACATTTTCTATATATTTCAGAAAATCATGTGCGCGTCCATTTTTCAACACCACATGGGAATGGGAATAAACAATTTGCTTCATTCCATCAGTGACATTTGATTTGTTAGCATTTACGATTCACAATGGGGTTGTTCCGTAAACCGGTAAAATGTAAATAATAATGTGTATTGAATAAATTAAATGTAGTTCTTTGACATTACTTATTATTTTGTTTATTTATCAGGATATTTATTCGTCAAAATGTCCTAAAAATATTTTTGGCTTTTGAAGATTCTTCATAAAAATATTTTAGAACTTTAGTTCAACTAATTTTTATTCAGGGAAAATAAGAGGCAATAATTGGATTGGATCATTATAATTATTAATTTTGTTACCCATGTTTTTAATATTGACCTTTTTATTACGATAAATAATGTTGAATCCGCCTGTTATGTTGTGTACAAATGACAATAATATATATTTTTCCCTACTTTCGAACTGTTCTGTTCCTGCTTGTTTTCATTTTCAATGACCAGTTTGTTATGGGTTATTATTATCGTTTAGTTTTATGTTAGGAATTACACTAGTCCCTATAAGGTATAAGAGTCCTATACTTATAACATAATATTATATAGGACTTATTTAAGGTAAATAATTTGTTTACGATATAGTGATTGACAAACGTCGTCAGTTGACATGTGGTCATCTGCAAAATTAATTAAATATTCATAGTTTCAGATCCCGATATAAAGCGACCTTCACCGAGATGCTTATTTGATGAAACATATTTTATATTCAAGTTAATATATCAATAATTATATTACATATGGTTGGCCTTTTAAATTTTAGTCCAGCATATTAGTAATTAATAATTAAAAAATATTTTTTTTTAATATTTCACCGGTTGATTATTAGATAAATTCCATACCAATCGAAAGTATGGAGCCCATAAAATATGAAGACGTTAGCCTGCCTATCCTTTTCCAGTCACAACTATCGGGTTGCCAGGGATAAACAGGTACATAGATAATAGCATTTTGCACCGATCTGTGATTTAATCAAATTTAAATGAAAATAAAGATTATTTTATTCTGAACAAAGGTTGCCTGCGAAAAATCAGTCCTAAATTAGGGGTGGTCAATTTTTAAAAACTCAAATGTTGCCGTACAATGCCGACAAAATTACGTCTCTCTGAGAAGTTTTTTTTACTTTTTCTTGTTTTTTTTAGAAACGGCTCACTGTCTTCTTTAGCAGAGTAATTTTTCATGAAAATGAAATCCAAAACTGAAATGTTTGATCCGACACAGACCAATGTTGAAGTAATAGGTGGTTTTATACTCGTTGCATCTAATTGGACCTTCAATTGCTCAAACTTGTAAAAATAGGTTCAACAAACGCAACAGAAATACTTACCTTTAATTTTTGATCGCTACTTATCACTAAAAGATCCAGAGAGTGAAAAGAAGAATTCGACAAGACCAAAATTTTTTTTCCAAGCCTTCAAAATTATTGTTTTAAAGAGGCTTTGGTGCTGTTTCTGGCTGATTATTGGGAGAACGGCCATTTGGCAACAACAATCAAAACAAAAAAATCTTTTTAGCCGTCACTCATTATAAGTGCTACCTACTCTTATCAAGTTCACCAAAATTCCGTAAACAAAACTGAAGAAACTAAATATAAATTTTAACACGAAGAGGCAGATACGACGAATATTTTTCATACTTCTAATGCAGAACCAGGTTCAAGAATTTTAATGAAGATCATAACATTTTGATTGCATATTTTGTTAGGAAATATACGCAAATTGATGGAATTTGAATTTTTGGTTTGTCAGTTCGACAATAATAAAGACCAATAAGCAATCCATTGATTTAAATGAAACTAATATTGTCGGATTTACTACGCGTTTTTTTTATTTTTGACTATAAACTACATACTCCCGACGTTTCGGCTACTTTACAGCAGCCGTGATCAAAATCCGAAAATATTAGTTTCATTTAAATGAGTAATCGCGAAAATCTTAGATATCAATCCGTTGATTGTATTAATTGCATTGATTTAGCGTTGAAGTTAGGGATCAAGCTATGCCAACGTCTTCCCGCCTTCCACATGTTTACAGGTTGCGATTACACGATAGTATTTTATAATAAAGGAAAAGTGAAATCTTTTGAACTATTTTCCAAAAATAGAAAATATATAACAGTTTTTGTGTCATTAACAGATACTACTGCTATTGTCATTGAACATAAAATGAAAATATGTAGTTCAAGAATTTAGAGCTTGTATTTATGGGATTAAAAATTGCACTAATGTTAAAGATGAAAGATATCGTATTTCCATGAAAAATTACTCTGCTAAAAAAGACAGTGGGCCGTTTCTAAAAAAAAAAACAAGAAAAAGTAAAAAAACTTCTCAATGAGACGTAATTTTGTCGGCATTGTACGGCAACATTTGAGTTTTTAAAAATCGACAACCCTAATTTAGGACTGATTTTTCGCAGGCAACCCTATCCCACTGTGTTCAGAATAAAATAATCTTTATTTTCATTTAAATTTGATTAAATTATCAGACCGGTACAAAATGCTACTATCGATGTACCTGTTTATCCCTGGCAACCCGAGAGTTGTGACTGAAAAGGACCTAACGTTTTCATATTTTATGGGCCCAATACTTTCGATTGGTGTGGAATTTATCTAATAATCAAACCGGTAAAATAATAAAAAAAATACATTTTTTAAATTATTAATTAGTCATATCTTGGACTAAAATTTAAAAGGCCAAACATATGTAATATAATTATTGATACATTAACTTGAATATAAAATATGTTTCATCAAATAAGCATCTCGGTGAAGGTCGCTTTATATCGGGATCCTCTACTATCACATTTACGTGCACCTAATACCTACGTAATCAATAGAATATTATGAGGATATAATATATAACTTGCAAAATTCCAAAATTCATAACTTACATACTTAGTCTAAATTAATAGCATATTTTCAAAAATATTTCATACATCAAACATTATTCATAAATCTGATTTCGCTTCTTAGTCGAACGAGTTGATTCTTTACATTTCAATTAACAATAATTCTATTGGATGTTCTGTAAATTTGCGGCAAGATCACTGGCATAGATTGCTTAATGTACATATTTAAAATTGTTTAAAGTCAGTGAAATAATTTTTTTTTCTTATATTATTCAATGGATAAACATTTCTAATATTAGAAGTTTAAGTATGTCTATCTTGGTTTTATAAAACTTTTAAATTTAGTGGTAAAAGAATGTTTATCTAGAGATATTAATGTAACTAAACAGGACTATATGAAAAGTAAACGAAATATTGTTTCTATCGTTATATATTTATGAAAATGACGTAGCAAAAACGAAACTAACAGGAGGAGTATGTGATACAAAGTACATTCATATTATATTATAGTGATATAGGATACACGACTCAACCATTTATACAGATAACCTTAGCGGTGACCACTATACAAAATATATAACTAAGACCGGCCTCGTGGTATGCGGAGCGATTAATATTCACAATAATATAGGAGGGCGAGGGATCACATCTTGACAGCGCTGCAGACGCTGCAGGCCGCGCCGTTGACGCCGTCCGGCAGGCAGTCCGTGTGGAAGGAGTGGCGGCAGTTGTACACGACGAGGTCGGAGGCGCTGGCCAGGTCGCGGACGATGATGCGGCCCTGGCACACGCTGCACACGAACTCGTCCGTCACCGAGATGCCGCGCTGCTGGCTCACGATCAGCTTCTCGTGCAGCTCGAAGTAGTTCCTGAGCGTGATGACCCTGCACGCCTCCTGCACCGACATCTGCAGGTGGTAGTCGCACATCATCTTGGCCAGCGAGTCCTTGAGGTCCGTTATCTCGCAGCCGGGCCGGATGTTCTCTATCAGCATCCTGGGGTCCACGTAGTTGCCGATCCTCTTCAGTAACAGCGACACGCACTCCGGCTTGTCCACCGTCTGCTTGATGAGGTCCGTCCACAGCTCCTTGTCGTTGTGTTCCTGACAGAAGCCGATGGCCTGGTTGATGTCGTCCAACTTCTCTATTATAATCTGCAGAGCCTCCCTCGTGTTTCCTATCCGACCCAGCAGAAACACCATCTCCGGATAGAACTCGTTGCTCTGACACACGTCCAGGGCTTCTTGTATGGGATAGTTGTCGCTACATTTCAGAAACGGTAGTAGTTTTTCCCTGGCGTATTTGGCGTACAGCCTGACCAGCTTCCCGTGGTATCTTCCGTTCGGTTCGACTTTACTGTACGCGTCCAAGTATTTGAACAAGTACTCGTCGTTGTCGGCCAGCTGCTTCTCCACCACTTGTACGGGGACTTTGGTCTTGTCCTGTAAGAGGATGGCGATCGCCTTATCACAGTCGAGGGACATCAGTTCCAGTATCTTGTCGTATATGACGGAGTACATGTTGTGTTTCGTGATCAGTTTAAACACGTCTTTGTGCTGTAGTCTTAAGTACGCGGTGAGAGCTTTGTCATATTTCTTCTGATAGCAGTATAGGAGAGCTAGAGCTTCTAAATAAATGTTCTTCTCGACCTCCGTCGTTAATAGATAATCTAAAACTGCTTTTATGATGACTCCCGTTTTATACAGAGCGGGGTTCCATTCCTGAACTAGCTTAAGGAAACCTTGAGGGTCTTCCTTTAGGTATTCTAAAAATATGAGTTCGTAAATATGAGGACTCAGCGCCTGACCAGGGTTTCTGGGCACGTAGGGGCTGATGGCTCGCAACTGATTCATCTTAGAGAACTTAAATATTTGATTTTCCCACAACACTTTGTCATTTTTACATATTCTGGCACACAAGACCGCCGCTTCATCGTACAGCCGTTCGGCCAGCAGGTGGTCTAGATACTGCACTCCTACAGTCACTATGGAATGTTTGGATGTTTTACCGCCGTTTTCTTCCAGAACTGATATCGCCTTCTCAAATCTCTTATGCGCCGTTAACCAATTGACTCTATCGTCGATGTCGTACGGACTCGCTATCACTATTTCCTTCGGCGACACTATGAAGAATCTATTTTCTTCAATGAGCATGTCTAAATAGTAGTCGTTACAAGAGTATTCTTGAAAGCCCATAATATTAAGACTGTCGTTGGATACTTCACAGAATTCACAATCCTTATAGTCGGCCACAGCTAGTACTGGTCTCTGGGCCTTTCCAGTTTCTGGATCACATTCTTTAGGTACCCCTAACAACACCAGCTGGTCATCGAGAGGTCCCAGGCCACTTATGAAATAATCCACTTGAAATGTATGCACCGGATCCACTAAATATTCTGTGACGTCACGTGTTTGTAACTCTATGTGACTCCTTTTCCTTATCACACATATTCTGATGGTGTCCACCCAGCCTATCATGAGTGTCTTAGGAGCCGACCAGAGAAGGTTACAGCGGAAGTCTTCAATGGATCTATTGGGGTTTCGCTCCCATTGTATAAGACCCAGGGAGCATCTAGCAGAGAGGTCGTACACTCTAACACCGGACTCACTGGCCCACGCCACAAATCTCTCATGCCACGCTATTGCCTGGACGTAACCTTCACATTCACACAAAACGGTACTTCGCAACCGATTCAAGAATGTCTTCTCATACAGGGTGAGTTTGTTATCACCTGGAAAATATATAAGAAATGCTTTGAAATGAACTTGACAAGAGTTAAAACAGGTAGTATTAGGACCTATATTTAAATCAAGATTTGAAGGGTTGGGCTTGCCAGTTTAATCCCTACTAATATTATAAATGCAAAAGTAACTCTGTCTGTCTGTCTGTTACGCTTTCACGCCTAAACCATTGAACTGATTTTAATGAAATTTGGTACAGAGATGGAGTTGACCTTGAGAAAGAACATAGGATAGTTTTTATCCCAGACTTTTAAAGGTTCTCTTGGAAGCGTGATATAACCGAACTTTATGGGGGCGAAGCTGCGGGCGGAAAGCTAGTGAGATCATATTTCTTATCTCTAATAAGCTATATTTATATATATGACTATTCCACTTAATTAAAGCTATCAAAATGTTTGAACATTCAACCGTCATTAATTAATTTTAAAACATGACCATTACTTTCATTTGTCAACTGTATTATCTACATATTTTCGATGTAGAATACAATTTATTCAAAATATAAATAACTAATCTTTTCAATTGCTTTTATATAGGAAACAAATATCTAATAAAAACATAGTACCACTTGTCATTTACATTTTACGAATATTGAAACATTTAATTAATATTTCTTATTAAGTATATCTAGTTATCTTTAAAAATAATGAAACCAATGCTCATTATACTATATTTCATGTTTATGAGCCCTTTTTATCATAACGCAAAGGCAACAATATAATCAATAAATTATTAATTTATGAAACTTATAAATTGTCCTCATAATTTTTATGTTTATTTAAAATTAGACTATATTCTTTGAGAATAATATATACCTGTGAGAAACCTTCGTCCTGAACCAGATTTAAAATAATAAGGATCTAAGGAGACTGATTTAACAACTCTCCCCAATGTGAGGTTGTGAGTGTTGTCTGGGGAGTAGAGGCCGTACACCACGACCTTGCCATCGTCGGAGCAGCTAGCGATGTAGTCCCCGTTAATGTCTACCGATATTTTGTTAATAGCTATAGCGTGAGCTTGCAGATCTTTCTGGTTATTGTCTGGTGAGATGGGAACTGTATTTCCATCATGATCCAGCAAATGTATCACTCCCCACTGAGTTCCTAAGCAAATAAACTTGGTATGAACACAGATGCAGCTCACAGCATCTTTTAATAATATATTTTCGACGTCATTGCCCATTCGATCATATTTTAGTTTAGGCTCCTCGTCTGGTGGCAGACTATCACAGCTCTCTAGATTTAAAGCCATTATCGCTTTTCAACAAACGGAAAGTTTTTGGTTGTATTCATGTTATTGTTATGATAAATTGTACGTATTTCTGTCTAATTGTTCGATGTTATTACTCATTATAAAAATCTGTATTATTTTTGTTAACTTTGACGTATAGGGTTGCCATTGTAAATTCGGATTTGATAGAATAGAGAAAATAACTTTTTATAGACATTGTTATATTTTTATGAAAAAAATGTTTATTATGGTAAAAGGTTACTAAGATAATTATTCCAAATCAACGATATTAATTAATCAAAAAGTTTTAAAAACAAATGATGTGGTAACATTTACATTACAATTGGCGCGAAAACATAAATTGATAAAACGGGAACTTAATTAAAAGTACCATAAAATTTTATCAATAATAAAAATAATATTTTTGTCATTACAATTGAAATAATTCAAATTCATGACAATGAATTCCATGCGAAATTCGATGTATAACGAATATGAGCTTCAATTATCTCCATTTGGACGAAAAGTTTTGATATCTTTATTAAAAATTAAAGAAGGTAAATATATCTATAATATTGCCAAACGTGATAAGCATTTCAACAATCATAACAGTATATAGAAAATTTGTTACATTTCGTATAATTGTATGTATTTTAGAACGCAGAAATAACTTTCTTAAACCTATTTATCCACCGCCTGTACCACGTTATCAAAATAGACAAATTTTACGGTAAGTGATAATTGATAAATGTTTTAAGTTGATAATATTGAACGTTATATAAGCACCTGATAATATTTTACATCTTTTTATTGACATGTAACTGAATCAAGTTATTATTTATCACTTAGGTATAGATAGTTTCAAGTAAAAAATATTATTCGTTCATTTCTTTGAGCGCCATCAATCAAATTATAAGGAATATACCTATCTGACAATAATTATTACTGTTATCAAATACGCACAACATTATTAAAGCTTCATTTTTTATATACTAAACAGTTTGTTTGATATTATAAATAAACAAATTTTATCGTTTAGGTTCAATAACTTTAGTCCTCCAAAATCTCAACCATTGAGCAGCGACAAAGTCGAAGAAATAACAAGCATCGAACAGAATATTAACAATGTAGGAGACGAACGATTTGAAACAGATATTATACAACACGCTTCAACCTCTTTTGATTTATTAATATCTGAGCAGTTTAAAAGTACCATTACGACAGACGAGCTCGTACACTTGACCGAACAGATCCCCTCACCAAATAAAGTAACAGATGATACTATAGACGTAGAGTTAGTTTTCGATCAAATGTTTGACATAGACGATATATTTAAATGTGTCGATGATCATAATAACGACGGAAATAAATTACACGCCGACGTGCCTCACAACGCTGTTAGTAAAACAGACACGAACGAAATCTCGGAGACTACTGAAATCATCCCTAAAGATACGATAAAACGGAAAAATGTTAGAAATTCTGAGGGCTCTGGGAAGAAAAGAAATAAAATTAACGATAATGAGACTGGAAAGAAGAGCTATCGCAAAAAAAAGTACACGACCACTGTTAGGAATTGGCTGAAGGAGGTCCAACCGTTACATAATGAGAATGAGGGAGGGGAGGGAGGAGGAGAAGAGAAACACGAACAGGGTAAGAAGAAGAGGGAGATGGTGCAGTCCAGGCTTCAGAATAAGGGAGGAGTCATGAGATACGGCAGGGGGAAGGAAAAAGACGAACACACACACGAGCAGCAGGTCACAGAAGACCAGCTGAAGAAGGCCACTAAGAAAGTTGTTAGTGAGAAGAAATCAAAGAAGAAGTTCGTAGCACCGCTCAAGAGCCAGGTCCCCGTTAAAGATATCACGTACCCAATACAAATTTATGAAGACGCCGGTTGTAAGGAGTTTGAAAACGCTGATCTCGTCAATAAGGAGGTTTTCATGACTTTAATATTCAGGTAATAGCTCTGTTGGCAATAAAGATACTCATGAGACTTAGTAAGAGTTGTTCTCATGAGCTCAAACTCATCTTGTTCGTATTATTTCCTGTAGCAATGGTTCATGTCAGCTGAACAGTAGCCACACGGTCACGGGCTCGGTGGAAGGTCTTATATTGTGTATCGATGAAACCTTTTATTATTTCAAAGGACCGAACAGCGTTACGTGAGTACACTCTACACTTTACAACGTTTTTTAGAAGATATTAAATACTTGATATAATTCTAGGGATGCCTTGGGAAGAACATTATCCTCCAACCAATTAATATGTTATGACGCCAAAACAATTATTAAATATCTAGTTAGTCTTGGGAGAGATGTTCAACTATATCAGTTTTTGGATGTCAAGGTAAACAAAAAAATTGTATGGTATGTTTAAATTAAGTAGTGTCTTAGTAACGGGAGCTCTAGATCGCTGGACACCTGGTGAGTCTCAGCCAGTGTCCTGAGACCTTCTCCGAGCTGTGTGAGCGAGTGTCCTCGAGGCCTGACTACACCCTCGCCTCGGAGTGTATCTTACAAAGAACAGCCTGGCACGTGACGATGATGAAGGAAGTGTGGGCGACTCTGAATACTACCATGGTGCAGGATGGACTATATGAACTTTTTGTTGGCACTGAGATGAAGGTGTTACAGATATTAGCAGGTGATGTACACTTTAACAGGTTATATGAGTTAGTCTGATATTAATTATATATCCAAAGTAATGGTCCGTATGTAGATATGGAACAGAGAGGCGTGTGTGTGGATGTAGAGAGACTCGAGGCTATGGGGGAGGTGCTGAAGACACGCATGAAGGAGGTGGAGGAGGAGTGTTACCGAGCGGCCGGCAGGAACTTCCAGATCAACTCCGCGACACAGCTCAGGCAGATACTGTACGGAGATCTGGAACTTGACCAGAAATGTAATATTACAGTACGGAAGACGAGCGCCAAGGGAGACAAGTCCACCTCCGAAGACGTGGTGGGTGAACATAGTTGTATATTGTTAGTTTAAAGGAACATAACAATTTCCTAAGTCTCGTTTTATTAATATAAAGGTATATATTTCGCTAGCTCCGTTCCCTGATGTCGGTCCACCCTCTACCGGGTCTGATCCTGGAGTACCGTCACCTACATAAGGCCCACTCGACCTTCATCACGGGCATCGCTCATCACGTTGTGGACGGTGTCGTTAAACCGACCTGGTAGATAAGTCTACTATCAGTCATTCTTGCTCGTTATTCGTGATAACTCATTCTATCCTATGTGTATGTCAAGGGACCAAACGGCGGCGGTGACGGGTCGCATCTCTTCCAGCAACCCGAACCTGCAGGCCATTCCTAAGACATTCAACTTGGTCCTCTTTCCGCAGGATGACGCTGGTAGATATCAACTCATTATGGGGCATTTTACGTAAAGCGGACAGGAAAAAAAAGGGGGTTCCCATTGCGACGCGTGTGTACATATATCAATGTAACTCCTAAACTAATAGAAATCCCATTCTAAATTTTTTAGGGTATTTTTGATATATGTTAAGCGATATTTTGGATAAAAAAATTAAAAAAAATTGGTCGAAGTACATGAAATTCAAGTTTGAAAAGTTTACTTCCGGTTTTGGACATGAAAACAGAACCTATTTTTTAAATATTTTTTTTTAGTGTTAAAAGAACAGTTGTTTCCTATAAATATCGCTATGATACATACCTACTTTATAGTAAAATTATTTTATTCGAAAAAATACCTTCATAAAAATTAATAATTAAATTACGATATTTCTTTAGATACCCATAACTTGTAAAATATACATTATACAAAAAAAAATATTCTGTGTATACATTCAGACCTACTAGAAGTATAAATGGTCCCAATATGATCGATTTTCTGAACCTCACTTTTTTTTTCCTGTCCGCTTCACGTGATATGTTCTACACGTCAGTCACATGTCCATATTGTCACATAGACATATGTTATACCCCTCCCCCACCCCCCAGATCCAGTGTCTCTAAGTTTCCGCTCGGTGTATCGAGGCCGTGCGGGCTGGCGGCTGGTGGTGGCGGACTTCAAGCAGGTGGAGTGCCGCGTGCTGGCTCACGCCGCCCAGGATGAGCAGCTGGAGCAGGCGCTCACCAGCGACGACCTGTTCATTGACCTCGCCGCACGATGGTCACACATATACTCCTCAACTCATGTGTGTGTGTGTGGTAGCTAGTGTGACGTCATCATTGCGTAGGTTGGAGAAGCCGGTGGAGGAGGTGAGCGGCAAGGACCGGGAGCGGACCAAGCGGCTGGTGTACGCCGGCCTGTACGGGGCGGGCGCGAAGACTATGGCCGATATACTGCAGCTACCACACGGACAACTGGAGGACCTCATACGCAGCTTTGACAGTACGGACATACACGAGATAAGGATAAAAAAAATAGTTTTATTAGAACACCCGGCGAACTTCGTATCGCCCTATAATCAAGAAATATCTGTAACGTTTTTTATTTATATTTTTGGAGTTTACCTATTAAAGACATAAATCTCCGTGTTTTGAAGTGCGACAGAATGATTGACATATTAGTTAGTTGTCAAATCTAATGTCAAAAAAACGTTTGTATCAACAACTACTAATAAATTAAGAATTAAATAAAAATCCATTGTTCAACGGACAAAATTGTGAATCTAAACCATTCCCAGATCCCCTTGAACACACACAAAAAATTTCATCGAAATCGGTCCAGTCGTTTGAGAGAAGTTCAGTGACATACACACTCACAGAAGAATTATATACAGGGCGACTGGTGAATTACTGTCAATATTTAAGGAGAATACTCGGTACATGATTCTCATTCGGATTATGTAAAAAAAATTGGTACTTAATTTTTGACCAAATTTCCGTATAAATAAATAAAGTTTGGACACGTTCCAAGTGTGGACGCGTGCAGCGGCGTGCTGATACAACACCACGCCGCCGCCATGTGTGTGTGTGTGTATACCTAATCTGTAGGGTGTTCACACGATGCGTAATTAATTAATTACATAACTTTTGGTTAACTTTACTTAGAAGTTTATTAATATTTATGTTATATTACTTTTTATTTTGTCATATATGATCGTCAAATATCACGTCCTCAAGTATCGATAGTAATTCACCAGTCACCCTGTATATAAAGATTTTTCTCAAATTTCATAATGATATCAAAGCATTAAAGACAGCATGACTGAGTGCTTCCGAAACCTATTCTTCCCTTCTGTCGTCAGGAACGTTTCCATCTCTGAAGCGTTTCTGTAAGGGCGTGTGGTCTGAGTGTTCGCGGGACGGACGCGTGTCGACGGTCGGCGGGCGGACTCGGACCTTCCCGAACATATCCAGCGAGGACGGCTCCTTGAGGGCTCAGGCCCAGCGACAGGCGGTTAATTTTATCATTCAAGGTGGAAACTCAATATCCCCCCTCCACCCTCGATGACGTCACACCTCACCCCCCCTCCCCCTCTGGTGTTCCCAGGCTCGGCGGCGGAGCTGTGTAAGCGTTCCATGTGTGAGTGTGTGTGTGTGGTGCGGCGGGCGAGGGTCGAGGCTCACCTGCTGCTGGCTGTACACGACGAGCTGGTGTGGCAGGTGGCCGAGGAACACGTGCCGCGCGCCGCCGGTCAGATACTGATATACTGTGAACCACGCTCTATATACACACTACACGTGACACATTTTGTTGATATTACGAAGCTCAGGGAAGGTAACCTTTTTAGTAATAACTAGCTGCGCCCCGTGGTGTTACCCGCGGATTTCCGGGATATAGTCTATATGTTATTCCTGGATGACAGCTTCCTGTATACAAAATTTTATCAAAATCGGTTCAGCCGTTTGAGCGTGAAGAAGTAACAAACATACACACACACAAACTTTCGCAATTATAATATTAGTAGGACTAAACGCGACACATTTTGTTGATATTACGGAGCTCAGGGAAGTTAACCTTTTTATTAATAATGTATTCATTTCAAATTAGATATAAATTTAAAATACTTACAATCTATAAAAAAAAACAATAAATAGACACACAAAACTCATATACTGACACTCAAACATTATCCTTCTTTTATAAATACCTACTGTCCGTGTATGTTTACTACATTTCAATGATGTATGTGATATAGAAATAATCAAGTCGTGTATGGAGGGCTGCGGCCGGCAGCTGGGTCTGCGGGTCCCCCTACCGGTCGCCCTGTACACGGGGAGCAGCTGGGGGGAACTGGAGGAATACACACACGCGGGGGACCGTGAAGAAATGGGTCAGGGGCACGGTTAATACTTACATTTACTAGGGAAACAATAAAAACAATATAATATTTGTTTTTCATTTATTAATCTCAAACACAGGTCGTACACTCACAACGTGACAAGATGGTATGTATAGAGGTAAGCTCATGGAAAAAGAACAAAAATCCTACAAACTATGATAGGATATACATACGAGTATATAGAGTCGTTCAAAATCACAATGCAATATTAATTTAATAGTTTCAAAAAATATCTTCTGAACCTTTAACGTCGTCTGTCCATGAGCACCTTACTGTGTGGTAAGAAGACTCGACATTAAAATAACAAATATTCAGTACTTCCCAGGCTAGTATGCTTAGAACAAGTTTAAATCGCCACACGACATACGCAGCGTTAACAGTTTCACATCCATTAATCTTCACAAATAATAGCATTAACGTAGGTTATTGACTCAAAAACGAGAAACGATCCGTATGTAGTGGCTATTTATACTAATGATAAGCATACACTAATCTTACAACGAGTGTTCACGAGTACGAGTATCACACTACACACCGACCGTTTCTAGTTTATCATTGATGACGACACGGACGTGGGAACATTCCCATGCTATTAAGAGATGCTACAAGGACACACGACGTACATAGTTTTATATAAACCTGAATAGTTTTGTGCGACTAATGACGTCATATAAAAATTCAATAAAAATAATCGTATACAGATATTATTATATGAGAATAAAAAATAATTACTACCTAACTACATAGAGAAAAACACAGGCCGTGTCACAACAATGTATGTATTATTATTTCTAAGTACTGAGTACTAGTCATGATCACTATTATGTGTATTCACAAAACACATTTCAATTTTAAATAATCTTAACGACTAGCGAGATTCAAAATCATTCATCACAATACATATAACTCAGACATATACTCCAGGTATATTATAAATAATGAAGAAATGATGAGCTCATGTAAAAATAATACATATTTTAAGTTACAACTCTAAAACAAAAACTTTTTGTCACTGGTCTCAATACACACAGGTCATAGAAAACTATGTCCTTATAAAAAAATATGATAGTTAATGTTATATCACACAGTCCCTAGAGATCATAATCTAACACTGACCATGCTGTATAATCTATGGTCCCGGACACTGGCTGTGTAGTACGGCAGTGACTTGACTCCGTCCAAGCGTATCTTACTCTTGTCATTAGACATTATTCTGTGCCGGTTCTTATTCTTCTTCTCCTGTCTGTGCCGCAACATGGTGTACCTGGACTTGGTCGGTGGAAACCTGGGAATAATAAAAACTAAATAAGTTTTACATTTGAGCTATCAAGTGTCCAAGTTTCTCTATGAGATGGAGAACAGAACATTAACCAATCATAGAAAAGTAGTTAAGGTAGATGTGAGATAAGCAAATTCAGTTGAAGAACTTATCAATATTATATTCTTCTAGTTTGATCAAATCAATCTCTTCCTTGACGACTAACATGTAAATTATTCTCAGAGGAAGGATACAAATGACTTAATGAGACGCAGTTATGATAACTTATAATAAAGAAGCAGTTGAAACTATATAAAATTAATGAAAAGTGAAAAAAAATATAGTAGAATGAAACCCATTAAAAAAGAAGGAGAATAGTCTAAAAATTAAAGGAATAATAATTTACGGGCGATCTGAGTTCGCGAGGGGTATAGGGGTGGGTATTTAAGGGTAAAAAATGGGTTTTCTCGATTTCAAACAAAACTAAAAGTCCTACGGAAAAAAGTTATATGGCAAAGTTGTAGGTACTAAAAAGATCTAAAACCTTTATATTAGCATTTTTTTCACATAACCTCAAAATTTATGAGAAAAAATCGAAAAACCAAGATTTTAGTTTTTTTATTTTTAACTCTTACATAAAACAATATTTTGTCACGAAATTGGGTGAAAATTTACCTTTTAATGTCCCAAATACACTGTAATTTATTTGATTACAAATATTTGTTTTTTTTTTTAGCTTATCTTCTATATATATAAAAATGGATTTCTGTTCCTTAGTCTCGCTTAAACTCGAGAACGGCTGCACCGATTTGGCTAATTTTAGTCTTGAAATACTCCTGGAAGTCCAGGGAAGGTTTAAAAGGTGAGAAAAATTGGAATAATTGCCGGGAAAACCCTAAAAACAGCCCTTTTCTATTTCCCATACAAACGTTTTTTTTGACATTAGATTTGATAACTAACTAATATGTCATTCATTCTGTTTGATTGAAACAAGAAAAACATGATTATTTATGCCCTCTAAGACGGAATAGAGTTCGCCTGGTCAGCTATACCTACATACATATATTACTCTTGACCAAACTAACGCGGACGAAGTCGCGGGGAAAAACTAGTTTTGAATAAATATCGAAAAATCAGCCTCATTTTCAATCGAAATATCACCCCTCAAAGTATCAGCTTTTTTCAAAAATTTGGTTTCTGTTCCTCGAAGTCTCTATTTTAAGATGGTGAAGAAAAAAATATAAGTTTCTTACTTGCAGTACCATTTTTGGATAAAATAATCATGTCCCTTTTAATGAAATGACACTTGATATCGTTTGGAAAATGCTTTTTCAATTTATTTTTATTAGTTTTCGTAGCTTAATGTAAATTTTCTGTAAACTAACTAAAAGGGGCCTTTCTGGAGATCTCCCAGAGTACACGACTATTTATTCAAAATACGCTAAAAAAACAAATATTTCTAATAAAATAAATTACACTGTATTTGGGGCGTTAAAAGGTAAGTTTCACTAAATTTTGTGACAAAATATCGTTCTTTGTAAGAGTTAAAAATAAAAAACTTAAAACTTGGTTTTTCGAATTTTTCACATAAATTTTGAGGTTATGTGAAAAAAATGTTAATACAAAGGTTTTAGATCTTTTTATTACCTACAACTTTGCCATATAACTTTTTTCCGTAGGACTATTAGCTTTATTGGAAATCGAGAAAACCTATTTTTTACCCTTAAATACCCACCCCCATACCCCTCACGACCTCAAATCGACCGTAAATTATTTTTCCTTTAATATTTATAATATTCCCCTCCTTTTCTAATGGGTTTCATTATACTATAATTCAATTATGTTTTAAAAGCTATAGACACTGGTCTATAATATTTTTCGGATGTACTACGCGTTTTTTCACGAGATTTGAGTGTCACTCTCACATCTCGTCTGCCTGTGATCACGGTTGCTGTCAAGTAGCCGAAACGTCGGGGGTATGTAGTTTACAATAAAAAATCACGTAGTACATTCGAAAAATATTAGTTTCATTTAAATGAATACTCGCGAAAATCTTAGATCTCATTAAAAGAAGCAAATCATAAGAATTACCTCATTATCTGGAGATCATATATCCTAAGTCTATTTGCAAAATCATCATCCTCTCCGCCCCAGCCCTCATATTTGTTTGAAAAGCCGTTGACTTCCATATATTGTTCCGAAGTTATAGCGAGCACTCCCCCCACTAGATTGCTATAGATGAGCACATATCGGAACTTGTCAATGCTGGCACTCATGTGCCTGGGTTGTCTGAGGCAGGCATATAGGTTGGCCTCATCTAATGGCAAGAGGTCCACATCATGTAGTATGAGACAAGGGAACTTGTCTGCTATGGCCTGTTTTGCTCCTATGTTGTACAAGATACCCTTGTTCCAGGGCTTATTGTCCTGCTGCTCTATGACATATATTCTGAAACAAATATTTGTTATTTATTTATAATTCCATTGTTACAACAATCATAAATTACTACTGCATATAATTAGATAACAAACAGTTACTACTGATAGCAAACTTACTTATAATGTATTCTTTGTTTACGTAGAAAATTGTGCATGTATGGTATAAATATATCTAATTGGCTCTGCCGATTTCTATATGTTACTAGAATGGCGACACTGTATAAAGGATTACAGTCATCTGGGAAATAGCTTCCATTCAGAATACCAGTCGGTAAAAAGTCATCGTAGTTCTTTGGTACATCCCACACAGCCGTTGACTTGGAGCTTAGTAGTAGATCTTCATACTTGCATTCTGGTTTTGATTTGTTGATCACTAGTTTTGGATTTGTAACATGATAAAGGCTGCTGCCAACATTTTCTACCGTCAGGTAGTTGTAGTTATAGGTTGTATAGCAAGCAAAAAATTGGACTATAGCAACTATAACTAGAGCGATGAACAGAGACGTGCTGAGCTGTAGATGCAGAAGCCTCTGACATGAGAACCATTTCGGCATTTGGGATCTATTCTATAAACTGGGCTTTATTATATAAAATTCTCTCACATGCTTACTGGAGAACTGAAACAAAGTGATTCTAGTCAAAAAAACATAAAGAAACAAGCCATCCAGATAATTTAAAACATATACATAAGTTGGATAGATCTAGGATTATTTTCATTACCATTAAGCAAAAAAATATTTGTTTTATTTATATTTACAACGCTATTTGGTAATATATTTCAAAACAAATTCCTACGTAATAAAATTCTTTTTTTTATTGATTAATAGATATGATGGGCTTTTGTCGTAAAACAAAAGAGCTTACCGGAACTTAGAAATAATTCACATGAAAACTATATATCTGATATACTTGTATATAATATTTTTATATAGAATGTGTGCATTTGACTACCAGTATACAATTCTACATTTTGTTTTATAACAATCTCAACAATATTATCGTATATTATAATAAATTCTACACCGTGTTTTTCTTATACGAACTTGAAAGTCAAAGTATTAAGCTGTCATATTATGTCAATGTGCTAAAATGAAAGTTGACATTCAATAATCTGTTCTAAAATCGATAGTTAAGATAATGTACTTTAGTACGCTTTCATAGATTGAGAATTGTTTATTTTATATTATTGCTGTTTTATCAAAATTATTGTGGTTATCTTTATTCAAGGAACGTTTCTGTATCTGGCAAAACTTCAATAGTTTCAGTTTTATGTACGTGTTGTACTCCAGTTCTTAGTACATTCATGCATTGTTTAAGGTTTTCGTAAGCAAAGTTTTTGTTTGCTGTCGATATTAAATAAAAAATCAGTTTGTATATTAATATTCTAATGTAAATTTTATTGAAAAATGAAGCTATTTAAGTATATTGTTTAAATTCAAAATACTAGTAAAGTACACAAAATCTAAAAAGTAATATTTTCCTAGACCTATTTTATATTATAAATCATTATTTTTTATCAGTGTATTCGTGCTATGAAACGTAGACCACTAACTGTGGGTATAATCTTTATCGCAATAAATAGAACACATCCTGTATTATTTTATCATAACTGGAACAATAAAAGTAAATAACAATCGGTAATATTCCATTGCGGTGTTTCTTTTTCTTCTAACATGTGTCGGAAGTTGCCTCAGAATTGTTTAAACAAAAAACTGTAAACACATCGATGTTACAAAAAAAAAATCTAATCAGAAGTTTGTTGTAACACAAAAGATAATTATCACCCATGACCCAGTTTTATAGAAAAATTGCAGTAAATCATTTATACAACATCATATTATCACCATATCTGTAATAAGTGCGTCGTTGCAATAGGATTCATTTAAAAGCACACGTTTAAAAGACCCGCCATTTTCGGACTGGTATCTTATGTCAATGTCACATAGAAATGTAAGTAAACAAACAATTTTATAATTGTAAATTACAAAATGTTACTTAGTTAAATGCGGACTGTTTGTAAGCGTGTAATATTTTTGTATATTTATTAAGCACATAAAGCAATACCTTCGTTATCATGGCGCATAAGAAAATTGGGAACCGAAACGAATTAACCTGTAGACCGCTCGATTCGTTGGAAGAAATTGAGTCATTTTTACAAAATCCACCTGCGTGGAGGACTTTATGCACTGATTTAGTACCTCACAGTGAGAGTGTAGTGAGAAACATAAAAATAAATCCGTTTTTCGGTGAAAATCTACTCGAAACTCCACAAACGTTCTGTCATTATGATCCGGAAGCGCAGGAAGTGGAGCGCGAGGAACGTCGACGACTACCAAAGACACTGGTTTGCCATGATATGGCTAATGGCTACCACGATGACAGGTGAGATTAGTTTTTTTTAAATATAATTATAATTTCTAAATTATAATTAATTAAAAAACATATGATATATAATTAAATATATTATTATTATCAATTAGTGTTGGCATTAACAAAAAAATAACAGTTTAAAAAGATATCGATTGGTTCGTTTATTTCGGGACTTCAAGTAATTTGAATGAGGAACAATTTTTTTTACACCAATTTTGATTAGAGGATAATTTTTTTATTTTTATTTTGTTGTATGTATATTTTTTTAGTTTCATCGACGGCACGGGTAACTACACCGCGTACTCGTTCTACAACTGGGGCGGCATCGATATATTCTGTTATTTCAGCCACCACTTCATAACCATCCCTCCTCTGGGCTGGATCAACGTGGCCCACGCGCACGGGGTTCAAGTTATCGGTAATTTGAACAACCCATCAACAAAGACCCACTCGTGACCGCGGACTTTATATTCATTTATATATTGTCTATGGTTTAATCTCAAGTTTATTTTTGAGAATGAATGCATAAAAAAATCTTATTAATCAAAATTATGTACCCACTAATTTTAATTTTTGTATTTTTAATAACAGACCGTGTATGTATATGCGATGTATCATTCTCATTGATGCGTGTCATTACATATCACTGTTTTTTATGTAAATCGTATGCTTTCACTCCTCACATCAAACACTATCAATTATCGCTCAATGAAAATTTAATTACCAATTATGTTTTTGTTATTATAAAGTTTTTGTTAGATTAATACAATATAGCAGCTTAAGTTTGGGTTATAGATTTGCACGTAAAAACTATTATGCTAAATTTTTAATACTTTTGCAATTACTATGTACTTTTATCGATGAAAGGAACACACTCATTATATATGTATATATTTTATGTTATATATGTATATATGAGGAGTGTTTTTTCTAGTTGTTGTTTATTGTAAAGGTACCGTAATAACGGAGTGGGCGGACGGCGTGGCGATGTGGGAGCGGCTGCTGTCTTCGGAGTCCCAGTGGCAGGACTTCGCCAGCATGCTGGTCGCCATCGCCAAGACCTTGAAGTTTGACGGCTGGCTGCTGAATATAGAGAACAAGGTCACTGACACACCAGAACGACACACTAATATTAATAGTGGCACCATAATAGCTTGGAGACGATTTATATATACTATCAACTCCACAATCAGTCACATCTTTTTCTGATAGTGACTTCTTGGTGTTTCAATACCGTTTTGATGATTTTCCTAAAATATACTATCAAATTGTCCAGATGCCATTAGTTTGTAAGCTCGTTCCTAGTCTCTCAATGTTTCTGTTGGCCGCAGGTGTCGGACCCCCGCTCGTTGGTCCAGTTCGTGGGTCACCTGCACACGGCCCTGCACCAGGAGCTGCCTCACGCGCTGCTGCTGTGGTACGACAGCGTCACCGTCGACGGACATCTCAACTGGCAGAACGCTCTCAACGAGAAGAACAGGTATCTGATAGCTTCCGATGAAGATATTTTCCAAAGTATTAATGACTAGCTTTCCGCCCGCAGCTTCGCCCGCGTGGAGTTCGGTTATATCGCGTTTCCAAGAGAACCTTTCAAGTCTGTGATAAAAACTATCCTATGTTCTTTCTCAAGGTCAACTCTATCTCTGTACCAAATTTAATTACAATCAGTTCAGTGGTTTAGGCGTGACAGCGTAATAAACAGACAGACAGAGTTACTTTCGCATTTATAATATTAGTAGGGATAAAGCCAGTCAGTGTTGTGAGAACTATACGAAATATCTTTTATGGATTAAAGCCTCACTTTTAATAAAATTACGTTCTTTGATATCGACATTGTCTTTAAAGGTCCCTTAATGTTATGAGATATAAGATTTTTGCGAGTTTTATTCATTTAAATGAAACTAATAGTTTTCGAATTTTAAAACGATCACGTCACGTCTGCTCGTGATCACGGTTGCTGAAAACTAATCGAAACGTCGGAAGTATGTAGTTTTATACAAAAATAAAATCGCATAGTATAATCCGGAAAATATTAGTTTCATTTAATAGTCCCTTAATATTGTCGAGGGTGGGCTGGTAGGCAGCAGCTTGTGATGAGCGTGTTTGTTGCTGCAGGGCGTTCTTCGACGTGACGGACGGTCTGTTCACGAACTACTCGTGGGGCGTGTCGGACGTGTCGGCCAGCGTGCTGGAGGCCGGCGACCGCCTCACCGACCTCTACATAGGGATCGACGTGTGGGGACGGAACTTCTACGGCGGCGGCCAGTTCAACACGCAGCAGGTACACTCACACTAGCATACTGACAAATATACACACACACACACACACGCATTATTATTAAGTTAATATTACAAAGTTTGGATACAATCCCGATCTTGTTACGAGTTGTCGCGACCTAGTGGTTAAAGGGCTCGCCACTGGTGCATGAGGGCGCGGATTCGAAACCTGGCATGTACCAATATGATTTTCCGAGTCATATTTTTTATTTTTATTTTATTTTATAATTCGGAAACAAACAATAAGATAAACTTATGGGATATGAATATACAAAATTACATATATCAGCTAAGTTTCCACTGGTAATTAACTAATTAGACACATATTATTAAAATTAAAAAAGACTAACATACATAAAATCAAAATTTAAAAACGTATACTGACGAATTTCTAAGGCAGTTATGAATACAATTTAACATAAATATACTTAAACGAAACAAAATAAAAAAAAAAGAAGTAACAAAACACATTAAACAAAATTGAAGGCATTAATAGCTACATCGGTTAGTTAAATTACAGGCAAAACATTAATACATGTCAAAACAAACTATGAATGAATTGATACATAAATTAATCTTATTAACTTTATTTTTAAAAGAATACATTTTTTCCAATAATATACTAATATCTGAATAAACTTTATTATAATTTTGGCAGCTACGATATAAGAAGATATTATTAGTACTTTTCGTTTACAAATCGGCACATTAAATAATAGTTTATATCTAGAATTTATTCGTGGACAATTAATTTGAATATTAGACAATAGGAAAGGTGAATCTACGAAACTGTTAATTATTTTATACAGGGTGACTAGTGAATTACTATCGATATTTGAGGACGTGATATTTGACGATCATATATGACAACATAAAAATTAATATAACATAAATATTAATAAACTTCTAAGTAAAGTTAACCAAAAGTTATGTAATTAATTACGATTCGTATGAACACCCTACAGATTAGGTATACACACACACACACATACGCGCGCGGCGGCGTGTTGTTGTATCAGCACGCCGCCGCACGCGTTCACACTTGGAACACTTGGAACGTGTCAACACTTTATTTATTTATACGGAAATTTGGTCAAAAATTAAGTACCTATTTTTTTTACATAATTCGAATGAGAATCATGTACCGAGTATGCTCCTTAAATATTGATAGTAATTCACCAGTCACCTTGTATAAGAAAAGTTGGTCTCTAGCTTGTCTACGTAAAGTAAGAGGAGACAAAGGTATTTTAACAGAATATGCAGCTCTATAACACATGTGTTTGTAGAATTTTCTTTCAATGGAGTCTTATTATTATTATATGTATTAACTTATTATTATCATTTATATATGTACTTTCTAAGAATTTAGACACCACTAACAAATGAAGGAAAACCTCGTGAGAAAATCCGGACTTATAATTTCAAATTATAAATTTTAAATCACGAACCCGTCTTGAGCGAACATGGTGATTAATGCTCAAAATTTTCTCCATGTGAGAAGAGACTCAGCAGTGGGCTCTGCTAGGATGATGATGATGTATAAATCTTAGCAAGTATGACGTCATCGTACCATGATCCTATTCCCGTCCCAGGCGGTGCAGGTAGCGTTCCATCAAGGCTGTTCGTTAGCCATATTCGCTCCGGCCTGGACGCACGAGGCTCTCTCCAACGACGAGGACAACATCAACTGGGTGACGGACGGCGAGGAGCTGGACGGCTACGACCGGTTCTTACTGAGAGACCGCGCGCTGTGGAACAGTCTGTGGCCCTTCCTCAACACCAAGCTGCCCACCCGCCTGCCCTTCATGACGTCCTGGTGCCGCGGACAGGGCACCAGGAGGAGGATATATGGAGAAGTATATATATTGTTTCGACTATCAGGTCTTATACTGCATGTAAAACAGTTATAATGTATACTAGAAGACGCGGCGAACTTCGTATCGCCCTATAATCAAGAAATATCTGTTACGTTTTTTTATTTATATTTTTTAGTTTACCTATTAAAGACATAAATCTCCGTGTTTTGAAGTGCGACAGAACGATTGACATATTAGTTAGTTGTCAAATCTAATGTCAAAAAAAACGTTTGCATCAACAACTACTAATAAATTAAAAATTAATTAAAAAAACATTGTCCAGAGGACAAAATTGTGAATCTAAACCATTCTCAGATCCCCTTGAACACACACAAAAAATTTCATCAAAATCGATCCAGTCATTTGAGAGAAGTTCAGTGACATACACACTCACAGAAGAATTATATATATAAAGATTGTCCCATCTAAGTAATAAATAAGACTTTCAAGCAATGCTGTTCTATCGTGACCCGTGCTATACATTCTGTTCTGTATTCTCCCGCATGTCATTATATAGTACACCGGTCTCGTCGGCAGGTGATATGTCCAGTTCCGTGGTACAACCTGCGACACATGCACTATCAACCCAACTCGACCCTCGGACCACACGGGTACTTTCTGTCCACACAGGACAACATCCAACGACTCTCTAACTTGGGGCTGTTGAGGGATAAGGAGGGCATCCTCCGGTACAGGAAGTCATTGGAACAGGGCAAGATGGACACGGAGAGAGACACCGGAAACGTCGCCATGAACATTAAAGAAGATAGTCTGACGGCTCTGGACGCCGGCCCACGGAGAGACGTGGAGGACAAGAGTAACACGAACACGGAGAAGACCAGCGTCAAGATGAAGGTGAAGAACGCGCTGAGGAACCTGTTCAAGAGTAGAACAAACAGAAGCGACAGGAGCGACCGGGACACGGTGAGCCAGGCGAGCGAGGGGAGGGAGGAGGACGCGCGGGGGGAGGAGCAGTACCAGGGGACGGGCAAGTCCATGGTGAGGATGTCGCTCAACCTGAAGCTGGGCCGGAGCAGCAAGACGCGCTACTGTCTGGGGTACGTGCCGCTGGAGAGGGAGTGTCTGGAGCTGTGCTACCAGGACAGCTTCATGGGCGGCTCGTGTCTCACGGTGCACCCCGCCGACGACGAGTACGAGGAGCAGCGGACGGCGCGCCTGTTACACTGTGACTTCCTGTGTGAGGACACGCTGGTCGTGTGCGTGGTGACCAAGACGCTGCACGACCACCCCGACCAGTTCCTCAATGTAGGCTTGAGTTTGACGGACGGGAAGGTGCAGCTGGTGGGGAGGAGCTTCGCCAGCGGGGGGGAGGAGCCGGCCGGGGCCGAGCTGCAGCTGGTGTACCCCGTCAACGATGACGACGACTTCCCGGAGCTGCAGAAGTACCTGGTAGTGAACGAGCCCGGGTTCTACGTACCGGTCGGCAACCCGTACGGCTGGAGGGTCAGGTGAGACTCGACGAGTGTCTAAACAAACAATAATAACTTTCATTAATGATATACATATATTCAATAAGATGATACATTTTGTTGAGTGTACAGTATTAAAGTGTTCATTTGTCGGGAGTGTCCATCTCACTCTGTTCATGATAACTCCAAGTCATTTCAATGTCTATTCTTTCTGTCTGTAGGTATTTCCGTGTCCGTGTCCCTGGTTCCCGCGTGTTAGCCATCAGCTGTCGGACCGGCCTACACCTCGGACCAATACTGCTGGGACACCTGGGACTATGTACCATGAAAGATACACACACCGATGACGTGAGCACGAGCTACATGCGATGACGTCACAACACTATGAATATGTTATGACGTCATCAAGCCCAGACTATGTTACTATTAAAGATAATAAATATCGGACATAGACAATAGATTTTTTTTATTGTATTTTCAGGTGGAAGTCAACATCGTCAGCTAGCGGCCTCGAGCGACGTACTCGTGTTGTAATAATTGTATTAATACATATTATACATATTATATTGATGTATCATTTTGTATGCTGAATAAAGTTTTATTGTAAAAAATATATCATAAATATAAAGTATATTTTGTTTTATTTACTAACTCCATATATGAGATTGATGTAAGAGACATGGACGGCGGCGAGGTGATAAAAGAAAGAAACTTTCATGTGTTATGTAAGGTTCCACAGAAACTATGAAGTACTAAATGATTGCCTCTCGATGTTAAGATAGCATTGCCATCGCATTTTTAATGCGGTTTTAAGCGTTGAGACGTATGGAGAGAATAATAGACTTTTCACTTGTTCAAGGAATGTTTTATTGAAAATATTTACAGTTATTTATACTAGAAAATTGATTACATATAGAATATGAATAACCAGCACATTAAAACAGGCGTTTTGATTGGTCGCCGCGCATACGGTTTCGTCTTTAATGCGCATGCGTTTAATCGGTATCACTGCGCATGCGTTAACCGTGGTTATATCTGTTACTCCAGCGAGCGCATCGGTCTTTTGGATCGCGCGCGCCGGGGAGTGACAACATCTTGAAAACGCTGCTAACTGAAGAAAAAGAAGACTACGTCGTGGCGAGGGGCCGGCATCGTGTCATCAGTGTGTTCCTGTTTCAATGGTGAAAGCGTCACCAAATCCAGCGGCGAGAACGTCTTTATCAATACACTATTATTATTAATATGTGTACCTGTTTCAATGGTGAAAGCGTCACCGAATCCATCAACGAGAACGTCTTTATAAATAAATAAACTATTGTTATTACTTCGTGTACGTGCTGCTACAGTAATCCCCCTCAAGTGAAACGTACCGGCAACTTGATGGAGCGGCCTAGTCGAGTTGATATACGAGTAGGCTGTGACGTCATGTTGTTCGTATCAGCTGATTTTTCCATTGGTAAGGTTTTGATGGTAACTCTGGTATCATTTGTAATGGTTTTCTTGGTTTGAGGTAAATCTGAATTTTCGGTATTTAACACATATGCAGGCTTCAGTCGATCAATTGAGATGCATGTTTGACGATCGGGTAATTGAATTGTAAAGACTTTATCTGTTCTGTTTACAACTCGAAAGGGGCCTTCATAGGGTGTTTGAAGCGGTGATTTGACTGCGTCGACTCGAATAAACACGTACGGACATGTTCGTAGGTCTTGATGAACGAAAAAATGTGTTTATTGTTTCGTTGCGAGTTCGGTAATGGTTTATATTTCTGTATATTTTCTCGTAATTTTTCGACGTAATTATAATTTAATGATGCTGAGTCTGTTGTTTTATTTGTGTCTAGGAAATCACCTGGGAGTCTTAAGTTATAGCCGTAGGTAAGTTCGGCTGCGCTTACGTTGTTATCGGTGCGTAAGACGGCTCTTAACCCGAGTAGTATAGTAGGTAACTCATTGATCCATGACGTTGTATCGGATAGTTTGGCGCGTAATGCGTTCTTCAATGAACGATGCCATCGTTCAATCATTCCGTTGCTTTGTGGATGATAAGGCGTAGTTCGTATTCTTTGTATTCCGAGTATTTTCATTAAGTTTTTAAATATTTGACTTTCAAACTGTCGGCCTTGATCGCTTGTTATAGTAGCGGGGCATCCGAATCGACTTATCCAGTTGTTGTATATGCATTCTGCAACTGTTTCGGCGGATATATCGATTGTAGGTATCGCTTCGGGCCATTTCGTATGTCGATCGATCATGGTTATTAAATATCGGTAACCTTGAGCTGTTGTAGGTAACGGTCCGACGATATCTATGTGCACGTGTTGAAAGCGGTCGGTTGGCGGGAACGAATTTATTTTGCTGTGTGTGTGACGTTGTATTTTGCTCTTCTGACATTGAATGCAATTTTTAGTCCACGTTGCGATGTCTTTATTCATGGACGGCCAAAAGTATTTTCTTGTTATTAATTTCCTTGTTGTTCGCGTTCCGGGATGACTGATATTATGTATGTTGTTAAAAACTTCTTTACGATGATCGGTAGGTATGTAAGGTCGTATGAATGATGTTGATGTTTCACAAAGTAATTCTATATCTGTATTAGGAATATTTACCCTTTTGAATGATAGGTTGGTTTGTTGAAGTAAATGTTGAATGTTGTTGTCACTTCGTTGTGCTGAGGCTATTTCTTCATAATTTATTGTAGACGGGCAGGATATAGTTTCGACACGACTTAAAGCGTCGGCGACGATGTTTTGTTTCCCACTTACGTGACGTATGTCGGTTGTAAATTCACTAATGAATAATAATTGTCTTGTTCGTCGCGGCGTCTCGTTGTTTGTTGATGTTTTGTTCATAGCAAACGTGAGTGGCTTGTGGTCGGTGAATATTATGAGTGGTCTGCCTTCGAATATTTTCCTAAAGTGTTTTACTGCCATATATATAGCAAGTAATTCACGATCGTATGTTGAGTATTTTTTCTGAGCGTCTGAGAATTTCTTTGAGAAATAACCGAGGGGCTGCCATGTATTATGTATGTACTGTTGTAGTACGGCTCCGGCGGCGTTGTCTGAGGCGTCACTGAATATTGCGAGTGTTGCTTCGTGAGACGGGTGAGCGAGTAAAGTCGCGTTACTGATGCTAACTTTACATGCTTCGAATGCTTGCGTTGCTTCGTCGGTCCACTCGATTATAGTTTTATCGCGCTTCTTAACGTTGTGTAGATATGAATTTAGCGGAGCTTGTATAGTGGCGGCGTTTGGAATGTGATCTCTATAGAAATTTAACATTCCTAGGAAGCGTCGTAGTTCTTCAACTGTTTTCGGTTTCGTATAGTTGACGATAGCCTTGACTTTATCATCGGGTGGTTTGATGCCTTGTTCCGATACCATGTATCCTAGGAATTTGACTTGCTGTTTTCCGAAATTAAATTTCGCGGGGTTTATAGTGATGCCGTGCTCTTGAAATCGTGTGAGTACAGTTCGGAGGTGTTCTCGATGTTCAGTTTCGTTAGCTGAAGCTATCAAAACGTCATCAATGAAAGGGAATACGTAATCGAGTCCTCGGAGCACTTCGTGAATATATCGCTGAAAAGTTTGTCCGGCATTCTTCAGACCGGGACACATGCGAGGGAATTCGAATAAACCCATTGGTGTTATGATTGCTGTCTTCTCAATGTCTTCGGCGCGGACCTCAAGTTGTTGGTAAGCGCGGTTGAGATCGGCGGTTGAAAATATGGTTTTACCTGAGAGATGATGTGTGAAGTCCTTGACTCGCGGTACTGGGTAGCGATCGGGTTTCGTTATCGCGTTGAGTCGTCGATAGTCACCGCACACTCTTATATCCCCATTCTTTTTAGGTACAATATGAAGTGGCGATGACCATGCGCTTTTACTAGGACGACAGAGTCCTTGTTGCATCATATTCTCAAATTCTTTCTTAACGGTTTCGTAACGATGCGGCGGTATAGGTCGTGCTCGGCAGTGGATCGGAGGTCCCGTAGTTTCGATATAATGTTCGACGTTGATTTTAGTTCCCAGCTTCATTGCGGTAAGTCGTGTTATGCCGGGGAATTCAGCGAGTATGTCGTGGTACGCGTCGCTTATGTCGATGCTTCTTATTGTGGGTGTAGTAGTTGATTTAATCGGCACGTTTACTCGTAAATTCGTTACGGCGTCGATTAATCTTCGATTCTTGATATCAACGATGAGTTGGTGATAGTTTAAAAAATCGGCTCCTAATATAGGCTTGGATACATCGGCAACTATAAATTTCCACTTGTACGGTCGTCGTAGATTTATATCGAGTTCGAGCGTTCGTTCTCCATACGTTGATATTATCGTGTTGTTGGCGGCATATAATTTGAAAGGTAGCGGCGTCGATTTCTGGCCTGGTTTTCGAGGTAGTACGGAGATATTGGCTCCCGTGTCTACTAAGAAAGAGTAGTTCGTTTTTTTTTATCGGTAACGAACAGGCGGTATGATTTGTGAACGCCGGATTCCGCCTCTGCCAACGTTCGGTCTAGTTTTCCGACTTCGTGTGGTCTTTAGTATAACTACACGGCGTAGTACACCGTCGGGCTTGACTACCGAAGCGGCGGTGATAGTAACACAGTGGAGATGGCGAATTGTGACGACTGCGATGTGTTGACGATCTGCGTTGGCGGCTTCGGGAGTGATCTCTCCGATGTTTGAAGTTGTTGTATGCCGGTCGTGCCTTTAATTCAGCTACTTCGAGTGATAGCTTCCTCACTGTATTAATAAGTAATTGGTTGGCGGCGGCTTGAGAGCTGGCGAGAGCTTGAGGTGGCTGGGTTTCCATATTTGAATGATTTTTCGGGCAGGGATTCGTCCGGATTCCTTTTCTTCAGAGGTTTCTTGTTGTTCAGTCGAGGGTCACCACTTTAAGTGTTGGGACGTATGGAGAGAATAATAGACTTTTCACTTGTTCAAGGAATGTTTTATTGAAAATATTTACAGTTATTTATACTAGAAAATTGATTACATATAGAATATGAATAACCAGCACATTAAAACAGGCGTTTTGATTGGTCGCCGCGCATACGGTTTCGTCTTTAATGCGCATGCGTTTAATCGGTATCACTGCGCATGCGTTAACCGTGGTTATATCTGTTACTCCAGCGAGCGCATCGGTCTTTTGGATCGCGCGCGCCGGGGAGTGACAACATCTTGAAAACGCTGCTAACTGAAGAAAAAGAAGACTACGTCGTGGCGAGGGGCCGGCATCGTGTCATCAGTGTGTTCCTGTTTCAATGGTGAAAGCGTCACCAAATCCAGCGGCGAGAACGTCTTTATCAATACACTATTATTATTAATATGTGTACCTGTTTCAATGGTGAAAGCGTCACCGAATCCATCAACGAGAACGTCTTTATAAATAAATAAACTATTGTTATTACTTCGTGTACGTGCTGCTACACGGTTTTAGGAGTTTTCTGGTTCAGCTGGAGAGAGGTTTCCTCCGAGGAGTCAGCAGTGTCACTCCTTATATCATATACATATAACTGCCGTAGTGAAGTTCGTTTAATTTAAGAATGGTAAGCCACATTTATCACGTAATATTACATGAACTTTCTTGAGCTGAATTGTAAAAATAATAGTTTAAAAAACTAAATAAACACGCTTTTATAGCAAACCGAACTAAAAACTTAAAAATAATTTTTAATAACAAAGAGTTTATATAACCGTAGCAGAAGGTTAAACAATCAATCATAGTTAATTACTTCAAAATAAATTTATAATAAAATTTAAGTTACAAACAGAATTATTAAATTCAGAGTGAAAAGCGGAAAAATACTTCAATTATGTTTGTCTTGGTGAATCTATGGAATGCTGAGAAATTTTATCTCTACTTACGTAATTCACTATACTTTTTAGATTGTTTGGAAAAAAATATATTTTAGTCTTCTATACCGGATACGAAAAAAATGGTAAGGTGTCTTAGTTCCGAACAAGCAAAACTTTTATTTGTCATATCCGTACCTACATTTAATTCTCTGTTATGTAATATTTTTAATATAACATTTTTGACGTAACTATTTCTGTGATTAGATCAGATAATAATTTATCTCTGAGTTATATTTTCAAAATTGTATTTTTTTTGTCACGTGTGTATAACAAATGTCTCTGTACTCAAAAGTTTAGATATTTATACTAGTATGAGATTTTTATGCACTGAGGCTTACCGTCTTATAGTTACTAGCTAGTAAGAATTGTTTTCAGCTATGTTAGTACTACATACAAACGTGTTTGAGATGTCGTAGTATGAACATTGAATACAGCTGACTTTCGTAGGACGGCGGTCTGTCTTCCTAATTTCCCTAAAAATCCAGGGTCCCAAGAGGGACAACGTGACTGAAAACTTTCTTTAGCGTTTGTGCTTGCTACTCTATGTATGGTGAACATGTTAGTTCCTATACTTTAAAAAACCTTTGGACAATTTTTTAGGAATGCCAGTGATTTTCTGTTATATTTTTACTTAATTATTCGGGAAACATATGGACTCAATAAAAACGTTATTATACTGTATTATACACTTTTATATTAATTGAAATTGTTCATAAGTGTGGCCAATACTATTCGTTGTTGACAGGTCTTTATGTTAGTAAAATAGTAATAGGTTGTAAAACTAAAATTTCTGATTTTCCTCGTGTTGTTCTCTCTATCACATGTCTTATGTAATACTAATAGAGTGTGGTGCGTACGACGATTGATTTAAAAATATCACATCGATTCAGACGTTTCATTGATAATAAAAGAAGACGTCAAACAACTGAAAGTCAATCGTATCTGTGATGTTCGAAATGACTGATACCTTAAAACGTTTGGAAGGACATCACTCATCTAGAACTATTGATTGACATGGATTTTCTGGACTAAAAGACTTTGCATATAAAACAACTTAAAAATAAACATTTCCTAGAATGATTTTCAAATACAACGACACTTAAAAAAAACATAATGAATGTGAGTCTGAATATAAATAATAATATGTATATAGCAGTAAACGTAACGTATGAAGTTCATTTACCCAAGTTATACAACGCGGCCTTGACAGTTCGTTCCTCCGTATCAGTCTTGTAAACAATTCAAGTTTCATTATCGTTATTACTAATGACAGTGTTTTCAACTAAACACATCCGTGAACTTCGTCTCGCTATATCACATATACTGGATATTAGATTCAATGATAAAATACATTACATAAAATAATACTTGAGTTTGGTTCTAGATTCTCTTTGAACTCTTAAATAAAGAGATATTCTTTAAATAATGTATGTCTTCTAGCTTTTAATCTGAAACAGTTTCATAGAAATATTGTTCAAATTTCAGTAACTCGTACTTCACCTCGCGATAGGCCTATTTTAAAGATAATATTTTAAACAGGAAGTAAATTTCATTATCTCAGACATTGAAAGTGTTAGATTTCATTTATTTTTATCATTTTGTAACTGTTGACATACTTAGCGTACTCTTTTCTTTCAATCTCATTCACCACGTATTTAAAAGTCGAGGCTATGAACAATGCTGGGTAATATAGTAATATTAAAAGTGTTTGAGGTAGTACATATTAAGTTCGCATTAGTGATGACTGATGTAGGACCGCGGGGTCACCTTGAACTGATGTGTAACGATGATCCACGACGCCTAACCTATAACATATAAACATATAAAAATATCTATTTGGATATGTTTATTATACTTATATAATTAAAAAAAATATGACTGTCATTTTCGTGTATTAAGATTAAATAAAAGTCACTTAAAATATTTAAATAGTCTAGTATAACTTTTTATATATGTGTAAAAATGTACGCGTCCAACCGGTGAATGTAACTAGTGTTTTATTTGTCGATTGACTTCACGTGTGTAGTGTGAAGGATGTTCAGAGACCTTCACCTTAACACAGAGTCGAGGGGAACGACCCGTGACTCACTATATAGGACGACGACCCACTTCAAATGTTACACAACTTTATGACTTAACTACGACTTTCAATGTGACTTATCAACAAGTTTTTTGCCAATAAATGAATTAATTTCGTTTTAGATTACTTGTTACTTTCCATACGGTATTTTTGACGGTTATTTTTTATATTAAAACCGGTGTAAGATCAGCTGAATCCTCGGAGTCCAACTTGTTGTGTATCAACACTACTACTACCACACGTTCAACGTAGTTTAGACATCACGCATCATTAAGTGTCGGACATTTTCAAATGGATTAAACAATTGACAGTCGGGAAAAAATATAACAAACTACAACACGATTCCTGCTTTCACTTCAATTTAATACATGATATATGAATCTTTAAAACTATCAAGTTGGAAAACTCCTTGTAGATTAGAACAGAAGTATTACTATCATTATATTTAGTAATGGTATTTTTATCTTAATTGTAATTAGTAAGTACACTAATTAGCAATTATCTTACAATAAGCGAAGGACGAAACATAACACTTTTGTTTCGTTTCTTATGACGAGAATATGTTTAAGACAATCTAAGAAAAACATTACAAAGTACGTGTAGAGTTCTAATGAGGTGTTTGTGTGTCACAAGAGCAATGGTCTTACGTTAGATGATGCGAGCAAGTCGTAGATAAGAGTATTGCTTCTGAAACTCATTGGAATCAATGCCCTCTAGTACACGCAGCACGTGAGGACCGAGGTCGCAGCACCAGCCCCTCCCCACGCTTTTCAAGTTGGTATTTATGCACTTTTCATTATAAATGATTGCATTACATATTCATCGGTTCAACAAACCAGCGGCGGGAAACTGAACGACGATTTTCCAAGCAAGTAAGTCGTCTATATACATATGTGTGAAAAATGCAATCCACTTAAATTGGCTGATAACTGATACGACAGATTAACGTTTTGACAGTATTTCCTTGTTCGGGATAAGACTTTGTTGTGTTCAGTTTGATCAGAAGCTTGATTGTGGTGATGTATTATATTATTATAAAAAAACTATTGAACTCTGGAAGATATTTTGTTATTCATTCGTTTTCATAATTAATGCACAATGTTTCGTTACTAATTTTATATCACGTTTTTTTATATTTATTTCATTGTAAAAACTACAGATACTTAATCCGAAATTATAGATAAACTTAATAAACAAAAGGAAAAATATCGAGACTAGAATAAAAATAAGACAAGTTGAGGATGTAACCACTATTTTATTTATATGTTTTCCGTGACTTTAACTTTGTGTGTGTTTATTTAAAAATCATTAAGCGAGATGCATTATAATATTTATTGAGATCGTTTGTCATCTATTATATTAAGCAAACAATGAACTCCACATTCGAGTTTTTGTTTGATTATTTTTTATTAATCCAAATACGAAAGTCTTAACACATAAAAATCCACAATATTATAACAGTGTTATTATTAGTTAATATATGAGTATGTAAGTATCGCTACTTCACACTTGAGTATAAGCTATTTAAAATAGTCTTTTGTTTCCGTACTTGTTTTCCTCAAACTATTATACAGTTTAATAAGTGAAGAACATTCCGTAAAATATAGTCATTTAGAAGCCATTTTTTAAAATAGTAAGGACAAGGAAATAACAATAATATAATCATAAATATACATATTTTTATATAGCCGTAAGTCATTAAGTACTTCGGCTATACTTACATTAATCGCAAACTTACCACTTACCAGGGAATCTATCAGAACTGAATTTAATTCGGGGATGTAAGCATTAAGCTTGGAAGGAAGGTCACAATTGATGAACAATAACGTCGCTACAGATGATTCCTGTTTACTAATATTATAGTTTTCGTGTGTGTGTACTTTCAATGGAGTCGGGTTGTGTAAGCGGCGCGGCGTTCGCCGGTACTGTGGCAGCGGCGCTTAAATTCTTCGCAGCATCACAATGCATACTATCAGAGAAATGGCCTCCGCAGGCCAACATAGCGGGTAAGTTGGTCTTCCTAATCTTATAATTAAACTTAGCTTATCACAAGCTAAACAACGTACGTAGGAGAAGTGTTCGGCATATTTTGAGATTTTCCTATACTAGACAGTAACTGGTTTTTGCTGTATCGAAAATAAGTTCAGAATAAGCATAACAACATCGAACGCCTATGATTTTTTGTTTAGATGTATATTCTTCTCACACTTATGACTTATTTGTCGCCACGAGTGCGGGAGTAATTAACTCAAAAGCTAATCAGCTCCCAAACTGTTTAATTTTATTTAAAAACTATATTGTCTCCACAGACGGGTCTTCTTTCGACTTCATAGTGGTGGGAGGAGGTACGGCAGGGTCAACGTTGGCAGCCAGGCTGTCGGAGATGCAGCAGACTGTGCTGCTGATAGAGGCGGGGGATGACCCGCCCCAGGACAGCAATGTAAACAATATATAATATACTAGTTTTTACCCTCGACTTCGTCCGCGTTTATTTCGGAATTAGTAATATATGTATAGCTGACCGGGCGAACTCTATTCCGGCGGAGAGGCAGCAAGTAACCAGATTTATTAAGTTTATAGATCCGTCCTACGGTATATGGTTTTTATATAAATTTATGTATTGAGTAACTATTTATGACAGGTTGTCTGTTTGTTTCGTTATTTTAATCCAAATTTGATTCGTATCTCCCAACTCTTGTCTAATATTTAAGTAGGTTACAGTTTAGTTCAGTAAACAAAACATGTTTAAAATTACGAGTATTGCTTACGGTTATTATGTATTAATATTTTTATATCTCTCACAGTTATAAAATTTCTAAAAATCTTTAAAAGCCATTGAAAGATCAATATTTATTGTTTGTTAGCTTCCTAAACGTAAACCTTGACTAATAAACTACACCCGACTGTGATACTTGACATTTATTTTTATGATTTGATGTTAAAAAACATTGATTCTTAATTTTTATTGTATGTTTATTGTTATCTTACGGTCGTATACTTAAATTACGGGGTTTTTGATGTTCTTCTATAGAAAATCTTCATGTTTCAGATTCCAGCTTACAAAGATTCATTAAAAAGAGCTGTCTTCGATTGGAACTTCACCACCACCAATGATTACTACTCCAGTCAGGCTTTGTACGACGGAGTCCAGGTACAGCCGCGAGCCAAGATGTTAGGAGGCTGCGGTTCCATCAACGACATGATATATTCGCGCGGTTTTCCCGCGGACTATGAAGAGTGGGCCTCTATGATCGGGGAGGAGTGGGGCTGGAGTAACGTGCTCGAGTATTTCAAGAAGTCGGAACGTCTGACGGATCCAAGAATTCTTCGTTACCCTGAACTAGCTGAACTTCACGGTCGAGATGGAGAAATTGAGGTGTCCGGGTCCGATGATGCTCCGCTAAATGTCCAGAAATTTCTAGAAGCCTTTCGAGAAGTAGGTTTTAATTTTGTAAAGGACATGACGAATCCTTCTAGTATTGGAGTCGGCAGGTTTTCTCACACAATAAGGAACGGGAAGAGAGACAGCAGTCTCACTGCCTTACTGAATAAGGCAGCTTCGAGACCCAATTTGTTTGTTTTAAAAAGAGCTTTGGTGACAAAAATAATAATACGGAACAATACGGCACATGGTGTTCGAGTATTGTTGGAAAATAACACTGAGGTGCAATACTTAGCGAACAGAGAAGTCATCGTGACCGCGGGAACGTTTAACACTCCTAAACTGTTACTTCTATCAGGCATCGGCCCTCGAGAACAGTTGACAGACTTGAATATACCTCTGGTTGTGGATTTGCCGGTTGGAGAGAATCTTCACGACCACACGATGGTGCTCATGTATTTTGCAGCAGAAAGTGGGACGTGTAATATTGACGAGAAGTCCTTATACATGGACACAATAAGATATCTGTATGATGGAAGTGGAATGCTATCAAAAACATCTGAAGTCGGTGCATATATTTCATTCAACACATCGAATAAAAATGTTCCTGATTTTGCTATCTACCCTAGTTGTATGCCTGTGAATACAGAATTCTATGAAAGTTGTAGGAGCGTTTTAAATTTAAGTCCACATATTTGCTCGAAAATTCAAGAAGTGAATAAAAGGTATGAGATTTTCACATTGAGCGTCGTGAATCTGAAGCCAAACTCAAGGGGAAGGGTTCAACTGAAGTCAGCGGATCCTTTGGACTCGCCTCGCATCTACTCGGGAACGTTCAGCGATCCCAGTGACTTGACATATTATCCTGACGCGATTCGAAAAGCTTTATCTGTCATCAAAACCTCATATTTCCGATCTAAAAACGCTTTCCCGTTAGACTTCAGCTTGAAGAAATGTATTCTACTATCTGATGACGAACGTCTCAAGTGTATAGCAAAGAATACTGCGATGACAGCTTGGCATTCCGTTGGAACAGCTCCTATGGGAACAGTATTGGATTCCAAATTACGAGTTAAAGGTGTTTCCGGCTTAAGAGTAGCCGACGCTAGCTCGATGCCCAAAGTGATTCGAGGGAATACTAATTCTCCCGTGGTTATGATAGCGGAGAGAGCAGCAGATTTTATCAAAGAAGCCGTTGGAAAACCATACCACACGCCGACATCCACCAAGCCGACGAACTGGAAATATAAATACCCTAAACCAAACCAGAACATACGACCGAATATTAACAATCATCCCGAAGCAGACACCATCATGTATAACGACCAGAGTTCATATACAAACTCGTTAAATAGTCCCAACCAGTACAATAACTTTCCGAATAGATACCCAGCGTCTGGCACGAATCCTAACGGCTTGACGGGCTGGGCGGCGGTCGCTACTACGGCCATTGAGACGGTCGGATCAGTTGTAGATACATTCATCAAAGTAAGGATACCACAACTTGGTGGACTATTAGCAGGCAGCTACAACAACAACCCGAAAGATGTCGGAAATATATCAAGCACTGAGAATTATGACAACACAGAAACAACGATACCACCAGGGCAGTCTTAACGAAAGATTAGTTGAATGGTGTCAATTAGTTTATTTTTGTTATTAAAATAATATAATATATTATGTGATTGTAAATTAATTAATATTATTTTTATACTCTCGTCTCATTTTAGGACAACAATTTTAAGACAATATAACTAACCTTGTTTATAAAAATTATCCGTTAAATAGGTTGTTTAAATCTCACTTACCTAAGTTCCTAACCCTTCCTCTTGCTAACTAACAGACTCGCAGACTCACATTTCGTGTTGATGACTATCTCAGTAATTGATTTTAGCTTGAGCCAATGTTACTACCAAAAATGAGGGACAGTTGGAAACACTACGTAAGAGTAAGCATGTTGAACAATATAACAGTAAATAAAATGAAATGATATTGTTTTCGTGAATATAAATTTTTTGATTGGCATAAAGATCTGCATATTAAAGTCACGAAAATGATTTGAGTTTATTTAATCTGCTGCAATATCCTATACGCTTCTGGCTCTGAGACTACTCTTGAGAGACGAAGTCTTCTAGTTTTTAAGCAATGTGTTACAAGTTAATTAATGTCATGAAGACACTCTAATTTGTATTTCTTCTAAACTACTTCATTTATTTAATTAATAAGTTTATTTCACAAAGTCAATTTCTACCAAACAAGTTTTTTTTTACTAGGGTTTTGGTGTTAGAGACTTAACAAAATTAATAGCAACTGGGTCATTAAAATAGGCTATTAAAGCATTTTGAGTTTATATATGCTGCATACATCATGTAAAAAAATATGTAGATGCGGCAGTATACGTTTAATTTAGATAATCATTTGTAGGGATATTTTTTAAATACAATATATAATATTAAATAATTATGATACGCTCGTCCTCACCTTGTACTGTTCGGAGACACATTTCATATTACTATGAAGGATTTTAGTTGAACGCCTACAATTGGATATAGCCAATATCTAATATTTACAGTTTGCTATTTTATTCAACAATATTTAGTATGGTAATAAATCGAAATGTACATTCTCCTATGGTTTTGTGTATCTGTGACTTTATTGTGTCTGAAATTATTTAGGTCACAGGTATTGTTAAAATATTCTCGGGCAAAAAAATTCCAAGCTTATCCTAGGCTTAGAAGTTAGAACTTTAGGTAGCTAGGAATTGTTTTTTTAGACATGCAGTCTTTGATGATATCTTGTCTCCTCGTGTGAAAGAACTAAATTGTTATAGTGAGATACATAGTTTGTAAGAAATTATTTTAGTGTTTAATGATATTGCTTATTTTTTAAAATATTTTCAGGCCTTAAGTTTTTCAGAAAATGACCACTTGATGTCGAAATAAAGTTCATATAGATAAAATGATAAAAGTCTGGAGTTGAGGCGTTTAGTTTGCTCATAACAATACGATTATAATTAATGTACATATTTGAATTTAATTCTCTAGTCTAAGTATTACATCTTATACGATTAAACCTTTTAATATCTTTATTAAAATTTTAATTAAAACGTTATTTTGATGTCTTGCACATATAAAGACTTAGCTAATACAACAAATTGAACGTAGTCGCGGTCATTAGCATGTTTAATATATTTTGAATATCCATATATATATTATAATGGTTATGTCACCTGTGTTATGTGTTGACTTTCACCAGAGGCTGGTGTGTTGAGTCCCTTGGCCATGTCCCCGCAGGTTTCACCCCCAACTTGGTGACGTTACGTCTGTCTATATACAACACGCATTCCTTAGCATATTCAATGAGAAAAAACTACTATAAACATTTTTATAATTTAATTAGTATTTTTATTATAATGTAAGTACATGCTATCTTTATACTTCGCTTTTATCTTTCGTGTATCAAGTCTTTAAGTTGAACATTTACGTTGTTTCTCAAGGAATATGTTAACAAACAAGGAATATTTACATTTTGGTTTGTTGTCTGCATTCAAATTTAATAAACCTTACTCGGATCTTTCTTATACGACTTATAGTGAACGAAGCAGACTTGATAAAAAACATAACCTATGTATGTTCAAACAGAGAAAAACTATTGAATTATTACTTGCTATTTGTTGCTTAAATAGCAATTACTACATTCTACTAGTAATGTTCAATTTTTCTAGTGTTGGAGGAAGGTATGTTGCCATACCCCGGGCCCTTTAGACCCGATTTTAGGGTGGATCTTACCCAGACCACACACCCTTCCTCAAAGCTTATAATTCAAATAGGGTTGCCACTTGCCACAGTTTGACAAGTACTACGTGTAAAACAGTTGTCTTCATTAAAACAAAATTAATTAAATTTTATTGCAAGAGATAAAAAATAATATACAAAAACATAAAAGGATCCTTATTAAATGATGTTTGAAGATAAGTAAGATAAGTATGTATTATAAAGAATAGCAACAAGCAACAAAACTCTAATATTAAGATGTTAAGATTTATTTTTCATCGATGAATTAGTTTAACAAAAATAATAAAGAAAATATGTCTTGTTAGATATGGCCCTTCCTCAGCCAGGTGTTTTTAAACTTCCCCTCGTCTCAAGTCTTGATATCCTGTGTGGATAACAACACGGAAACACTTCTTTAGGGAGCCTCAATCAATGAACCAAGACATAGACAAAACATAACTATAGTACAGAAGGCCTTTATATAAATTCCTTGTTTATTTCGTTCTGCTTTTGTCATCATTGTTATGATAATTTACGCAAATATTATAAGGTCGACTGCATTTATGAATTGATTGTTGTCATGTAGGAGGCGGGCTGGAAGTAAAATGACTGTCAATCAGATTATGAAGTTAGTAGGAGGTCTGTTTTGTTAAATTTATCCTTAATTAGGGAACAGAAGTCTTAATACAAGTTGCTGTTCTATATATTGATACTTTTCATTTATAAAATAATACAGATTTAAGTTAAAAATAAGTCATAACTAATATAGATCAGTAACAGAAACTTAAAAACTAAGTATATTTCGTTTGTTGAAGTTTTGTATTTATTACATCCCTACTAATATTATAAATGCGAAAGTAACTCTGTCTGTCTGTCTGTCTGTCTGTCTGTCTGCTACGCTTTCACGCCTAAACCACTGAACTGATTTTAATGAAATTCGGTACAGAGATAGAGTTGACCTTGAGAAAGAACATAGGATAGTTTTTATCCCAGACTTTTGAAAGGTTCTCTTGGAAACGCGATATAACCGAACTCCACGCGGCGAAGCTGCGGGCGGAAAGCTAGTTCAAGATAAAAGTAAGAACAACTAACTGCTAGTATATTAATATTATAAATCTGAAAAGTTGGTTTGATTGTTTGAAATCACTAATCTTAGGAACCGCTAGTTCAAATTGAAAAATTATTATTGTGTTAAATAGACCATATGTGACATCACGCGCCGACTAATAGGGACAAAGAAACAATGGAAAATGTGGGAAATTGTGATTTATAAAACTCGGTTTTCTTTAAGAGGAATTGTTAAAAATTCCTTAAAAATAAAATTGCACTCGTTCGTTTTATAAACTAAAACTAAAAAGTTTACTATGAACTCCTGAATAGTCCAAGACAAAGGCAATAAAGCAGTCTAAATGGACCTGGCTTCTCACAAAAAACTACGGACTATATTTCAGTATGAAGGTGGCAGATGAATTTGACCACTAAATTTGTTAATTTAGCGATTCCATCAATTGTTATCATTACTGACTGTTGTACTATGTATGTTCGTAGAATGTTCCTATCCAACCTGTTCAGTAATTCATTCAGTCATTCATTCAGTCAGTTCATCTGTGAGTGAGTCAGTCAGATATATATTATATAATATTCTCCGTCTCTTTCACTCCGGTCCGCTGTCCGAGCGCTTTCACCGTCACGAGCGAACCTCATGACACTTTACATTTTTTGTCATTTTTCTTTTTATATTCATTGATTAATATTTTTTAATTTAAAACGGTTTCTTTAATAAAACTACACATTTTGTGAGAGCTTCTAAGTCTTCATCACAATTTAAAATTACATTAATATTAAATATTGTATAATAAACTTTATAAACTTGAACGATATTTATAGATTTGGATTATGACTGTCTTTTATATTTTAAGTAATAGAAGAAGGAAAAAATCACCAAATCTATTTGGACCAATCAGTCCACTAATGCTGGTAGACCATAAATTAGTTCTTTTTATTCCAAACATTTTATTTATCGAAACAGTTAAAACTATCCTATATAAAATACATCGGAAGCTGATAATAGTGCTGATGTTATTATCACAAATTTGTACAAATAATTCACAAAAACAAATACAATATGCAGAACCGTTTACTTTCACCTGTTGTATGCGCCCGCGCAGGCGGCCCGGCTCCGGAGCTCGTTCTAAGTGTAGTCATGTAGTGTCAGTAAGGTCCCGGCGCGCACGAGGAGCGCACGTCGCGCTCGTATGTGATGGTTCCGACGAGAAAATGACTGAAGCGTTAGAGAAACCGTCTTCGGAGAACGTGAAGGCGACCGGCAACTTCCCGACCGTCTCCAGCCTCCAGTCCGAAGACTCCACCGAGCAGCTGATATGTAAGACGCCGCAGAAGGTCAGCAAGCAGAAGCGAGAGAGGAGTGTTGAAAAGAGTGTTGACGGCGGCAGTGAGGATGGGGGCCGGAGGGGTGTGGTGTTGCTGGGGTTGACTCAAGTGGTGCTGGGGGCCCTGCTGCTGGGGGCGGGGGCCCTCGCTGTGGTGAAGGGGGCCTCGCTGTCCAGGGTGGGCGCGGGGCTCTGGTCGGGATGTATGGCCGTGGTGGCAGGAGTAGTCGGAGTGCTGGCCGGCATCAACGACTGCTATGGATTGAACGGTGCATCCGGGTAATGGGTTATTTAATATTACTATAAGATTGTTAAGATACAACAGACGATTAATTATATTATATACAATCTTAGACTCTCAAATGAAGTTCTTAGTTTGCTTAATCCATAGGTTTAACCCAAGACGTTTAAATTGATATCATCAAAAATGTGGAAAGATCCACATTTATCTAGAAAGAGTTTTTTCTTGGATAATAAATTAACGTTTATATAAACTAACTTATACGTCTGGAAGACTTATTACTATTAACTTATATTGTTTATTTGATGTCTAGCTGTAGTTAAATTGATAGTCTGTTATCTTGTGTTATGTTACTGACCTAATTCGCTTTCGTATCTTCTAAGTATAGTTGTATGTAATGATGATGTGCAAACCGTTTTAACTCAAGTTCTTCTCGGCATTATCTGTTTTATATCAAAATTCTTTGTATAACACGTGAGAAGTATTTTACCTTTTTTCTGCTTATTCGGTTTCTATTAAACGTTCAAGTTTCTAGTGCCAAAATACTAATGATGTGGAGCTGAGTATCTTTTTACGGGTTAAAGTAAATAAAATGGAAAAGTTTATTCAGTAAAATTCTACACTATTCATCTAGATAGTATCCATGTTTCTGGGGAAAAATAACTTATTACACACCAGAGAATTTATTTAAATTGTAGTCATTATAAATTCTATCGTCAAAAAGAAAAGAACAGTCACTACTATATGTATAAAAATGAATATTATATCCAAAAGTAAGTCGAGTTCAAAGTACGATAAAACATTTTAAATAAATTCTTATCTGTTATATAATCTTTCCTCATAGCATTTCTTCGTAACTTAATTTATACGTTACATAAGCTGCGTAGCGTCGTCTGATAAAACATATTATAGACACAATCAGTAATAGCTCAAAAGAGAAATGTACCTACAGTAAATTATGGTACTAAAATTCTTAGTAATACTTTTAATATATCGACAGTCTTAATTGGAAAACTACGAAACTTACTTATATGTATATTATAATGAGAATTACATAATAAAACTTATAACCTACACCTAAAACTACATGATTGCCCCGATGTTAGGATAGCAATACCATTCCATAGCTTGTGTGGTATCAGGAATCTTCTGATTCACACGGCTTGGTGATCGTTCCGCGGAGTCAGCAGCGTCACTCATTATTAGATATTTTATCCATACAACTATGTTGCCCTGACGATGTTCATTTAATATTTAATATGTAGCGTACGTAACAGCTTCCTAAATATTATTGTAAATTACGTGATCTTCGAAGCGTATCGGAACAATGATACACGCAACATTATGAAAATCAATTGACACAGGAATTACAAGGAAACTACACTTGTATATAAATTTGTATTAATAAAACTACTGGTTTACTTCAAAACAACAAAATATATGTAAGATTACCAACAGATTCTGGAAATATACGATCTTATGAAACATAATTGCTCGTTTCATAATTTTTTTTTGCAATCCGTTTTTATAGAAATATCTTATGCATTCTGTGATGAAAAGTTCGTATGATTGATTAATTTTTACATACTAATATGCATTTTAAAGAGATTGTAAAATAAATTGATGAAATGTATTTGAAAGTATTAATTACTTCTTGTTTTCAAGCGTTTCCTTTTCGTGAAACATGAAAAGAAAAAAAAATGCTATTAAATCAATCGATTGAAAAGTAAATTGTCGTCTTTTTTATAATAAACTATGTAAGGTAGAATGCTTAATCATTTTCTATTTAAAATATACATAAGATTATTGAAGATTCATAAATCAATGTATCAATAGATATTCATTAAATAACACTATCTAATAGTCAGGCGTAAGCTTTCACTCGCCTCTCCGTTTATCGAACATTTGTTAACAAGTGTGTCTGTATGTAAATTATTTTAAAAATATATAATATATATGAATGGAGCATTCCACATTTATATTAAAAGAAACTTTTATTATTTTTATTACAATATTTGTAAGTCGAGAACGAATTAAAAAAATTTCATGCTATTTTAAATATTATTGTTTTTGTCTTTCCCGAGTAACAAAAAACTATAGTAGTCAAACATTTCATATTTATCCTATTTATACGGTGTACTCTCTATAGATTATAGTTAAATTTTACGACATAACTACATATCTTCACAATAGTCAGTTAATGGCGCAGTTATTTTGAAAACTGTAAATGAAAATTTTTTGAGCGATATTCACGTCTCGTCTGTCGTGATCACGGTTGCTGTAAAGTAACCTAACCGTCGGGAGTATGTATTTTTCATAAAAAAGCACGCTTCACGCTTCGCAAGTTTAACCGAAAAATATTTGCTTCATTTAAACAAATTTCTTGATGTTTAAGAAGATAAAAAGAAGAGTTCGTTTATGTTCCCTAGTATTAAGATAGCACTTCACTTGGTATTTATTTATTGTGGCAAATAAGACCATGTGTGAATGATTTATTCGTCTTTATTTGACATATTAGCACAAATAAGACACATACACAAATAATCGAAAACTCGTAAAGACGTGTTGTTGGCATGCCAAGTGTGGATGTCGTGTTTGCGCTATTTGGACTAAATACAAATATTTGGACAAATACGCGAATACGGCGAAGTGAAGTGCCACCTTTATACAAATGTGTAGTGTTGTGTTGATCGATGTTTGATATTAATGACACTTCTCATTAAAAGGCACTCTTCAATCGCAACACGTAAGTTAATTCGGGTTAAGTGTTGTCACATTCTCAGGTTTTCTATAAACATTACGAGATATGAAAGAACAATGGGATAGTAAATAGAAAATGACAGTTTTAATGATGTGTCTTTTATATATTTTATAATTATTAACAGCTCTTTGTCCGAAACAACACAAGCTTTTCTGCCAACAGTAAGACTACTGATCACTTCATTATTTTTACTTCAAATGTCTTTTACCTTATATTTTTGTTTTTGTACTACGTGTGTATGTTTGTTTTGTTTAAACATTGTATTTAATCCACTTTTTATGATTTTACGAGCAAATCAAATGTTTAATTTTGTGTCTGATAATATTTATTAGTATTAGTAAAGATTACATTACATTACGTACATTGTACGGATCATTAGTGTTGATTGTTGTATCCAATAGTGTTTTTTCCTTCGTCCGCGTGTCGAAGGCTGTCAGTGTAATATTTTGATCACATCCTAACATTACCCCATCAGCCGTATCCGTGGTAATTGTTAATTAATGTATCGCTTCACCTTTTTAATTACGCCGCTATTAGTTTACAACCAAATTGCTCAGTAAATATAGTCCGGAGCGAAGACATTGAATGTTATACTATCATTACAGCTTTATCGTAAATCTTTTGGTTATTATAACAGTTTTAATGAACGACATACAAGTGACTGCATAGTACTTAACACGAATTATAACGAGACTTCTAGTTGAAATTTAGTGATGGACACATCCAGATGACTAAAACTATGTTTTTAATTAAGTTATGTTGTTATATATGTATGTTATAGTATATTTGTTTCATCAGTAATGGTCTCCTGACCGCGTTCCTGGCGTTGTCTCTGCTGTGCCTCGCGTGCGGTAACAGCGCGGCCGTGCTGGCTGTCACCGGTCTACAGAGAGACTCACAGACTCAGACCACACTCACCACCTTCCAGGTATATTATTACACTATCATCATGGATTTTAACTTAGAATTAAACTTGAAATATGTAAGGTTTTTTTCTATAGAGGTATAGCTTGGTAGAACAGTTTTCAGAACATTTTCAAATGTAATGTGATCTAAGATTTTCTCGAGTTTAATTCATTTAAATGAAACTAATATTTTTCGAATATACTACGAGTTTATGATGACATCTCGTCTGGCCGTGATGACGTTTGCTGAAAAGCAGATGAAACATCGGGAGTATGTAGTTTTTCACAAAAATTAACCGATTAGTATATTCTAAAAATATTAGTTTCATTTAAATTTTAAAATGTATAAATAGATTTGAATGATCTATTTATATATTATAAATACCTCTCTGTTAGTTTGTTTGTATATATTATAGATTATTTTCGTATTATCGTCAACATCTTCTATTGCAACACAGCCTTGACCTGAGCGCGGGAACCTGCTCGCTTGTATCATGAGTCTTAGTTACACATACAACATTACATCTCAAATGTTCTTAATTATATAGAATAATAATTATATTATATATCATACCGTGAGGAGGTATTTTATCATTAATAATATTTTTTTAGAAGGTTCGTGAGTGGTTAGAATGTTGTTATTGCTTTGAGAACTTGTATAGTTTGATATAATGATATTTTTTTATTTATTATTGTGACTAGCTTGAATAGATTGTGTTCGAAACACTAATTAATTATACAGTAATGTCACTTTAAACTGAACTTTGCAATTAAGAAGTTTAACTGACGAATTTCGAGTCATTTCCATAGAGTCAATTTTGCCTGGTAGTGGTTAATTCAACAATATTTTGTGTATCTCGCATCGTTTTAAGCTTCTTGAGTATTCTGTGTTGGTTCAGGATGAGATGGAGGCGTGGAGGCCGGTGCTGGCTAACATCGCGCTGCTCATCATCGCTTCCATCCACTGTCTGGTGTGTGTGCTGTCCATCTACATCCTCTCCAAGAGGGTCTGTCCCTGCTTCAGACCCAAACAACCCTTCGACCACAACCAGTTCGATCCCAACTTCAAACCGGTTCAACCCTGCGTGTTTCATGTAGATGAGATTAAGAAAGCTCATGAGGCTGAGAAGATACGGACGAAAGATGGTCATGAGCTGTGTAAAGACTTGGAGAAGAAGTTACAGTCGGATACAATGAAGAAGAAAAAGGTGAAACAATGTTTAAAGGATTATTTGAATACCATTTTTATCTACTTGGAAGAATATTTTTTTTGCCCTAAAACAAATCTCCATGATTACTTATATATTTATAATTGATCTCTATGAGATGTTTGTATGACATATAGACGTATATACCTTGGTGTATTTAAAACACATTTGTCAATAAAAAACTTGGCTCGCCTTGAGCCTGTGCGTGACATACTTACCGCAGCCATAACTGCCTCATAGATTTAATTACTAGCTTTGATTTACAGTCCAATAACGAATAAGTATCTTGTATATTTATTAAATATTACATATATACGATATTTTGCCACAATTTGTGCTAGATAAACAAATAGGTTCATCAAATATTTGAATTCCATTTACTAAAACATGCTAGTTGGAATATTTTTAATAAAATTTCTGGTACAAAAATCAATCAGAGTCTTTTCGGTCAGGAGGAGGTTCCCGAATACGGCAGTGCGAACAGTAAGGAGAAATTGGTGAGTCGGTGGTTGGGTCGTCAGCACGTGCCCACCACGGGAACCACCAGACCTACGAGACCCAAAGGAGTGAGGAAGAACAGGAAGCCTCCTCCACACGTGATGCTGGTACCAGCTCATCCTGCGAGCACGGTAAGAATACACATAGTATTGAAATAATATTACTAATATAAATACATTACAGTGTTTATCTGATAGAAATATTTGCAATACACTTCTCATTGAGGGCTGTAATTGTATGATGGACGATCATCATCATCATCTCTGCGTTTAACGATACGCTGTTAATTTCCGTTTTAATTTAGAAACTTAGGTAATAGTACATGTTTATTAGTGTATAGTGTATAGGGTCGAGTTCATTAGGTCATGGGTCAGATGTCAGGTCAGCCAGTGATGGTCTAACAGTGAGCATCTTCAGTCACGATCCTGGCACGGTTCACTTCCACCATGAACCACATGCCTGTGATTTCTGTCTGCTAGCGTTCTTGAACGTACCACAAACAATTGACATTCAACCAAACGACCTCAGTAGAATTCTAAGTCTTGTTTAAATTCTATATACGTTGCATCAATGTTTTTGTGTTTATTTTTCTACATCTCGAGTAAAGCTTGGATTTTTTCTACTTAAAACCATTACGAGAAATCATTGGTTTATAATTAATAAGATTCCTTTACTTATATGGATATTCTTTATATCACCTTCATGTAATACTTGTCACATATAACCGATTGATTGAAATCTTTTTAAAGGTTTATTACGTTTTTTTTATCACTGGATAAATGTTTAATTTTTGCGAAATTATTCTACCAAAAAGATATATATTTTCATTCATAATCTCAGTAATTATACGAGTAGAATATATGTAGGTTTTATTATTGCGTGTTGGGTCTAGTGAACTGTTCCGCGTGCCACGCTCTTCCTGAATTGACAATCTGAGATTATATTGAATGACTCAGCTGTTGTATAACATTAGACATAAAATATTCAACATATTATGAATAGTTATAGTGACATTGTATTTGTAACTAAACAATTTAGAAGGTATTCATAGAATTTTTACAATAATGTCTACTTTCATGGGACGTAACATAAAATTCAATTGAACTAAAATCCCTACTAATATTATAAATGCGAAAGTAACTCTGTCTGTCTGTCTATTACGCTTTCACGCCTAAACCACTGAACTGATTTTAATCAAATTTAGTACAGAGATAGAGATGACCTTGAGAACGAACATAGGATAGTATTTATCCCAGACTTTTTAAATGTTCTCTTGGAAACGCGATATAACTGAACTCCACGCGGGCGAAGCTGCGTTCGGAAAACTAGTTTAAAATAAATTTCTGAAGAGTAGTTCTAATGTTCTGTACAAACAAAGTTACCTCAAGAAGCATTAAAACCTCTCTTTCTCTTACTAACCGCAGTTATTTTGTTTCTTTACATCTAGCTCAAGCGTGTATTTTCTCCAAGTTTTAGTAATGCTTGTGTCAACCTGACCTGAGCACGACCTACATACATTGAATACAGCTGTATACATAAAATATATTACAATGAAAGTGAATGAAGACAGTATCCATAGAGACGCAGGTCTGTAGCTCACTTTTCTCAGGGATTCACCAGTTCGCGTACTGAATACACCACACTGTTTGATCTCCTTACACATTTCACGCGGACGTATAAATTTAAATTCTTTAGAGAGAATACGTTTTCAATGCTTTCTTTTTATAGTCATTTTTGAAGTTCTTTTGGCGCGATGAAGAAAAATGATGAGCCATTTTAAAAAAACCTTTTTTAATAAAACCTTTTTATTGAAATAAATTCTTTTGAATATTTTTTAAATTTATCGTTAATTACTACAGCATTTTAATCATTTTTTTATACGCCAAAGAAGTATAACTTCTAACGCGTGTACATGAGTACACATACATTTTTTTATTTAGTTGTGTGTTTTATGGATTAGATTCAAAATAGATTTTTTAATACTATTTCATTGGTTAAATACTTAATCTTTATAGTTGAGGTTAAATGTAATTATATTCAGAATGTATTAAGAATATAAATGAAGAGTTAAAATTCGTTGTTGCTGCGTCGTAACCGTAATAATATGTATTTACAGTATAGTTTTATAATGTTTTTATTACAATAATCTTGTTGTCCGTCCGTCGCGGCTCAAACGCTTCTCAATGGTCCATCAATCGTATAAGTATGACGAACTGTAAGTTAACCCTTTTTATAGTCTAGCGGGAAATACTGAAGAAATGTTTCCGTCGATAAACATAAATAAACATAGCACGGAACCTAGTTCGGTTGTCGGTGGTGAGTGGTAGGTGGTAGGTGGTCTGTTCGTTTTCCTCACGTTAGTTTTTTCCCCCGACCGCGCTCGTTCCGCTCTCATAACCAAGATTACTGCGTTCAGATTAACAATCACTGATTGTGAGACGGAATTAGAGAAATGCGCTTCTGTTTGATGAGAAATGAGAAATGGGGACGATTATTTACAAAATAATAGTAATATTTTGACTTTGGTGACATATTACATTACAATAATAATATATGGAGATTGAGGAGTTCAAGAAAATTGATTTTCATAGTTTTCTTTTTATCAAACTTATCAAATATACGTAGTTTGACAATATTGATAGGTAATTAATTGTATTAATATTGTGCTATATGTTTTAAATTTTACATTTAATCTGTTAATAATAATCTCAAAACAAGGTTGGTGTGTAGTTGAAAGATTTACATCCATAATATTGACACGGATGACGGCTGTGTGGCACTTTCCCCGCATTCCGAGACACAAAACAAATACTATACTATACAATACAATACAATAGAAAAGAATACTATACAATACTTAATATAGATACGGTATATTATAGTTATAGGCTTTTTTTTGTGTCATTACTTTTCTTACAGTGCTTTTTATTATTTGAAGCTTTTAATTGAAGTTAAAATAAGATTTATATATCGGTCAGAAGATGTCGTTCTTACAACATGGATTGTAGTTACTTTTTGATTTAAACTTTTATATTAACAAACAACAATGCTGAAGTTGAAATTGATGTTCAGATAAATCGTTAAAATATATATTTATTATGAAATAAGATATATATACATATGTATTAAATTTAATTGTATAATAGTTTTAATATAGTATATTAAACCGTTAATGTATCGACGTATTCAGTGCGTGAAACCATCTTCTACCAATCGTTAAACAGACGGACAATGTTCACCGACGGACGTTTATGATTAATTATGTTATATATAAATAGCTCTTAACGATATTGATATAAGAACTATTGTTCCGTTAATAAATATCGGAGTTATTGGAGCGAGGTGCGGAACGACCAGCGGTAGTCTCATACAAAACTGTACATATATAAAATACGTTGTAGTAAACAGAGTTACAAGAACACGAAAATTCTTAGCATTCCATGTATTCACGGTGCGGGTGCCGGGTCCATCGTCCATCGGTACCTAACCAAATTTTAAAAGAAATTGCTTCCAATTTACGTTTTAAGAATGTATTAATGTGAGTTCTGGACAGGCCAAGTCTTTTAGTAGGTTGTAGAGAGATTTAGCTGTCATACTTCTCCCACCGACTTTTACTGCGTACAAATCCAAGACGAACCTATTTCCAATGAGCTCGTAATATTTGTTGATCTTTATGATATGGTCTCTGGGGATGTTGGTTTTCCGAGAACCCGTAAGTTATTTAACATAACGCGCTTTAATATTCCCGAATACATAAATATTAAATACATATATCTTGCCTATTGGCACAAATATCTCGGATTTGGTTTTGTAAATTTATGTAATAACAAAAAATTACACAGGTTTTCATACAAGTCCTTGGTGTACTTACGTATTAATTATTGAGAGTTGGAAAAAGCAGTATGTTCTACTTTGTAAATAATGTTGGTCTCATTTAATTAGAAGCTATCCTTTATCTTTCTTATAAAATAATTTAATATATCAATATTAAAATAGCCAATTCTAAGTAATTGTGTAAAACTCAAGGGATATCTTCATCTCACACAACTTCATCTTATTCGTATTGAGACGTCCGATGCTGTAATTGCAGTTTCCCGCCGGAAACGACGCCATTACAGTGTGCATATACTACAATGTATATGAAATGATAGTTACAGGGCTGACAAGAACATCACACAATAATAGTGGAGAAGTTAAATTATGTACCTAAAAAAGATATACTAAATGTCTCCTAAAACAAAAAAATACTTAGTCAATAAATAATGATCTTCTAAAGACCTCGAGAGAATGTTGTAAAAACCATATTTTTTGGCTGATAGGTACAATTTTTGCATTATTATATTAGCAGTGACTAAAAGGTTAAAAAAAGCCTATAACTATAATATTCTTACGGTACATATATAAAGTTTTAAAATAACTAATTATAAAAGTAAAGAATAACTAATTAAAAGACTACAATTTATAAAACAGTGAATAGTTTCAAACGTCTATCAGTCAATAATTCTTTTTCACATCGCGTGACAAACAATATTAAATCATTTGATTTTAATTAATCATTTGTATCTGCATACTGTGGATTATTCTGTATACACTCGATATGGGAATTATAAGTTTTAAATGAGAATAATTATCTATTATAACTCATAATATATGAAGAATATTATTCGTCACCAACCCTGAGATAGATGAAGCGGGTGAAAAGTTATAAAGCGATATGAAATGCATATAAAATGACGTGCTGTCTGTCCGCGCGCCCGACGTTCGGCCGACGTATTATTCGCCAATTAGATGCTCATGAAGGAGATATTTGCTGAGCCGTGTACTTGGAAAGTCAATAAAATATGATAGGATGGATGACTTCTGCGCTGGGAGAGGCTATTACGATTGATTCCCAGGAGTTGGTGCTAATGGATAAAAGGGATGTAGGAAATGATGATGACAAATGACAATCATAGTAAAACTAACAAGAACAATTGTAATATTATAAACTGTACTATAATAATGATTTTGTATAGCGTTCAATTGATTTCAACAATCTAAGGGCATTCATTATTTGTCACGTTTATTTTGAAAGCGGCTGTTTAGTTACGACACATAATTTCATGGCGACGAAGTTGATATTGTTATTTAA